ACCCTAACCCTAACCCTAACCCTAACCCTAACCCTAACCCTAACCCTAACCCTAACCCTAACCCTAACCCTAACCCTAACCCTAACCGTAACCGGAGTTCTTCGCTCCTTAGTCGAGTGACGATGGAGTCGAACTCGACTTTCTCGTCCATTGCGGAATCCGTGATCGTGATCATCCTGGTGGACCCGTCCTCATCTTGGATGATAGCCTGGCGCTGCTCGCGTCGCAGGCGGTATGTCTCCTGGATTTGCGAAGAGATGGTCTCGTACTCCTTTCGTAGGCCCTTGATCAGGACCGTGTACTTCTTGTTGAAAGTGATGGTGTAGCCCGCGAGCATGAGTCGCTCCGCCAGTTCCTTGATCCTGCCCACAAAACCGTCAATAGACCTCTTGTCTTGTCGTAGGCTGTTGAACTCGGTTTCCATTTCTTCGAGTTGCCACTTCATGGACTTGGCGAAACGATCCTCGAGCGTGGTCCAGATGGTGTGAGCATCTTCCAGGTCGTCAATCGTGTGCTTGATTTTGCTGGTGAGGCTGCTTCTCAGCAATCCGCATGCGGTGAAGTTGGCGTTTAGCCAGCTTCCGTAACCAGGGTCCGACTCCGGAGGTCGGGGTATCGTTCCTTTGATAACGCCGTATCTCTTGGCACCCTTTTGCATGAGAATGTCAATGGATTTGTCTTTCCATTTGTAGTAGTCTCTTGCGTCAGCGAGTCTGGGGAGTCTCTGACTCGAGTAGGGAATGCTTTCCGCAACCGCGGTTGCGGTTGCGGGACTTTGGTCCTCGTGGGCATTCATTCTTGGTTGTTGACTCGTACTTGGTTGAGTCTGTATACTGTTGTCTTCGCTATTTGTGGTAGCGATCGAATCGTGAAGACGTTGTCGGGATCTTGTGTTGGGGTACTGGGCGCTCGACTCTCCGTAGGCACTTGGGCTCATAACCTGACAGAAGTCAAGGTACAAGTGCTACTTCGAGATCGCGGTTGCGCAACTTTGGTTGCGGCTCGCTACTTTAGTTGCGTGCGATCCTAGCGGAAATATGTGGCGGGCTTGAGCGTTGCCTAGCCGGGACAGACGTTGTTATACCGTCGATTGGCTGCTAGGGTCGTTCGAGCACTTGCTCTTCTTAAGGCAGAGGTTGAGAGATCGGGCGGGGCGCGATGCGTCAGAGTGACACGCAATGCGCTAAGGGGATGTGAGTCGCGTGAGCGCAACTTGAGAGATGGGCGAGGAAACGTGAGTCAGTCTGCTCGCAAGTGGTCTCGAGCTCAGTCTCTTGGGTCCTCGTCAGGGGGATGGAGATTCGATAATGATTGCAGGGAGGTGCTCGACTAAGTGCACTAAATGTATCCGCGACCTCTGCACGGGGGGGGCGGTGCGAAAGGGTGCACTTGGTCGTGCCCTCGTACTCGCCTCTCCAGGGGTCGCTATGTTCTAGTGTCTGTTGTCGTGTAGTGAATCCAGTGTTTTCTCCTCCTGGGCTCGCTGTCCATGTCGAGCGTTGCTCTCGCGATGTGTCACCCAGCAAGTATGACTCGGAAGGCGTGACTCGTCGTCCTTCCAGCTAATCGCGGTTGCGCGACTGGGAGTCGCGTAACCAGCATTGGTGGTCCTTCGTTCCGACGCTTGCTGGCACGAGCGGCAGGATGGCTTCCGGCCATCTCGTGATCGTTCCATAGTTCCCGAGGGCGTCTGGCCAAGTCTCGGGGAGCAACTTCGAAGTCGCGCTGACTGATGATTGGTCTCGTCATCTCGGCTGGTCTCGGGGTGGTGAGGCCCCATTGGCGGTGAGCCGTTTTCGACGTCGCAGTCTTCGGGTCAGTGGACGTGACCCGAGTTTTTGAGGTTGGGCCCTGGAAATTACCAGCGCGACCCAAGTCGCGCAACCTGGATTTTGGCGCGTCCGTCACGGCGGGCGCGGGTCCCATTTCTTCCCGAGTAATTCGAATGCGGCTTACTGGATGTAAGTCGCGCAACCCAAATTTGTGTGTCGCAAGCGCGAACTGCTTCGACGAAGATGGAACTGCGAGATTACTTGTGTAACCCAACATGCCCGCGCGTGCTCGTTGCTCCCCGGGTCGCCGTATCTGTACCGGAGCGACCTGGTCCGCGCGCTAGTTGCTGCGCGTGGGTCCCGGGCTGCGTGCACGTTACCTCTATCGCTGTTGTGGTTGGTCGGTTGGGTCGTATCTCCGGCGTTTGATGTTGAGTGGTGGCCGTTGTTGCATATGAGGAGGAATGGGGTGGTGGTTCCGGTCGCGCGTGGATTTTGCGCGGGAAATTCACCGAGGAGAGTCTAAAATTCAGGGCGCGACCCTGCGCCCTCGAATAAGGTTGCCGGTCCACGGATTTGCCGGCTAATTCCAAGGTTTCGTGGGGAACCCTAGAACGCGTGCACGCGTTCTGCCAGTCGTGGGCTAAAGTGCCCGAAGTGCGAGATGTCTGCTAAACGACTTGCGTCGTCCAACAGCTAGAACCAGCTAGGTCTCATAATCTGTTGGTATTGCGCAATGCCTGGCGATGGTTTGGGCGCTGGCGGTAGCACACAACAGACGGCAGACTTGTTGATACGAACGAGTGTAATTGATGATGGTGTATCTACAGGATGTGTGTGCGTGTGCAAAGCTAAGTGAGACTGAGTGAACAAACTAGTGAGGGAAGGGGTACGTGCGTGGTACCCCTGAGTTGGGTGTATTGTATGCATGCACGCCTCCGGGGCGTGCATGGTGTTAGCGCGCGTGCGATGCAGGTACCGGCCCGAGCGAGCCGGACACCCACCAACACAAGGTGGTAGCGGGCAGACACCTTGGACGTACAAAAGGCGACCAGCCCCGTGAGCCCCAAGAAGAGAGCGAAGAACTCCTTGCCGAGCGGCTTGCGATCAGGGTTATGCGTGTCCGGGTATACCTTGTGGAAGACTTCGACGTCGTCTTCTTGGTCTTCGCATGGGAGTTGGCCGACGATGAGCTTGTCGAGCTTCTTTCTGGCTTCATCCGAATGGCCCGTCGCTTCGGACATCTCCGAGGCGTCGTCGGCTGCAAATTGCATGAGCACGTCGATTCCACCGGGATGTTCGGTCTGATACTTTGTCACATCGTACACCTTGTTGTAGATGATGAACCAGAGATCCTCCTTGGTGTTGTGCTTGGCCAGCTCGGCCTTGCTGATCTCTTTGAGCTCTTGTTCGGCCATGATGTTGCGATGGCTAGGCGTATAGCGGGGCTTCGGAGTGCCAGGTGGATTGGGCTCGAGTGAGAATATCAGGACGACTTGCCTTTGTTGATACACAATTTCCCAACTAATTTGCAGGCTGGCGGGCGTCTCTGCACCGAAATTGCCTTGTTTCTGCGACACCGTCCTCTGGACATGAAACACCGGAAGACACTGGGCAAGAATGTCCAGACTCGCGCAGGCTTCTGACGGGTACATTGCAGGACGCTCAACACTGATCACGGTGCGTGCAACTGTCCCAGCGAATCAGTCGTGCTCGATTCGTCTTACATCTTCGGAAACGCTTCTCGACCCGGCAGTGAAGAAGCCGGCTGTCATCCCATGATAGCTCGATCCAAACCCGGGTCTATCGAATTATTTTAATGTCCGAATTTTTGATATCAATCCGTGTTGTCTACAGTTAGTGGACGTCACTGCCACCAAAACTCGAACGGGCCGCCCTACAGACCCTGCCGACCGACCTTCACAGCTCACATCGGACGTACTCGGTTAAGCAATGCCGGCAGCAGATCGGCGAAGCACCAGAGCCAGGAGCATCAAGACTGAGACGAAGACCGGTTTCCCGGCAGCAATGTCGTCAGTACGTTGGACCGGCCATCGCGCATCACCGACTGTGCGGATTGGTTCGATTTTGGTGACGGGTGTATTGATCGCATAGTAAGCGTACTTGCTTTGGAGTTGGCTTCAACCCTCAGCTTACAGGGTCCTTAAGGCTTCTCTTTGCCAGGGCCAGCTCTTCGAGCATTCTATAAGACTACCAATTCCCTCCGACGTTGCCTTCGTCCGAAGCGCCCCTCGTCTCACAGCGTTTCCAGCCTACCACTGCCATTCCAACGCTTCTCACCATGACCTTTCAACGCTTCCACCTGCTCGGCACAGAGCCGTCGACTGCCAAGGAAGTGGCCCTAGAGAGTTTTGCAAGCTTCAAGAAGGTGCAGATCGAAGTCGCCAAGGCGCTCGACATCACAACGTAAAAGTCGGTCAGCTTCACGTCGTCCAAGGGCGAGGTTCTGGAGAAGATCGAGGAGGTTGTGGACCACCCGGATGCCGTGGCTGTTGCTATCGATGGTCACGCGATTCGCGAGCCGCAAGGTCCCGCACCGCTGCCTGTCGTCGGCAACTACTACGAGATCTACCCGGACCATCTCCATAATCACGGACGTCTCTTCCGCAAGTATGGAGACGTGATCAGGACCGAAGTCATGGGCAAGGTCGTCTACCTCACCAACAGCCCCAGTGTCTCCGAGCAAATCCTCATCGAAAGTCCCTACTTTTCCAAAGAGATCAATTCGAACCATCCTCTGTACGGCATTCGCAACAATGATGCCCTCTTCCTCGGTGACACCAACAAGAACTGGGTCGTCGGCCACAAGTATGCCAGTGCCTCCATGGTAAGTGCCGATCATCTTCTGTCCTTGTCACGACATCGTTCATAGGCACCGCGTACTAACGTGTTTTCGAATTCTTTCCTTTGACGTCTTGTCTCTGTATTACAGACTGGCAAAGCCATCCCGCACTACGCCAAAATGACCCACAATGAGCTCGTCAAGGTACTTGGAGTTCTCCACACTTTGGACGCCAGGGAGGAGTCATTCAACGCCTACTCGTTGACGCTCAAGATCGCATCTCAAGTCATCGGCAAGTTCACCTTGATGCGCGACCTTCACCACCTCGACAGCCCCGAATCTCCTCTCGACGACCTGGTGACCGACATGGTTGCGCTTCTTGGATACAACAAGCAGGTCACCTCGCGAGGTGAATGGTTCGGCAAGCTGCCTTTTGGTCCTGGCAAGCATCTGCGAGACAGCTCGGGTCACTTTCAGCAGCTGCTCGAAAAGCAACTCCAGCTGATCAAGGACGAACACGAGAAGAACCCACGTCCGGATCTCGACCTTGAGACCGCTGCTTTGGATGCCGACTGTCTCGCCGATTTCTTCCTCCGCGCTGCGGACAAGAACGGCGACAAAATCCCGCACGATCTGCTGCTTGCCAACCTTGGTGTGCTTGTGGGTGCCGGATTCACCACCACCTCATCCGCCATGGCTTGGCTCCTCTACGCCCTGGCCAAGTACCCGGATTGCCAAGACAAGCTGCTGCAAGAGCTGGTCGACAACGACATTACCAAGGACACCGAGTTCACCCCGGCCGTGTTTGAGAAGCTTGCGTACTTGGAAAAGTTCCTCAAGGAGGCGCTTCGTATGCACGGTCCCAGTTTCGCACCGGCGCGCCCCGCCCAGGTTGACAACGTCGTCCTGCCCGGCGGCTACGTGCTCAACAAGGGTGATGTGGTGATCTCTGCACTCTACTCGATCCACTACCATCCCAAGATTTGGAACAATCCGGAGAGGTTCGACCCCGAGAGGTGGACGCCGGACTTTAAGCCGTCGCGATACGAGTACATGCCTTTCGCTGCAGGAGGACGATCTTGCATCGGATTCGCATTCGCACTGCAAGAACTTCGTCTGTTCCTGGCCACGATTGTCAGATATTACGACATCTCCCAGGTGGGCGATGAAGCTATCGAGTACGATCCAGAGTTCCAGCTCATCCGACCTACCAACCTCTACATCCGAGCCAAGAGAAGGCCCGAATGAGCTAGTCGGCTGTAGCAGCAGATCACACCGACGGTCTGGTAGAACCTATTTGAGGGCCGAAAACGGATCAGTAAAATGCAAAGTCGCAGCGTGCTTGAGGATCTTGTGCGGATCCTTGAGCCACTTGGATGGGAGCGAGCTGGGCGTTCAAGCTGGGCAATGTTGCTCGGCACCGTTAACCGAATGGCTGATGGTCCAATGAAACGTCACAGGACATCGAGACTCGAAGCTGCTCATATTGGGCGGGAGAACGGCCGAGCACATGTGGAGTCGTTGCGGGCGCTTTGAGCCACTGACGCCAAGAGCATGTTCTCAGACTAAAAGAACCGCCACATTCATGCGCTCGATTTCGATTCTGATTGGACCCCTTCTGCACATGCTGGGCTTGACATACAGCGCAGACCGGCAGAATCACGTCGGCGCTTGCTTTGTTGCTCTTGGCGTCGTCTCTCTGGCACCGACCTTTAAACCACCATCGACTTGCTTGCCACACCAAGCTCCACAGCCTGCTTTGACGCTCGTGCCCAACGCGACCATGCAGAACGCTACGCTGTACTACTGCGAATCGTCGCTCTTCAACAGCACCAACTGCCCAGGCTTTTTTGAGGCCGGAATCGACGGGCGACGCAACCGGTGTTTGACGACCGACCAGGTGGACATCCCGGTGATCGCACTCAACTATTCGCAGACGAACAGCGGCGGGCAGGGAATGGCGTGCACGAATCCAGCCAGCAGCTCGGCGGGTGGCAAGGTGAAGGTTGCCCGAGGCCTCTTGTTGATCACGCTGCTCACTTGCCTTTTCTCGGCTGCGCTTGGTCAGCCGATGTCAGGCGATCTCAGACTAGAGGAGAAACGCGATGTGACCTGCAAGAGCTTCCTACCGACCGAGCGAGAAAAGATCACTACATCCAGACTCACGAAAACATCGGCTGAGGTGGATTGCAGGCAATCGGGTGCGCCGTGCACTGTATCGAATGGCGATGGCAAGAAGCTTAGCTTCGCGAGCGAGTACTTTATCGACGGAGGTGGCTCGGTGAAGGACTTGGATCTGCAGGCCACTTTTGGGTCGAGTGGCTACACGCAATCGTACTCGTCCAAGGTGATCTACACCAGCTGGATCCCCGTGGGCCAGTGTGGATACCTGACGAGCTACAGCGATGCCACCTTGTTCGAAGGGTATTACCGGGACTGTAGCGATGGTGGCAACCGGACGGGGACGGCGGTGGTCGTGCGCAGAGGCTCTCCGTTGAGCTCGTTGGTCCTGACGAGTTGCTGATCCGTTCACACGGTGTGGGAATATGCAGTGTTTCCGTGATTGTCCATGTGGATCTCTCCAAGTGGATGCGGCTATGTGGAATGGTTGGGCAGGGGAGGCGGGGTGGAGAGGTTCCAGTCGATGTTTTGCTGGGTGGACTCGATCCTGGGCTTGCAAGTGCCGAAGATGGAGTCCCAGAGACGCGTCTGCTTGCCGTAGTTGCCGGACTTCTTCCAGCCCTGGCGGTGGTGGAGGTCGTGATCCTCGATGCAGAGCTCGGCGCCGACGAAGCGGAGGGGCCAGGTGGTGGGGATCTGGAAGTAGGCGCGGATGCCCGAGTGACCGAAGGCCTCGACGTAGAGGATGTACACGGTGGTGCCGAACCAGGTGGCAAAGTCGATGCGCCAGGTGAACCACGTGAGGGCGGGGATGAAGAGCGCATCAAAGAGCTCCTGCTCGTGATCGGCAAATGCGCTGAGCGCAGCGTTGGGATGCTTGGTGGTGTGATGCTTGCGGTGGAAGCGCCAGAGGAGGCCCACCTCGTGCATGAGGCGATGGTACCAGTAAAAGTAAAAGTCGAGGATGACGGCGTAGATGAACATGTTGAGCGGGAACATGAGGACGCTCTTGAGGGTGAGGAGCGACTCTCCAGGACGGTAGAGAAAGTAGACGCCGACGAGGGGCCGGCTGATGGCGATGAAGAGCAGCTCGCGCACGACGTGCCAGGTGTCGACGTCGGGCACACCGTCTCTGCCTGCCTGGGCGTCGAATGTGCCGAATTGGAGAGCGGTGCGGTTGCACCACTGTACAAAGCTGATACCGATCAAGATGAGGCTGACACTGTACAATGCCATTGCTGCGCCTCTGCTGAGGGTGATGCCCGTGAGAGCTTGGAATGCAGCGTGGGCGAGGAGCGGAGCGGCGACCCTGGGTGTGACGAAGAGGTACATCTTCCAGAGCGGAAAGACGGGGACAGGCGCATCTTTTGGATAGACGGGAGGCTCGGTTGGAGTGGGTGTCTTGAGCGACGAGTACGAGGCCACGCCCATCATGGCGAGCAAGCGTTCGGAGGTTGTGCGTTGGTCTTGCGCCTTCGAGGGCCAGGTGGAGGTCATTGCGTGTTTCGCCTTGTCACCGCCACCGAGGCCGGCGGTGGGCTTCGAGGCGGTGGAAGATCGCTGAGCTACGTCTGGCATGGTGTAGGATTGGGGTGGGGCCAGTTATGGCATGAACGTCGACTCGAGGCTCTATATATTCGCTCGGCCAAAACCAAAGTTTCGACACGGATCGTGATTTTGCATTTTTGCGAGTGGCTGCGAGTGGCAAAGTTGGTGTGAGTGCTGGAATTTTAGTGGAGGCGCGGTTCCGCACTGTGCGACAGCCGCAAGCGGTGGAGGTTCGAAAGCCGCGTGAAAGAGGCCGAGAGCCGCGCTTGGCAGACGGCGTCTGGATTCGGCGACATTTGGTGGAGACCACGCAGCCGCGCCTCTTTCCACTCGACATGCCAGTGTCCTCCGCCTCCAATCTGGTGCCTGGCGCCTCGGTGTCTCTGTTAGGCTTCGCAAGCTTGGCATTCGTAGTCCACTGTGCTTTGTTCGAGGGCGAATGTCATTCCGAGCTCATTTCTGTTATTGTTAGAAAAAATGGGGTCGAAAAAGTCGGAAGCCGATTCGACTGCGCAGACGATGCGGCAAAGTGTGCGTCGTCACCATCACTGCAGTCCTGCGCCTGATCGCTGTCTCGGCCATGTGGAGCGTGTTGGTCGCCACGCCGCTGTGCATCTGTGCAGCAGCCGCCCAATGCATCGACTGCGCACGAGCCGCTGGATGCACCGATTGCCACCAAGCCTTTGACGCGCGAGCATCCAACTCGAGCGCTGACTTTGACAGGCCCGAGCGCACATATCCAGTCGCAGTCAAGACGCTCAACCTCGCCGGCTTCTTTGACTGCCTCGACGCTCCTGACTACCCCTCCGACCAGATCATTTACGCCGTGGATCGACAGGGGGTGTTCATCGAGGTGGACATGGGCGACCTGCTCGAACACGCACGACGCCCGACCCAAGATTGCAACCATGTCGTGACCGACGAGACCACAGTGCTGGACTATCTCACCTTGTTTCATGGGCCTAGCTTGGGCGGTCGCTCCGTGGCTTTGGCCGCAGAGGACGAGACGATCGTCGGATCCAATATCGACCCAGACCAGTCGGACCCCGACCCAGATACAGTCTTACTCGGCCAGCCCATCGGTCCCGAGTTTTGGGCAGCAAGACACGGCGCAGACTTTTGCGCAGAATAGCTTGTCAGACATTCGGTCGATGTGATTGCAAAATGCTGGTACCGCTTGTGCTTCTCTCACTCAACGTGTCCGGTGTGGTCTCCTGCGAATCAATAGAGTTGTGCTCGGTGAGCCAAAAGGCGACCTCGGTTCGACTGGCGCGCTGAAACCGGCGGTGGCGATTCAGGGTCTTGCGCTCGGGCCCACAGGTTGCCTGCACAGGGTGTGCGTGTGTGCGACGCTGGGAGCCGAGGCTGTGCGTGCGTCGAACAACCACCACCCTCACCTCCAGCGCTACTCTTCGCAATGCAGCCAACAATGACATACGAAAAGCACGCGCTGCTTCCCGAGGTCGCCACTCAGGCCTCGGCCCGTGCTGGCGCAGGCTTGTCCTGGAAGGCCAAGCTGGCTTTGGCCGCCCTCGGCGCTCTGGGCTGGTTTCGCCTCGACGCTCGCCTGGAGCAGGGCCGGATCATCAAGCACGGCCACCACCACAACTCTGACTGGGGCTCCTTCCCGCACACCGACGATCCGTTCCACTTTCTCCCGTGCACCAATGCCACTGTCCCACCGGGCCTGGACGAGGCGCATCCGCTCGAGGCATGGATGCGGCTGTACGATCCCAACCCGCAACACTGGTCGCGCGGCAACGGTAGTCGGTCGCTGTACCTGTGTGGATGGCTGGATGTGCCGCTCGACTACACCAACACCTCGGACAAGCGCGTGGCACGGCTGGCGGTGACCAAGCTGCAACATGCGCCCGAGCGGTCCAAGCGCACGATGATCGTCGAACCGGGCGGACCGGGAGGATCGGGAACGAGTCTGGTGTGGCGCAAAGCCGAGCTGTTTGCGCAAAAGTACACCGACGATACGTTTGATGTGCTTGGGTGGGATCCGCGCGGAGTCAATGTCTCGCAGCCCTCGATTTCGTGCTTCCCCTACGACGCCGATCGCGATCGATGGAACCTGCTCACCACGCGCTTTCACCGCGAAAGCGAGCCGCGCGAGGCAATGCTCAAGGCCGACGCCATGAACCAAGCGATCTTGGAGGCGTGCAAACGCGAGTATGGAGACGTAGCGGGCATGCTCACCACCGCATTCGTGGCGAGGGATTTGGACGAAATCAGAAAGGCGCTCGGAGAGGAGGTTGTCAACGGATACTTTATCAGCTACGGTACTGGGATTGGACAGACGTATGTCAACATGTTTCCGCATGCAGTGGGAAGGCTGATGCTCGATGGCACCGAGTACGTGCGCGACCAGCGTCTGATCGGTGGATTTGGATGGGCGGCGCTCGACAACATCACCGCCGCCTTCCACGATGGCTTCCTCGGCGAGTGTGTCGATGCGGGTCCAGACCACTGCAAGTTGGCCCAACCGCTGCCTGGATCCACCTCGCTACCAACCAAGAGCGACCTGATCAAGGCGATGGATGGGTTGTTTGGTCGGCTGGTGGAGCGGCCCATTCCAGCGCATACAGAGGAGTCGGGACCGATGATCATCAGCTACACGCAGCTCGTCTCGCTCATCTACGGTGCGCTGTACAATCCGTTGGGATGGGACGCCCTAGCTGCTGCAATGCACGATCTGCTGCAGGGGAACACGAGCATGGTCGCGCGAATGGTGGATTCGTGGGAATACAACCCTGCGCTGCCGGTAGCCAAGCATTCGTCCGACGAGCTCGGCATGCTGGTCATCTGCTCGGACCAGTACGACAGCCCGCTTCCGCCCGACTACGACGTCGAAACCAACGGCGAGGGTTGGTACCTGGATCTGTGGAAGAGCATGGTGGAGCAGTCCGAGATCGGAGGCAATGGACGATTCCTCGACGTCCTGCCGTGTCGACACTGGAATGCGACGTTCGGTGCGCCCAAAGAGGTGTATCGCGGTGATCTTGACCACGATCTCTCGCACCCGGTACTGTTGATCGCCGAGGCGTACGATCCAGCCACGCCACTGCGCAATGGTCGGAGGTTGTTGCGCGAGATGGGCAAGAATGCGCGCTTGATCGCGCATCACGGTTACGGACACTCGTCGAGGGATACCAGCACCTGCACCGACACCATCATGCGCGAGTACATGCTCCACGGCACTGTGCCCGAAGAGCAAGAAACCCAGTGCAAGGCCGATGCCAAGCCGTACCGATACACCGAGGCCAAGTCGAGCGCTCAGCTGGTGGAAGAGTGGAAGATCAGCATGGCCGAGACCCAGATGCTGCGTGGCAAAACCTCCCGCAGACGCCGAGTGTAGATTCAATGTAGGATTGTGCGCGAACGATTATCGAAAGTTTCGCTGTCGTTTCTTAAAGCGATCTAGCACGAGCTGGTCGGTTGCCATCTGGCGTCGTTCTGGACGCGATCCGTTCGACGCCTGTGCATGATCCTGCCTTGGCCTGGCGCGTTGAAACCTTGCATTGGCGTAATCCTCATCGACGTCGTTTCGCGCAGGCTTGGGCTGACTAGCCTCGCGCCTTGCTGCCTCGGTGTGCTGGATGTTGGCCATGCGCGCATCGATGCCCAAGTCCACCTCGGGGATCGAGGTGAGCATGGCCGAGGAAAAGGCGACGTTGCCCTCGCGCTGCTCCTGCGTCTGTTCGGGCTTGATCGATCGGTGCAGCTGCTTGTACGTTTCCGCCACTGCGTAAAGCGCATCCTCGGGATCGTTGACCGCGGCCACGATGGCTGCTGCGTCGACGTTGTCCGAACTGCCTGTGCGTTTCCGCATCTGGTCCTCAATGTACGCCATCCTAGATTCAAAGGCTGTTGGCGTGAGTTGAAGAGGAACGTGGGGGAAAAGAAAGAGAAGCTTACATGTGTTTGTCGACGTCGACGGTGCCTGTCTCGCCCTGAAAGTTGTTCTTGCGCACCAGACGCGGCTTGTCTTGGTGGTCGCTGTCATCGTCGCCCGCTCGATTCGAGATGCGTTTGGTGGAGTCCTCGTCGGCAGTCTTAGGTTGGTTGTGTTTGCGGGGACGATCGCCGCGATTGAGTCGGTCGAGCTCGATCCCATCCGGTCGACGTGCGAGACTACGAAGCGCGATGAGATCCTGCACCGACAGCTCGTCGTCGGCGGCTGGGTCGGTTGATGGCGGTGTGCTGGTCGGGTCGGTCGCAGGAGCATCGTCGATGGCGGTAGTGATGCGTGCTGCGCGCTGTGGTTTGGAACGCTTCTTGAAGAGCGGTGCTGAGCTTGGCCCTGCTTCCGAGTCCATGGCTGCCGACGAGATGTGCGAAGTGGGAGATGATGGTGGAGAGGCAAGCTGCGAAAGTGTTGTTTTTCGGTGGAGGAATGGAAATGCCGCCGTCTTTTTTTGGCGCCGGACTTTTGCTCGGCCATTTTTTGCTGATAGTGTCGCTATCGTGTGCAGCTCAAACCACGCTCACGACAAGACTCAAGCGGGACCATGGCTGACAGAAAGACGGTGTTGATTGGAATGCACAAAGGGTATCAGAGCGCACCTACGGACTGGAGGATGCTGTTCAGCGCATGGATCTTGTTCAAGGCCTGCACATCGTCGTTGCCGCCCACGAGCCTATCCCTCGCCATGACGGTGGGGAAGGTCTTGTGGCGCGTGAGCTGTGCCAACAATGGCTGGAGGTTGTGCGCATCCGGTCGCAGATCCACCTCGTGCACCGTAAAGGTGGCATTGAGCGAGGTGAGGAGTGCTTTGGTGCGCTTCGAGTAGGGGCAGTAGCTCTTGCTGAATACGGTCAAGCCCAACGGCTCGCGCATGCGTGCCACCCAGTCGGCGCGCGAGAGCGAGTAGAGCTGATGTGCGTCGTTGAGGATGGAGAACTTGGGCGAAGATGGCTGGCCGGTGGTGTTGGAGGGTGTGGGCAGGCCGACGTGTGCGAGCAGCTGGGTGAACTTGTTGGTAGGACCGGCGTTGAGCGAGGCAAACAGGCCGCCTTCCAGAGGCGTGCGCTCGAAAAAGATGCCGTTCCAGTCGTCCTCGAGCGTAAACTTTTTGTCTTTGAGGGCGTGAAGGAGCAGAAGCATGCTTTCGTCCTTGGCGTCGAACTTGGTCATCTCGCCCACCTGGAGCGCCAGATCCAGCTTGGAGGTGGCAGCCGACGCAGTTGGGTCGTGGTCGAGCTTCTGCTTGAGTGCGGCGAGTTCGGGGGTGCCTTCCACATGCAGATTGTCCAGCAGCGCGTTGTGAAGGTGGCCGTCCTGGTCGAGGTGTGCGTCGTCGTAGTGGTGCGGTGGCGTGGGCAGTTTGGCTGCCAGCTCGTTGACCGCAGGCGCGGCGTGGTGGAGCGACGACTGCAGCGAGTCGAGCACATGCGCACCAGCTTCGGAGGCGGCGTTGTAGTCGAACGGTGCGGATGCGTTGCCGTTGTACACGAGCATCATGTACATGGCCGGCACGAGCAGCAGAACGACGAGCAGCTTCTTGCGTCGCACAAAGGCGAGCGGGGGCAGCCACAGCGATGGCGTGCATGTGCGCTGCGAGGCGGGCGCGTGCCTCCCAGACTCGAGGTCGTGCAGCCGTGGTTCCTTGGATTCGACGCCCATCGTGGTCGACTCGGTGAAGGATGTGGCGCGGAAGCAAGAGAGCTCCAAGCTCCTCCTCCTCCTTCAGGGTCCAAGGCGGAGGGCCGCTTGATTACTAAGCATGACTTGATCTCCTCGCCTCCACTCTGCGCTGCTTTGGATTTCGCCAAGAAGGCTCAGTTGGGCTTTGCCTCTCTTGCTCCGCCTACCATTCCCATTCGATAACGACAAGATGCCCGTGTTCCAGCCGGCAAACCAGATCAAACTCACCAACGTCTCCATCGTGCGCCTGCGCAAGGGCGGCAAGCGCTTCGAGATCGCATGCTACAAGAACAAAGTGCGCGAGTGGCGCACGGGCGTCGAGACCGACCTGGACGAGGTGGTGCAGATCGAAAACGTCTTTCTCAACGTCTCAAAGGGACAAGTGGCGCCCTCGGATGACCTTCAAAAGGCGTTTGGCACTACGGACACCGCCAAGATCCTCCAAGAGATCCTCAAGAAGGGCGAGCTGCAGGTGGGCGAGAAGGAGCGACAGCACGAGCTCGCCAACACCTGGAGGGACATTGCGACGCAGGTGGCGGAAAAGTGCGTTGACCCTGGAAGCCAGAGGCCGTATACGGTGGGCATGATCGAAAAGGCGATGCACGACGTCCACTACTCGGTCAAGACGGGCCGAAGCGCCAAGCAGCAGGCGCTCGACGTGATTCGGCTGCTGCAGGAGAAGAAGACCATGCCGATCGAGCGTGCACGCATGCGCATCCGCATCACCATGCCCGCCAAGGACGGAAAGAAGCTCAAGCCCAAGATCGTCGCGCTCACCCACGCCATCGACGACGAGGACTGGGCCGAGGATTGGGAGCTTGTGGCGTTTATCGACCCGGGCGCGCTCAAGGCCATCAACGAGCTCGTCGAAGCCGAGATCAAGGGCCGCGCCAACGTAGAGACGCTCAACTTTACCACGATCCGCGAGGGCGATGGCGACGAGAGGTTAGAGTGAGTCCCCCACGTCCAATGCCAATGACAATGCAGAACCAGATTGTTTTGGGATTCCAGGAAAAAAGTTGTGCGGGTGGTTTAGGCCTACTTTGCAAAGTGCAACGTCCACGACGAGAGCAGTCTCCTCGCGTGGACCTCGGCGGTGGTGAGACCGGGCGTGCCGTAGGTGAGCGGGCTGAGCCACCAGAAGCACACGATGAGGGCGGCGATCATGACGCCCATCACCGCACGCGCCTGCTTGGGCACCACATTGTCCATCCTCGCGCGGTAGTCCTGCACGCGCAGCAGAGGCCCCGGCGGCGAGATGGGGAAGTGCACCGTCTCGCTGGCGACAAAGTTGACCACCGCACCCGCCACCAGACACGCACAGACGTGCGCCGGCAGATAGTGGTGGATGAACAACTGACGCGACATGAGGAAGAACGGCACATAGTGGCACGCCCACGCAACCACAAAGAATCCCGCCGAGTTGTGCAGCCGATTGCGCACCGCACTCGGGATCGGATAGATGCCACGCCTACGAGCCAGCAGATCCGCTCCGACCACACCGGCAAAGATGGAGATGCTGAGCATGGTGCCCCACCACGAAACCAGATTGCCAATCATGTAGATCTGGTGCTGCCCCGCATCCTGCGTCCAGAACGAAATGCCCTGCAGCAAAAACGGCCAGTTGATCGGCCCCGTTGCGTACGGATGGCTTTGGGTCAAGCCGGCGTTTTGCTGGAGCATCTGCAGCTGCAACTCGAGCCACTTTTTCAGAAAGCTCATGCGAACCACCTTGCGCGGCGGCAAGGGTTGGAGCCTCTCTTGGTAGTCCGGGCTCGAGGGCGAAGGGACGAGGTCGTCGACGTACCACAGACACGTCTTGTCCATGGCGTTCTTGTTGCCGTTGACCTCTTGCTGCTTGAAGCCCCAGTCCGGGAGCGCCTCGGAGTGGGTCCACATGCAGACGCGCGTGTTGACGTGGATCAGACGGAACCAGGACGCCTTGCTCTTCCAGCTCTTGTCCGGCAGGTCGGCCTCGTCCAGCTGGAACTCGAAGAGCGTGTCGTCGTAGCGCGACGTGTCGTTGGCGGGCGTGGTGGTGAACTCCTCGTTGGTGGCCATGAGCGGCGAGGCGACGTCGTGGGTGAGCAGATAGCTGTTGGTGTTGACATGGAGCAGACGGATGTGGTCCTTGTGCTTGACCACGCGGCCGTCGGCGTCGTCGTCAGGGATGGGTCGCGTGGGCACAATCTGCCAGACGTTGTTGGTGTCGTTGTGCGGATAGCCGGTGACCTGCTGACCCTGGCTCGAGATGCGTCCGTCGTCGTACTTGAGCGGATATCGCTCGAGGTGCGAGTGCAAAAATGCTTTGGTGTTTTTGTGCTGGAGGGTGATGTGGTCGTGGTACTGGATGTCGCGTGCGTTGCTGAGCATGGGGTTGCCCTGGAGCGTCTGCTGGAACTGCGAGCTCATGAATACGTCGCCGGGACCGCTCTTGATGAGGATGGCAAAGTGGACCCAGAACCAGAAGAGGTAGACGCCAAAGGGGAGGACGATGAGCGCAAAGAAGCGCGCGAAAAAGTGGCGCACGACGTGGTCCATGTCGAGGCCGCGGCGGATGTCGAGCAGCTTCCAGAGGTCCCACACGACGGCGGCGCCGATGGTGAAGAAGGTGAAGAGGCCGACCATCTTGCAGCTCATGGTGAGTGCGAGGTTGACGCCCGTGGCGACGAGCCAGGACCACCAGCCGAGCGAGAATTCGTTGTAGCGGAGCTTGTAGAAGCGGATGTACGAGTAGAGGCTGAGCATCATGAAGAGGATGAGCGGGGCGTCGAGCAGGATGAGGCGATCCTGCGCGATGTGGGCGTTGTCGAAGAGGAGGAGCGCGGCGCTAAAGACGCCGATGACGGGCGCATAGCCGCTGTGACGCATGATGGCGTAGATGAGCGGGACTTGAAGACTGCCGATGATGGCGGGGACGGCGCGCATGCGGATGTAGGGCACGTTGTTTTCGAGGTACTTGTCACCGATCTGGTCGAACTCAAAGTGGCCGTCGAAGCCGGCAATGTATCCGGCAAAGGCGTTGATGAGTTTGGCGAGCGGCGGATGCACGTCAAAGTGGAACTCGCGGCGGAGGTAGTAGGCTGCGAACTTGCCAAAGTGGACCTCGTCGAACACGACCTGGTCTGGGAACGAGATCTTGTAGAAGCGCAGCGCGGCTGCGAGCACGAAGAGCGCGACGGTGATGGGCGTGTCGGCGGCGTGGGCGTGTACCTTGGGCGAGACGGCGTGCAGATTCGAGCGATACTTGCGGTGGTCATCGTTGTCGTCGTTGGGTGCTAGGTGGTGTTGAGGAGCGACGACGTGCTGCTGCTGCTGCTGCTCGTTGCGGCGAGCGCGCACCGTCTGACCCCTTGAAGCGTCCATGTTGGTAGCGTTGGCGGTGGTGGTGGTGGCAGAAAGACAAGGACCAACACTCGCACCATCCCTCGCACCAACACTCCTTCCCATGGCTGGTTTGTGCGCTCTTCTGCTGGCGTCGCATTTCCCGGCCTAAAGATGGATTTTGAAAGCGGTTTTTGGCGCCGTTTCTTCCGATTTTCGCGTCGCCCTCCAATCCTTCGGGAGTCGGAAGTGGCTTGGCTCGGCCACCGTCCAAATCTGAGCTGCACCAGAAGCCTCCACCTTTCTTCTTCTTCTTCTTCCTCATCCTCCTCCTCCTCGCCATCATCATCACCATGCCAATCGACTCGCCACCCACAGCAAGCACATCCGGCGTCACAATCGAAGACCTCGTCTCCTCCCGCTCCACCTACTCCGCCGCAGATGCCGCCCTCTCCGCACACATCGACGCACGCAAGGTCGCACGCAACCTCGCCGTCCCTACCTCCGATCCAAAGGTCAGGCTGCGGCTCAGAGAGCTAGGTGAACCGGTCACATGCTTCGGCGAGCGCGAAATGGACCGCCGCGAGCGTCTCCGTCAGGTCCTCGCCCAACGACTCCAATCTCAACCCGCAACCGCATCCGCCTCGACCACACTCTCCCAAGCCTCGGACAGCGAAGACGATTCGGAAGACGAAGAGTTCTACACCGAAGGGCCAAAAGGTCTCGTCGAGGCGAGACGCAAAATCGCCTGCTTCTCCCTCGTACGTGCAAAACACAGGATCCAACGCCAACGCAAAGAAGCCAAAGCGCCCCTCTCCAGCATCGTCAACAAGAGGCAAGACGTGCTCGACCCCATCAAGGCGTACACCAATTTGGGATCGCAGGTCGGCGACGATAGGCCCATCGCCATGACACGCTTCGCGCCCAACTCCAAGCTGCTCGCCACCGCCAGCTGGTCCGGCAGCATCAAGCTCTGGCAAGTGCCCAGCGCCACCCACAAACTCACCTACCGCGCACACACCGACAAGGTCGGAGGTCTCGCATGGCATCCCCGCGCAACGCTCGACCAAGACCCCACGGCGCTCAACCTGGTCTCGGGAGCAGGCGACGCCAACGTCTGTCTCTGGAGCCTCGACAGCGATCGTCCCCTAGCCACGCTCAAAGGCCACGAAGCGCGCGTCGCACGAACCGCTTTCCATCCATCGGGAGACTATGTAGCCAGCGCATCCTTCGACGGCACATGGAGGCTCTGGGACGCCTCGACCACCGATTGCCTCACCGTACAAGAGGGACACAGCAAAGAAGTGTATTCGGTCGAATTTCAGGACGACGGTGCTCTCGTCGCCAGCGGTGGTCTCGATGCCATCGGCCGCGTATGGGATCTGCGAACAGGCAGGACTGCCATGGTCCTAGACGGACACGCAAAGGAGATCCTCTCGATCGACTTCGCTCCCAACGGATACCAACTCGCCACCGCCAGCGGAGACGACACCGTCCGCATCTGGGACATGCGCGCCACAAAGGCGCTCTACACCATCCCGGCTCACAAATCGTCTGTCTCGGACGTACGATTCTTCCGCTCCCTCGCGTACCGACAGGCGCTGAGCGATGGCGAGGGGATCGGTAGTACAGGCCTCTACCTCGCCACCGCAGGATACGATGGCATGGTCAGGGTCTGGTCCGCAGACGACTGGCAGCTCCTCAAGACGCTCCAGGGCGATGCAGGCAGAGTCATGAGTGTTGACATCAGCTCCGATGGCGAGATGCTCGTCAGCGGAGAATGGAGTCGCACCTTCAAGCTGTGGGGAAGGTTATAGCCGAGCCGGCGATTTATTAAAAACACGAAAGCCGAGCTGCCAGCGTGGAAATTTTGGCTAAAGTCGGTGCTCCGTGCACGACCAACACACCAACACCCGAACATCAGCGCACAATCGACTTGCTCCTCTCGCCACCACCGCAAGCCACCTCGCCCAACCATGTCTGCCTCTGCCTCCTCCTCGTTCGGCCCGCACGCGCATTCCGAACCACGACTATCGCGCACCTCGTTCGTGCTCGACTGCTTCCGCATCTCCTCGTCCATCCTGCCGCGCGTCTTCCCCACCGTCCTCTTCCTCACGCTCTACGCATCCGCCATCGCTGCAGCCGATCTCATCTGGCATGCAAGCTGGACAACCAGCTACGCCGTCACCAGCACGCTCTCTGTCGTAGTCGGCCTGCTGCTCGTCTTTCGAAACAGCACGAGCTACGACCGCTGGTACGAGGGAAGAAAGCTCTGGCAGGATGCCCAGTCCACCGCCAGGAATTGGGCCCTCCTCGTCTGGATCAACGTCGACACAAAGCCGGACAAGGTGGGCGCAAAGCAGAGAGCGCTCAGGCTGGTGGGCGCGTTCATGCTTGCTGTCAAACACGAGTTGAGGGCCGAGTATGGAACGCAGTGGGACGATCTCCGTGCCGTGCTGCCCAAAGAGTGGCTGCAATCTCAATCTGCCAATCAAGCCTACGATGCAGCCGCAAAGGTCTCGGACATTGAACGTCAGACCTCGGTCTCGGAGGTATCACCTCTACTTTCTCAAGCATCCTCGGGTATGGTGCAAGATGGTCTTGGATTGCCGTTGCGGATCCTCGCGGAGCTACACCACTACCTCGCCACCTCGCGCCGTGCCGGGCTGCTCGACGACCTCGGACCCGCAGGCTTCTCGCTCCTCAACACGCAACTCCTCGCACTCTCGACGCTCTTCTCGAGCATGATGCGCATCTCCACCACCCCGACCCCGCTCATCTACGCCATCCACCTCAAGCAGTCTTCGCTCATCTATCTGCTGGCACTCCCACTGGCGCTCGTCGGCGAGTTGGGCTGGAAGATGGTCCCCTTCACCTTTGTGGTGAGTGCAATGTTGGTTGGGTTGGAGGGCATCAGCAGCGAAATCGAGGATCCGTTCGGAAGGGATAAGAGCGACCATAGACTCGACGAGTGGTGCCACACGCTCAACGCCGAGATCGAGACGATTATGCGCAGTATCAAGCAGGGTGTCCAGGTCGAGTAGCGACGTCTTGCGCGTTTATGCCAATCCCGAAGAGCGACGCCTGCAAATCCACACTTGTTCACTCGTCATCGTTGCAACATCCGTCTCGGGACCGCATTGAATTGCTTCGTGACCGCCTGTGAAGTGAGAACACGCAATCGTGACATGGTCTGCTTGCCTCGCGCTCAGACATCACAGGTGCAAGAGACGTCGCCGCTTCACCCTGCTGTCCAGACATCCATTCTGGAGTCACACAGTTCGTCTGCTGTTCAGCGCTCTGTCTTGACAAGTCGGCCGCATCAATCCCAATCGCCTCGCTCCCACATGCAGTCTCGTCAATTGAAGCCCTTGCCCCAGTCGCCAGCGCCGTGCGCCCACACATGCAAAGCCCAGACTGACCTGGAAATGTTTCTACCCGTGTGTGAGATTAGACAGAGCGCGCGGTCTAGACGTACATTCTGAGGGCGATTCTAGCGTCCGCCATGATGTGGCTGGTGGGCCTGATGTGGCTGATGCGCCTGGTGCGCCTGATTGTAGTAGGGACGGTGGTGATTGTAGTGATGCTGCTGGTGTCCGTTGGTATGAGTCTGGCCTGCATCCTTCCACGCCGTGCCTGCAGCTGGATGGGTGGGCGCGTGGGCGGGATAGCCATGCGCGTGCATCGGCGCCTGAGGCTGCATCGGCGGCGGCGGCGGCATACCCGCATACTGCAGCGGCGGCAACGTATCCACCCGCTGCCTCTGGGGTGCAGGCCAGGTATTCTGCATCGGTCCCATCCCCATCCCCTCCCACTGCGGTGCAGGCTGCTGCGCAAGCCCAGGCATGGATGCGCTCGTGTCGATAGGGTCGAACCAAGGCACGTGATTCGTCCAGTCGGTCGTACTCGCCGGCCCAAACAGGTCAAAGGTGGGGATGTCAAACATGCCCCCATTCGAGCTCGAAGCAGTCGTGGCGGATGGTTGGGGAGCAGCGCCGAAGCTCGACTGAAAGTTGTGCGAAAACGACTGCGCTTGACTCAGACTTCCCTCGGCCATGTTCGAATCTAGCTTGCGCGGCACAGAGGCTTCGTCTGGATGACTCGCATCCATCGAGGGATGTCCTGGAGAGGGACCTTTGGGCTGGGCCGCCGCTTCAGCTCGCTGTTTTCCGAAGATGTTCCGGAAGTGGTACGGAATCGCGCGGTGGAGCGATGCACCAAGCTTCCACTTCTGCATGCCCTGCGCCATCTCCTCGATGAAGATGACACCGATCTGCGAGATGCTCCTGCCCTGCACCGCCTCCTCCTTGTCGTTGAGATCCGGTGTGAGGCTCGACAGCCGACGCGAGGGAGGCGGCATGCTGGAACGCTTGCGAAGCGGAGGCAGATACTCGTTGCGATCGCACTCTTCGAGGCGCGAGCGCGTGTTGATCATCATCACGAGATGCATGTCTGCCGTGACAGGCAGATGGTCAAAGCCGTAGAGCGAGCATGCCGTCTTCTCGAGGAACGTCTTGCATCCGTCGGTGGCAAAGGCCGTGGTGAGCAACAGTGGAGCGCCCGTGGCTTCGATCCACAGGCCACCGCCCCGCTGCATCTTGGAATGCACGCGACCGCGCGTGAGGATGTCGGGCTGCGAATAGCCCAGGCCGCGGTCGAAGAGGTGGAAGGCGCTGAGCATGTGGTACGTCTCGACGTCGCGCTTTTCGGAGATGCAGGTGGACTGGTCGCGGAAGCTCTGATCGACGCGAAGACCTTCGATCATCTCGTTGGCGGAAAAGCCGCGGTTGAGCTCGCCCGTCATGAAGGCACAGATGGCGAGGCACGGCAAGAGCTCCTGCAGTGAAAACGACTCCATGGTCGCCCAGTCTTCGAGCAGCAAGGCGGGTCTGACACTAGCAAAGGGGCTGAAAGCGAGGTGCTTTGCGCTTTGCCAGATCAGCTGTTGGTTGGACGAGTCGGTGAGCAGCTCGAGGAGCTCCTGGCGAGTTTGTTGCGTAGTGGGGATGAGAGCCGGCGGGGTGGGCTGCTTGGCGCCTTTGGCCAGGATGCTGTACATGCCAGCGATGGTGTCCTGGAAGCGCGCCATGGCTTTAAGTCGATAGACGAGGCCGGTGCGACCGGCGGAGCGCAGGATGCTGTCCTCGTCGAGACCTGGGAATCGCTTTTCGGTGGTGAGGAAGGGATCGCGGTCCCTGCGTTCGATCTTGCGGCCGTCGTTGTCGATGGCGACCATGACGTCGGCCTTGTCGACAATGTCGCCGAGCTCGATGGGTCGCACGGTGGAGTTGACAAAGGAAAAGTGACCCTCCCAGATGCGGAGGCTGAGCCAGATGGAAGCGCCGGCGGCGTGCTTGGCGAGCAGATCGCGGCGTTGCTTGGCGTGCCTGTCATCCGAAGGGGCGGGCCTGTTGCAGAGATCGACGAGGTTGTCGATGGCCTTGTCGAGGTCGAGGCCGCGTGCGATGGTGAGGGCGGCGGCGAGGAGCGACTCGCCGAGAAGGCCGTTGCCGCGCTCGGCCTGTGCGGAGCCGGCGACGCTGGTTCCGACGAGGGAAGGTTCGTGGGCGAGCAGAAGCTCGAGCGCCTGTACGGTGTACATGTCCCTGGGTGTGGAGAGTAGGATCTGTGTGCCGAGCTGGTCGATTAGGGTGGAGAGTTTGACGGGGAGGGGATCTGTGAGCGGCATGGCGTGGCGGCAGGCGACAAGGCACATGGAGCTGAGGAGGAGTGCGCTGGAGACGGTGGGACGCTTGCAGTGTTCGTTGTACATGTGGTCGAGGCTGGGAAGGTGCGGATGCCAGAGGATGTAGGGCTTGAGGAAGGGCTTGAGGTGGGCGAGGGTGTGGCGCGGGATGAGGTCGAGGATGTCGATGTTGGTGAGCGAGCGATCGATGCGGCAGAGGAGGTAGGTGGTGAAGCTGGGCTGTTGGGCGGCGTAGTCGATGAGCACCGAGAGGGGTCTCCAGAGCGAGGTCCAGGTGCGACCGGGAGGCTGCACCTTGGAGGGGGTGGAGGAGGAGGCGGTGGTGGTGGAGGGGGAAGGGGCGGAGCCGGGAAAGCCAGGCTTGCGATCGGCGGGGGATCTTGCGGGGTCTCTTGCGGATGGATTGGTGGACCAGTGGGAGCGGTCGGGCCCACGCAAGGATGCAGGGGAAGCGACGGAGGAGGGTGTTGATGCGTCCTCTGCGATGGGGTTGAAGAATTGGACCGAGGCAAGGGTTGAGGCGGCTTCTCGGGAGCTGGAAGCGTCGTTGGAGGAGGCGGGGCCGCGGGGCGACATGTCTGGTGGATCGTCGTAGGCGGTGTTTCGATCGGAGAGGTGAGCTGCTGCGGCGGCGAGCTGTTCGAGCGATCCGGGACTGCGTGGCGGGGAGGAAGGCAGACGGGAGGAGCTGGGTTCTGACTTTACGGGGGCCGGTGTGGCAGAGGCAGAGGCGGAGGTGGAGGCGGATGCATGTACCTTTGGACGACGCTTTCTGTCACCGTCCCATACGACGCAGTCGAGGGAGAGCACCTTGCATCGGTGGCAGGCCATGTTGTGTGAGAGTGGCGTCATGGAGGAAGGTGTGGTGAGGCTGTGATCTGGCAGTTCGCATCTGGCCTTTTTCTCGCGGCACTTGAGGCAGCTTCGTTTTGCATAGGCTCTGCGACGAGCGGTCTGCTTTTTGGGAGTGTCTGCGTCGCCGTTGTCGAGCTCGGGGTCGTGCTTTGTTGGTGGGATGCCGAGCTCATCGTGGCGTGGATGCTGAGAGGCGTGCCTCTCTGCGGGCATCGCGAGAGGGAGTCGGCACGTGTGTTGTTGTGAAAGAGAGTGCTGGCGTGAGGTGTTTGGTAGTGGCGATGGTGGTGGTGGGATGGAATGAGCGGCTGATGATGGAGGACGGGAGGACAATCTGGCGGCTGACTGACCCACAATTGTGAGAATATTCACCTTCTCCACCGGCCAGCTTCTCCACCGGGCCAGGGTCTTGTTGCTGCCTTCTGCTCGCCTCCCCGCATTTGGCGCCCAATTTCCGCTCTGGACTTCGAATCCGAATCAGCGCGCTCTCGCCAATTCCGGGCTCGCTTTGTCAACATCAATCGCGGTCGGGTGCACAGGCAGTGAGTGGTGGGGATGATGGATTGGCTCTTTTGGCTGCTTTTGGATGCGACTAGTACGGCCGCCCTCGACGAGCACCGCCGCCGGGACCACGCTCCATGCCTCCACGATTGCCCGGACGATTGGGGTTGGGACACATGTTGGCAAAGTGGCCGTAGTCGCCGCACTTGAAGCAGAGCACTTCCGACAGATCCTTCTTCCAGCCGCGTCCTGCATCCTGTCCTCCCTGTGGTGCACCACCAGCAAAGCCGTTGTTGGGTCTGCGTGGCATGGCTGAAGCTGCATCACCTCCTCCGCCCGGTGCGCCGTATCGACCGGGCATGCCACGGTCGCGCCTGCCGGCGTCGCCAAAGTCGTCGCGTCCGCCGCCCATGCCGAATGCTTCTGCGGCGGTGAGTGGCCGGTGGGTCAAGATGGGTGAATTGGAGCGTGACGATGTGGAAGGCGGCATGCTCTTGATGCTGTGATTGCGAACAATGATGTCAGCGATGGTCACGGATGAGCCGGGAAGGGGGAAACGAGAGATACTCACTGTCCGCGTGGACACTCGGCGCCTTGTGGGCAGAAGCCGGCGAGGTAGAGGGGGCAGGCGATGCGTCGGATGTGCTTCTTGGGGCAGAGCGGTCCCTTTGGGCAGAATCCGCGGTTGTACCGTTCGCACTCTCTGCGCTTGATGGCGGGGTCGACGTGGAGGTAGAGGCAGTCGTCTCCGCTGTTGCAGAATCCAAAGGTGGCGTAGAAGCGGCACTCGGGGATCCTGCGCATGTCGTACTCGTGGAGGTAGTCGCACTGCTCGCCCTTCTTGCACAGCCCTCTGAGCCAGTGCTTGCATACGGTGCGCTTGTTGGGATCGCGCAGCGCGTTGGAACCGTGCGGCAAGAAGTTGAGCTGGCTCGGCTTGACGTGACGTCGTGGACACGCGGCGCCGCGCGGACACTGCAGACGCTCGGCGTAGTCGGGGCAGATCTGTGCGTCGTTGTCCAGCTTGACGCCGAGGTTGGCCTTGACGTAGTGCTCGAAGCTGAACTCGTTGTGGATAAAGTCGGCGGGCGATGACGACGAGGGTGCGGCGGTGCGGTGCTGCGTGATGAGCGGTCGATGCGACGATGGAGCGCCGTGTGCTCCACCCGGTGCACCGTACTGGTGCATTGTGAGAGGCGCGTTCATTTTGTCGTTGCCGTCGCCGTGTTCCAGAGGATGGTGGTGGTGGTGGAGATCGAGGCTGAGTCGGTGTTGCTCGAGAGAGTTGAGAAGCAAAGGAGAGCCGGTTTTGAACCCTGGTCGAGCGAGCCTCGGCAGCTTCCGACTCGAAATCGAAATCGGGTGAGATTCGAAGCCCCCCCCCCCCGATGCCGATGGCTCAGTCCGACTTCCGAACTTCTTAGCCCTCTGGTGCGGATTTTTTTCTCTTTTTCTTTGATTCGCCACGGCGCGGCGGTTCAGGGTTCAGTCGGGCACAGCGCCAGTCGTGGTGCGACCACGAGAGAAAAACTTTCCCGCCGCTCGCATCCGCCCTTGTCGTCCACCACCACCACCTTCGCATCCCCACCCACGCCGCCATGAGGATCGAGCACTGCTTCTTCTGCTCCGCGCCCTGCTACCCGGGCAAGGGCATCACCTTCGTGCGCAACGACGCAAAGATCTTCAAGTTCTGCAAGTCCAAGTGCCACAAGAACTTCAAGTTGAAGCGAAACCCCCGAAAGGTACGATGGACAAAGGCCTTCCGCAAGGCCAACGGCAAGGAGATGACGCTCGACTCTACGCTCGAATTCGAAAAGAAGCGCAACGTCCCCGTCCGATACGACAGGCAGCTCGTCCTCACCACGCTCAACGCCATGAAGCGCATCCAGGAGATCAAGACGCGCAGAGAGATCGCCTTCTACAAGGCCCGCATGGCAAAGGCGGGCGTAAAGGCAAAGGCAAAGGAGGCGGACCGTCTGCTCGTACACCGCAACGCTCACCTCCGCGCCTCCATCGAAGCCTCCAAACAGTCCGCTGCCGCCTCCTCCTCCAAGATCAAGGTCAAGGCCACCTCCGCAAAGCCAAAATCCGCCCTCGTCGGCGCAGGCAACTCGGCCATGTCCATGCGCATGGACACCGACTGATTCGTCGCAAAACTCGTCTCCAACTCGCTCGCATCATCGTCTCCTCCAGCATACTGCCATGCTTGTATTATACCTCGATTCACACGTCCCTTGCATACGCATACACCAGAATCAACCTTCTTTCGGCTCCAAACCTCGCACGCATGCATCCAGCCACATCGCTACACGACCACGCGCACGCTCGCCAGCCTTAGAGCACAACGTGAGCTGACAGCGCCCCGTCAATGCCTTCACCACACAACGTCAGCCAGGCAAAAACATCGTGCCTGGTGAGCATCCAAGCATATGCGACCTCGACGCATGACTATCACCATCATGGTGCATTCGTGATCCAAGGCAACACCCTTATGGTGAGCATCGTTGCTTCGTCTTTCAACCTACGTCTCGATCCCGTGTCAGTTTTGATTCATGAGCCTTGTGTCGACGACCTCCCGTGCCAGCTCAGCAGTCAGCAGTCACTAGTCGCCGAGTTTTGAAGCATGTCCTCATCGAGTGACCCCTCGAAATTCCACGCGAGTGGCTTTCGCGAATCGCAACACCCCTTTCCCCTCCACCAGGCGGTCGCCGTCATGAATCACATCATGGAAAGATGCCTTGGCATGCTGCGACTTGGCGGTAGGCTTCTTCTTGCCATCAGGCTCGCACATGATCACTCATGACTCCCTCGCACCTAGGCACCTCGCGTGGCATGCAGGTCGGCTCATGCTCTCGTGCATGTGTGTAGTCGGATTGCGGTTGGCTGAACCTACGTCAAGTGACGCGTTGAAACGCATGGCACATGATCGCACTGAGACCCGGGAAATGATGATTGAATAGCTCATGTGAGTTCTCGGATGACAATGCCCGTATCGGATTCATGATTCATACGGTGACTTAGGAGGAGTTTAATTTACCTTCAAACATGAAAGTCGTGTCTTGCCTAAACCACTCATGACAATTCAGAAAACGGAATGTTGTTTTGACGAAGACTTTTTTGATTTCGAAGACCAACATAGCTTAAGTTGAATCATAGAAATCATGATTTATCGGACCTGCGATTATTCACGAGAAAATAAAGTTATGAGCTCAATGCCATTGGTACAACACAGAAACAGCTAGAGAAGGAGCTGACAGGCATCAGGAAGGCAAAGACTGACAAGATCCGTGATATGAATGTCTACCATTGTGACCTCAACAATTTACGAGGAACGCTTGGGTGAGCTCAAAAGCCATCCAAGGTACACGGGGGAGCGGACAAGCAACAACAACATCTGCAGCAAGTTCAATTGCAGGCATGGAGAACTTGCAAGTTCAATTGCAGGCATGGAGAACTTGCAAGTTCAATTGCAGGCATGGAGAACTTGCTGCACAACTATTGGAGCTGGTCAGGCAGACCATGCTTCACAAGGAGGACAGCAGCAAAGATGATGATGAACCGACACCCATCATCATCAGCAGCGACGACAATGGCGATGATGTGCCGACGGTCCTCAACACAACCTTCTTAGTCCCGAAGACTACAAAGTCATTGATCCTGAGGTCAGGGCAAAGTTCTGTGTAGCATGGCAAGAGATCGCAAATGTAGGCTATGCAATGGCAACCTGTCGTCAACGCAGTGCAACACCTCCACCTTCTACCACTGCTCTGACAGCTTGCAACGACTTGAGCAATGCCATTGACGCTCTGACATGGAGGATCAACCCATCAAACAAAGCTAGGACAGGGACAGTGCAACCTCTGCGGACAAGCCTGCGCCGGGCAGTCATAAGCGCAAGAAGAAGGCAAGCAAAAAGCGCCGCCAACAAGACTCTTGAAGGCGCTTGTGGCAAACAAAGGAGCAGCCACACCTAGACGCACGTTGCAGGATCGCCAAGCAACACTGTGGGCCCTGCCATGTGTGTCAAGCTGAAGGCAGGGTCTGCACTCCAAGCAGCCCTTCCACCTGGATTGTCAAGTGCAGACCCTGCTACAAGGGCAAGAGGACCAACCCAGAGTGCCACCACAAGCACTGGCTCCTGCCCAAACGGGTCAGTAAGTGGTTCAGACTTGTGGCCTATGAAGACCACTCGGAGGCGCACGCAGATTGCGTGGTCTACAGGAAGCTTGACGTCTTTGCCCATCCTCAACACAACCATCTTAGTCCCAAAGACTACAAGTTTGTTGATCATGAGGTCAGGGCAAAGTACTGTGTAGCATGGCAAGAGATTGCAAATGTAGGCAATGCAACGGCAACCTGTTGTCAACGCAGTGCAACGCCTCTGCCTTCTACCACTGCTCTGACAGCTTGCAACAACTCAAGCAACACCGTTGACGCTCTGGCATCGAGGATCAACCTGTCCTTCCATCGGGTTTGCGCAGCTCTCTCCGGCGTGTCGACTCTTGATGTCCCCGCCACAAGCATGAGGAGGGTGCAACGTGCGGCAGAAGAGCTCTTCAACAAGTCGGCCGAATACTACCGCAACACGAGGTACTCGGAGGCCGAACGCAACAGCCTTCTGGCAGAGCGTTGGGAGCAAGAAGAACTGGAAAAGATAAAAGGCCCAAGAAAGCAGATTTGGCAAACCAAGGAGCAGCCACACACTGAATCATGTTACATGATTGCTAAGCAACACTGCAGCAGCTGCAATGTCTGTCATGCAGAAGGCAAGGTCTGCACCCCGCATGATCCTGCCATCTGAATCCTCAAGTGCCAGCCCTGCTACATGGGTAAAAAGATGGAGTCCAAGTGCCACTTCAAGTGGTGGCTCCAAACCCACCGGGTCTGTCAGTCATTCAAGCTTGTGGCCGACAAAGGCTTCTTGCATGCACGTGCTGATTGCGTAGTTTATGGCAAGCTCGACGTATTTGCCCACTCGGGTCATGTCATAAGGCTTGTGAGCCAATTTTGATTGAGCCTCGCTTGTTCTTCCTCCTCCTACTTTGGCTCGAGCTTGCAGAAGCACTGACCCTGAATGTGGCCATTGAATTAATCACGATTTGCGCGTGAGCCGCTTCAGATGCGAGACTTTTGAAGCGATCGCATGCTCGCAAACGAAAATCATGCCTCTCTGCGTGCCTTAGTCACAAACACAAAATATTTTATAATAATTATGATAATCATGATTGTCCATGCAATTTCGGCAGACAACATTCAACAGCACTAGCACCAGTGCAACTCATATCCTAACAAGTGGGGTGGGTGGCGAAAATCAGCCACCCAGCAGCCACTCGGGGTGGCTGGTGGGTGGCTGCTCCTCGCCAGCTACCGTTTTGTTAGGATATGACTCGCGTCCCCATGCCATCATTCGCACCTCCCGGTTCAAAAGGGTCGTCATCGTCAGACGGCCCGCTCGCCTCCTTCCCCCGACCATCTTGGACGAGACCAGCTTGGCTCGACGGCTATCTCGAGCCAATCATAACTTATCCTAAGAAAACGCGAGCTGGCGAGGAGCAGCCACCCGGGGTGGCTGCTGGGTGGCTGACCCTCGCCACCCCCCTTCCCCCCCCCGCTTTTTAGGATATGAATTGAGCACGAGCCACTCCGCTATGCCATTGGACCGGCAGAGCTAACGTGAGTGGCCCGTTACTGAAACAGGCCCATGAGTGAAACAAAAATCACGAAAATGGTATGATCTACTTCCTCAATACAAAACACAACAAGCCCAGGACCAAATCACAAAAGTTTCAGAAGCTTGCTACGTAGGAATTCAGTGAAAAATGCGAATTGACAAACTTAATCATGAAAGCAAACACTCCTTATTCTGTTCGCATTGTTGATAATTTCTAGTCCCGTACGTAATTCTTGATTTGGGCATTGGCTAAAGATTTGAATGTCGAAAGGCGACGACAAAGCCAAACAAGTCCGGTCAAATGGTTTCGCGATCATCGGGTTGCTTTCTTGTCAAGCCCATGGGCCTTGGTATTGCGATCGCAGCGTGTGGACCTCCAAATTGTGTAATGGAGTCTTGCTTTGTTCAAAATCGTATCACAGTCTTTACGTTTGACGATCTTGAATTCTCACTCAATTTGCACGGCGCAGAGAGTAAATTGCATTTGTCGTGATCTGTGGTCGGGAATCTGCGTCTATGATGTAGAGGATTGAAGCAATCGGTTGGCATGAATTGGCAAACAGCGAGAATCATGGATCATGAACCTACAAAGAAGAAATTGTGAATCATAGAAGAGGCGAATCCGTGAAATCAATGAAGTCAAGGTCAAGGAACACGCGGGAATAGGAGTAATTATTGGCATAGATGCGATGCTGAATGGTCTTAACTTAAGTTATGTCATGGCAGGTCGTCTAATTAAATAATCATCAAAAGCGTGTTTCGAGTAGGTTGAACATTGCCTGGGCTGCGGGTATTGATGTGAACGAATGCATTCGAATCCGGCTTGTGGACCAAGTCTACATGTGCAGGCACAGCAATCTATTGATAACGTGCATCATGATGAAGTTTCTGATTCGCGTCTGGCGCCTCGGCACCTTGAACCACAAATGCAAACTGGCACTTGGAGGCGCGGAAGCCGGCCTTACGATTCCTGAGGCAAGCTCGTGCGAAGGTGGCGCCAAGCCGGTCACTCGCATGAAAGTCGATGGAAAGGGGCTGCGGGCGAGCGAACAGTTTCCAACGATTTTGGGCTCTACCGCCGGTTGGATGTGCGTGCCGAGGTCCCTGCAGAAGCTGCCGAATCCGCAGCCAAACTGGGTGGGACCCCGCCGCACTGCATTGCGGGGGCGATGCAGCGTCACAGCCACGTCCCGTTGCCTGTTTGCCTGCCTACCACCATCATCTGGTTGAAAAAGGCTCACCACAACGGCTCGCGTCCGAGCTTCGTCAACTGTCCCAGCTCATTCGCCATGGTCAAGCGACCGTCTTGGTTGGGTGGCTCACGCACACGCGCACACGCACACGCCTCGGGCAGCGGATCGTCAACACCGCAACCTTTGGCCGCCACATCGATCGAAAGCGGACACACGACGCTTGCTACACGCTCCGCGGAGAAGCTGGCGCCCGACGCTGCCGCAAGCGCAAAGACCACGAAGCTCAAACGGGCGGGCGGCATCGACGCGGTCATCATCGGAGCTGGGCTGTCCGGCCTCATCGCCGCCGATGAGCTCTCGCGCGCCGGCCTCAAGGTTAAGGTGCTCGAGGCCAACGATCGCGTCGGTGGCAGAACGCTCGACATGCGCCTCGACGGCGGCAATGCCATCGAGATGGGTGGACAGTGGATCGGCCCAGGTCAGACCGAGATCCTGCAACTCATCCAGGAGCTCGGGCTCGACACGCACAACACGTACGATCAGGGCCAGAACATCTATCGCTCCACCTCGGGCAGCGTCAAGCGGTACAACGAGATGATCCCCTGTGGTGTGCTCGCCTCGCTCGACTTGCTCGTGGCTACGCGCAAGATCAACAGCCTCTCCAAATCCGTGCCTGCCAAGACGCCGTGTCGAGCCAAAAATGCGCGCTACTACGACGAGAGGTCCATCGGCACCTGGATCGACGACTCCATGTGGACTTTTGAAGCCAAGCAGCTCTTTCGCATGGCCATCAAGGCGGTGTACGCCGAGGATGCCGAGTCCATCAGCTTCTTGGACCTGCTGGCAACCGTCGCAGGCGCAGGCGGTGACATTGAGCAGGTGCTAAGCGACGCACAAACAACGCGCATCGTGCAGGGTCCACAGGAGATCAGCCAGCGTCTCGCCGCCCGACTGCCAGGAAGCACGCTCGAGCTCGGACAAAAGGTATCTGGCATTCACAAAGTCGGCGTAGACATGTACGAGGTCTCAACATCGCAAGGTGAAACCTACAACGCTCCTGTGGTAGTCATCACGCCTCCTCGACCGTTGATATGCCAGATCGATTTCAAACCCCAGCTACCCTCCGGCCTCATCCAGTACTACCGTCGACAGCCCATGGGTTCTGCGATCAAGTTCAATGTGATCTACCCGACACCTTTCTGGCGCGAGGCCGGTCTCAGTGGTGCCATGATCAACGCCGACGAGACGAGCCCTGTGCAGATGACGTACGACAACTCTCCCGCCGACGGCAAGCAAGGGGCGATCGTTGCTTTTGTACTAGGCAACAACTCTCGGCGCTTTCTACATCAGAACGCGGACGCGGAGCAACGCAAGCAGATTGTGCTCGACTTCCTCGTGACGCTGTTTGGTGCCCAGGCGCGCGAGGCGACGCAGGTGCTCGAGATGAACTGGACGCTTGCGCCTTTTGCCACGGGAGGCTATGGCTCCTTCAATCCACCGGGCGTGCTCACCAGCTTTGAAGAGGACGAGCGCGACGAGATGTCTCGAGTCGGCAACCTTTACTTTGCCGGAGACGCAACGAGCGAGATCTGGCAAGGTTACATGGAGGGCGCTCTGCTCTCGGGTCGGCGAGTCGCCAGCCGCATCGTCGAGAGCTTCGAAGCGCCCAGCGAGGGTGCCATGTAGGTGTACGGACTATGCAGAAATACAGACATTGCGTGCTAAGCATCAAGCGGCAAGGCCCGCGGTCAGGTCTGGCTTTGGGCGGCTTATTCCGGCAGGCACCCGCCTGCGATCAGGAGGCGTCTCACATGAGCCACCCGGGGTAACTCAGCGGTGGCTCCTCGCTCGAATTTGATGAGCCGCAAGCAGTTGATTCCAGCCCCGTTTCCCTCTGTCCTCGCCGCACTGATTGCACCATTGGAGCGTCAAATGGCGCAGCGCTGTCCTGCCCAGCGAGCCCAGATCCATGGCAAATGGAACCCGTGTTTCTGGGTCCGCCTTTGTTGCCTTATCCAAGCGCGGGACTTTTGCCTCTTGCTCCGACGAGGTCCATCTGCCACAACGAAAGCCAATCGGGAATCGCAGTCCTCATCCGCCACGCTCTGACGCTCTGCCGCATCACAGCAACTGGCAATGACTTGCGAATGCTATGAGATCCCGATCTGATATTTACACGGAAGAAGAAATAGAGTGCGTGCTACTCGGGGTATGCGGGTGTGAAGACGGCTATTGGGAAAGCTGAATCTATTCGTGACATGAAAACAAGGTGCAGATCTAGTCGACGAAAGTCTCCCAGTCTGCGCGGGGACCCATGCTCTCCATCTCGTCACGGACCTGCTGGAGGTAGCCGGTCCAGCCCTGAAGCTCGGCGCTTCCCCACTTGTCCTGAACAGCGCGTACAATGTCGAGCTTGACTGAGCCCTGCTTGAGGGGAAGATCGGCGAGGTCCGACTTGGAGAGCGTTCGTTGTTGGTCTGGTGCAAGTGCAGGAAGACCGAGGATGGTGCGCGTGCGGGCGACGTCGAATTCGACGATCTTCGTGATAAAAGGATCGTAGACCTTGAGCAGGTTGGAGGTGGGAATGTAGGGCTCCTCGATCTTGACTTTTTCGTCGTTGAGCAGCGTCATTGGGATGCGGGCCTCGTCGCCACGACCGCAGGCGACGTGGTAGCAGGGCACTTCTGCGAGATGCTTGCTGGTGGGAGCGGCAGGATTCTTGGGGTGCAGACGGTGCGAAGTGGGGAGTTTTTGGAGTGCGTGGGCGGATGCGGTGATTGCGAGAATCTGGTTGACTGCAATGTCGACGGGGATAACGTCGAGGCCGGCGTTGGGGAAGATGATGTTGGGGTCTGCGCACTGGGCAGCGAGTGCAGCACAGACTGGACTGGAAGGGTGGCCAGCACCCCAAGCGATGCGGGGGAAGTCAATCGCCGGGCCGAGCGTGGCAAGACGCACGATTCTGCAGGTCTTGCCGTGGAGCTTTCGGCCTACTTGGGAGGTGAAGAGCGAGTTGACGCAGGACTCGGCGTAGGTCTTTGCCTGGAAGTAGGTGTTGACGTGTTCAGCTTGCTCGTCGACCTGTGTGCCGCAGCCCTCGGGAGTGAGGGATTCGCTGACGAGCGAGCCGTTTTTGAGGTACCAGCCGACAAAGGTGGTGGATACGTGGATGTGGGTCTTTACGTTCCAGGTGAGGAGCGAGAATCTTGCGGTGAAGTAGGCGAGGTCTGCCATTGACTCGAAGGCCTTGGAGATGGGCAGCGTGAAGCGAGTGTCGCCCGCACAGTGGATGACGATCTCCGTCTTGCGCACCTTCTCGAACTCAGCTTCGTCGAGGCCGAAGTTGGGGCGTGCACAGTCACCGTTGACGACGACGAGCTTTGGCAGAGCGCCTTCGGACTGGGGCTGTGTGTGGTGGTGGACGGACTTGGGAAGACGCTTGAGCGCGTCCTGCTCTGTCTTGCCGCGAACGATGGCTACTACCTGCTTGACGTTGAAGGAAGCATCGCCGAGGAGACGGTGGAGGAGCGCGGCACCGACAAAGCCGGCTGCGCCCGTGATGAGGATGCGCGAGCCGCTGAGCACGTCCTGGATGGTCTGGTCGCGCACGATGGCGTCGTCATCGGTGTGCAGGTCGTTGACCGCTTCAACGATGCTGGTGGCATCGGACGAGATGTCAGTAGCGGTGGATCTCTCCGTGCCGCTGGGCGAGGGGCTACGAGTGGAGGACATGATGTGCACGAAAAGGGGATTGGCGATGGGGGACGGGTAGACTTGATGGTGATGGTGTGAGAGAAGGAGCCGAGCTGCGTGATTTGGGCTTAAGAGGCGGGAGGAAAGACGAGCCGGACCGGTTATAGGGAGGGATGGCGGAGACGGGGATCCGACGAGGCGTTACCGAGGTGGGTTACCACGCGAGTGCTTACGGTGAGGAATGAACGAGGAGGCCGCGGTCGCACGACGCTGGATGTGCGACTCGCTCACCACTGGACAGCTAGGCGGAGGCAGCGGCAGGAGTGGAATGTGAGCTGCTTGTTTTACTGCGCTGATTGGATGAGGTGCAGCTTTCAGACGGAGCAAAGATTCTAGGTTCGAAGACAGGCGACGAGGGGGGAGGCATGCACGAGTGGCACGCAATGAACGGAGGGACACTGAGGTTGGGACATGGCTCCGCGCAGTTTGGCACCCCAACACGTTCCGTAGGACCGACGGCGAGTGGGATGAAACGTGGGAGCCAGAGCGCGCCGGGATGGGAAGCGGAGGAGGAGGAGGCGAGGAGGGGCGGGGCTGTGCTGTGCTGGGCCGAGGCGCAGACAAGGTTAGCTTTGGTGGGCCTGTGATGGTAGCAGTGGCAGTGTTGGATGCACTGCAGCCATGCCGCTGCTTTGCGTCCAGTGAGGATCCAATGGGGATGAGGCAGGAGAGGCAGGAGAGGCAGGAGAGGCAGTAGAGGCGGGGGCTGAGGGCGAGTTGTGCCAAAATGTGCCAAAAAAGCTGTCAAACTTGGATGCCACGTTTTGGCTGTCGATCCGAACGACGCCCTGCTGAAAAAGAATCCGGCGGCCCCCAGCTCGGCTGCACGACACTTCGGCACTGGAGCAGTGTGCGGCTTGAAAAAGGGCATGAAAACGGCGCAAAAAGGCGCGTCGGCAGCTGTGCTATTTTGGCAGCGGATCCAGCCGAGACCAAAGACCCTGACTGAGCCAACGGCGGCATCCCAACGGCATCCTCACCGCAGCCCCCGCGGCAGCCAACGGCACGATCCCAGCCACCGCCCAAAGCCTCGGCATGATGCCGACGCTCATTCGGAGCGAAAGCGCAGCGAGGCATAGTCTCATGCCACACCCCTTGGATCATCACATTGATCATCTCTCGAACATCACTTTCTCAGGCGTCGCAATGTCATGCGTCAGCAGTCGGAGAGCTCCGAAGCTGGTCGGAGCGGGGGTGAAGCAGAGTGATGATCTGGGCGGCTGCTCATTGTTGGCACTCAAGCCTGCCGAAACGTCCCCGGATATGCGCGTCTCTGCCTCTATGCAGGCTGCTGCACCAAAGAAGTGCTGCGCTCCAGCCGGCCAAATCCGCTTGGCCGCCCTAGATTTATTCGCTGGGATGGTGCCCAGGAGGTCCGGCCACCGGCGGCGGGCTTGCATCGGCACACCATTCTTTGGCGGTCTGGGACGCGCAAGGACGCGGCATCCCACCGGCACCATGCATGTACAGCATTGGCTTCGAATACGTGCTGCAATTCAAGCTCCCCTTTTCAACCGCCGATCCAACGCTATGCAGAAAGACCGGCGCACGTTTCTGCACGTTTTTGCCAGCCTGCTACAGCAAATGCGCGGGGAAGCTCCAGCTTGGCCGGCGAGCCGGCGCACGTAGGCGCCCGCCTTTGTCGAGCCTGCGGCTGCAGCTCGGTTTGGCCGACGATGATCCCGTCCCACTCGAGCCTCTCTCCCACTCGCCGCTCATAGCGCGTCTCACTGACTTGGAAAGCGGCCCTAGCTCCGCTGACCTCTGCGAGCCCCAACCGCGCTTTGCTCGCATTGCCCCGCCTTGCTTGCTCCGCTAGAGTCGGTCGGGCTTATGGCTCAGGCTCACATCTCCGTCGCTGCAGATACTATATCTCGGCGTGCCAATGAAACAGGTCCAGACTCATCACCAAGCCAAAGTTGCAGCTGCTCAAGATGAGTCGAGGATCGACGCGTCTCCAACCCAAGAAAAAAACAAATGCTGTGCTTTTCGTTCTTTGGGCGCCGAATGCATGTCTCTTTTCCGACCTGCATCTCTTGCAGACACAGCCTTTGCGCCGTTGTGCAGCTGGCCACGTTTGCGCAGTCTAAGTTATCCTACCCAGCCATGTCCAGCTGCGCAGGCACCTTTTGTTGCGCAGAAAGGAGCGTCCAAAGCCGCTGCGCTAGTGGTCGACCAGCAAGGGCTCGGGGCGAGGCGCAGATGCCGGCTGTCTCGAAGCGAAGCGCTGCCGTGGCACGTCCCCTTTCATTCGCTAGCCCATTCAATCGCGCCGACAGCATCATTTCGGCATCCCCCCTTCGCCATTGAATGAGATGCGGGTACAGCCCACTCTCCGCGTCTCCCTCATCTGCACGCACAATGATGACCGGCTTCCCCCGGCCATCAGCTCAGCTTGATCGTGAGCGTGAGAGGGAGCTGCTTCCCATCGGCTAAAGCATTGTCGCCCCGAGCTTGCCATTGCTTCCTGATTGCTCCCACTTGCTGCGCTCTCTGCCCAGGCAACCTGCTTGTCGGAGGCTCCGCTCGACTCACCCACTCTTGGCATCCGTTGCTCCTCTCACGTTCGGACCGGGTCCGCCGCTTGATTCGGCCTTTCTGCTCCACTCCTATTCGGATCGCTGTGTGAGCCAAGCCATCGAAAAAGCGCAGCTGCAGCATGTGCATGTGTGCTGTACCTCGCTCACAAGACCCATCACAGAGCACAGCATCGCATCCCGTCGGATCACATCTTCTCACGTCACATCACATCACCCATCACACCCGTCGCAGCACGGCACAGCACATCCGAACACAGCGCCAAACACAGCACTGCAGCTGTCGATGCATCGGCTCTGACATCCGAACAAGCTGCTGCCTTCTCTCGTCGCCGCCATCCGCTTTACCATCACAGCCAAGAGCGCCATCGATACCTTTCCCACCAGAACACCGCTTTCTCTCTCGTCACTCGGAGAATCGTCTCCAACGAAAGTCTTGGCAATCGATCATAGGCAGTGCAACTCAGTTCCAAGCTCTAGCTCGCGGCAGCTCCCACGTCTTATTCGTCCCCCATCGCAGACGAGCCCTCTCTCATATAATGGCTGCTCAGCCTCAGCAATCACATCAAGATGCCGTGGCGGCAGAGGCATCCACCGAGGAGCATGATCCATACTGGCACACAAACCATCCGCCATCCACGCCCGAGCTGCCCTCTTACCCTTTGCATTCGGAGCTAACTTCGACAGCCCATCTCGACTCCCAGTCAGCCATGGACACCACCACATCGCGTGCAAGCATCGAGACAGCCTCCGATCGCACCTCCAAGAACAAGCTCACCGCGCGCGTCCACTTCTTCCTCGTCTTCTCCGCCCTCTGCGTATCCTCCTTCCTCTCGGCGCTCGACCTCACAACCGTATCCACAGCACTCCCCACCATCGTCGCAGATCTCCAGAACGATGCCATCCGCTTCTCCAAACACAGGCCCAACACTCCTTCTCCTGTGCCCAAACCCGGCGCAGGCGGCACCTACATCTGGATCGGTGCAGCCTACACCATCGCAGGAATGGCCATCCTCCCGTGGACCGGCGGCCTCTGCGAGATCTGGGGCCGCAAAGCCATCCTCCTCACCTCGCTCTTCTTCTTCCTCTTTGGCTCCGTCATCTGCGGCGCGAGCCACTCCCTCGAAATGATGATCATCGGCCGTGTCCTCCAGGGCGTCGGTGATGGTGGCATCATCTCGCTTTCGGAAATCGTCGTCGCCGATCTCGTCAGCCTCAACCAGCGCGGCACCTACGAAGGCATCCTCGGTGTCGTCTGGGCCGGCGCAAGTGCCATCGGTCCTCCCATCGGCGGCATCTTTTCGCGCAAAAACAGGTGGCGCTGGCTCTTCTACCTCAACATCCCCGTCACCGTACTCGCCATCATCATGATCAGCTGCTTCATGAACATGAAGACTCCCAAAGCAGACGTACGCTCCAAGGTAAAGAGCATGGACTGGACCGGCAATGCGCTCCTCATCCTCGCAACCGTCGGCTTGGGCCTGGCGCTTACGTGGGGCGGCGCGAGGTACAAGTGGATCTCGCCCGCCGTGCTCGTCCCGCTCGTCATTTCGGTCCTGCTCTTTGGCGCATTCTTCTACCTGGAGCTCTTCAAGCTGAAGAACGCCACGGTGCCGCGCGTACTGCTCAACAATCGCACCGCCATCGGTGCGCATCTCACCAGCTTCATGCACGGCGTCGTCACCATGGGCATCATCTACATCATCCCCACCTACTTCCAGGCGGTCAAGCTCACGTCCACCATCATGAGCGGATGGATGGTGCTGCCCTTCTCATGCACCGTCGCGTTTACCGCCATCGGCTTTGCCATCAGCATCGACGTGACGCAGCGCTACGTGCCGCAGAACCACCTGGGCTGGTTCTTCACCGTGCTTGGAGTGCCGCTGTTGCTGCTGCTCGACCTTAATTCCAAGGCGGCGACCTGGGTGTCGGTGCAGCTGCCCATTGCGGTTGGATGCGGAATTCTGTTTGTCGCTCCACAGTTCCCCGTACTGGCATCCGTGGCAGTCGAGATGGCGAGCAAGGCGCTTGCGTTGCAGCTCTTCTTCGCCTCGTTTGGTCAAACGTTGGGCATCATGTTGGCGGAAGCCGTATTTCAGAGTTCGGTGCACAAGTCGATCAAATCGCCGCTCATCCAGACGCTGGCAGCCAACGGATCGTTGCCGTTCAACATAGAAGACATCTCGTCGCCCTACTCGATGCACTTTTCGGCGCTGCGCCATCTGTCGCCCGAGGCGTCTCGCGCGGTGCGCAGCGTGTACAACTCGGCGCTGCACGACGTGTGGATTTTGCTGATTCCGTTTGCTGCCGTTGGATGGGCGCTGTGCTTCCTCATCAAGGAGCTCGAGATGCACGACGAAGTCGACGAGAGGTTTGCCGCCGATGTGCGCGACGAAGGCGACGATCCCGAGAAGAATGCGCTCCAGACCCCAAAGGTCGAGTCGCACGAGATGAAGCAAAAGCACCAGCCCACGCATTCGATAGAGACGCAGTAGACCGATAAACATGCATCAAACATTGTGTCAATTGTAGAGCATCCCATCTCACGGGGACTGTGCGACGACAAATGTGTGGAAAGGCCGCGAATGTGAGATGTCGATGACCGCCCAGCCTCGCATCTCCATTGAATCTCGACTCTCGCATGCGTGAGAACCAGGTTGGCGAGGCGGCGTCTATTGTCGAAACCCATGACGATGTCGAGCAAAAAGGACCTGGGTGCGCCACTGGATTGCTCGGGCTTTGCTTTGGCGAAAAACAAGGTTGAAAAGACAGTACAAGTCGAAGCGACAAGCTGACGCTTGTTCAGAGGTTGACCCGAAGCTGTGCTTGGCTTGCGTTTGGAAGGCGACACGCGCGAGCCCAGGCCCTTGACGACGGAAGCGCTCAAGGACGGTGAGGTTGCGAAGAGCTGCGGTTAGTAGCATCGGGGCCACGAGGGTGTCTGCAAGCTCGTTGCCCTCTAAATTCGCTCCAGCAGAAGCGGACGGAGATGTTGGGGTGTGCAAGCTTGGCGATGCTGCCAGCGGATGTCTGTGCCTCTCGAACGACTTTTGCTTGCTTGCGATGTACGGTGACCTCAACACGCCGCTGGCACCGTCCAATACTGCACCACCAGCAGCTTGGCACCGACGTTCCATCCTGCACTGGCCGATGACCTCTCTGCGCTTCGAAGCAAGTACGAGTGGAAAGGTCCGCCCACTCTTCAACGACTGGCGCACCGGCTAGGCATCTCTGCCAGCTGCATTCCTCCGCTCTACACCCGCTCGCGCTCTAATCACAAGCAGGCCAAGAACCGAAGCTGACCACAATCCCTGCGTGCGCACGAGCTCGAGCTCAATTCTGACGCATCGGACGTCGTGACGAGGACATTCTCGATCCTATCTTTTCAAAGGCTGACCCTCAAAGCTGTGTGGGCCCGCCAAACGTGGTACGCCTCGACCCACGCCATCCTCACCTCTCGAACTCTCAAACCCATCCCTTCCCGTGGTCACACACACGTCTGCAGGACAGCCAGAACCACTGTGACATGTCTACGCACCCTGCATTAGCGAGACCACTCAATCTAAGCCGCCAAACGTCGTGACGAGCACATACACGTCTGCGACCACGATCTACAATGTCCAAAAGCAAGGAGTGTCAGTAATGTCGCCAACAACGAGCACCGTGGGCTTATGGAATGTGCGCAACTTACCACGCCAAAGATGGCGAGTGCGGGCGCCTGGATGTACCACTTGTTGGCAAAGCACGCCGCTTTCGACTCGGCCTGTGGTGTCTGCACGTGTGCTTGCTGCTGCGTTTGCGTTTGCGTCTCCGCGTCCACCGGGTGGCGGGGCAGAGTGTCGGTCATCGCCAACTCGGGAAGCGGCTCGAGCGGTGTTTTATGCGCTTGGCTCTCTGACGCTGGTGTGTCCTGCTCAGCCGCAATAACGTCATCCGCTCGTGGCGACGGTCGCTCGATGTGAGCGCTGGATCGTGTCGACGAGGCTGCCGACGCGACCTCGGATCGGACACTGACGGCGGGCGCCTCTTTGGCGGTCATCCTCGCCTTGTTGCCCGTGACGAGGATGAGGGGCAGGAGCACAAAGGGCAGCGCGATGCTAAGCGCGACCTGGCTAGCGACGAGCATCTCATCCAGACCCTCCTTGCCGACGGCGAGCGAGACTGTCAGGCTGGGGATGACGGCGACGAGGCGCGTGATGATCCTGCGGATAAAGGGGTCTGTGCGCCAGTTGATGAAGCCTTCGCTGACGAGCTGTCCGGCGAGGGTGACTGTGATGCTGGCGCTCTGGCCTGCAGCGAGCAGGGCGACGGCAAAGAGCACGGCAGCGAGGCTGCCGAGGCGCTGCTTTAGGAGGTAGAATGCATCGTAGAGGCTAGCGACGACGACTTGGCCCGGGCCTGTGCGGGAGTCGGTATAATAGAAAGCGGCGGCGGCGACGATGAGGATGGCCGAGTTGATGACGATGGCAAAGCTGACGAGCGACATGCCGATGTCGACGGAGGCGTGTTTGATGTGGATGCGGATGCTGTCGATCGTGCGTGGAGGCAGGTTCTTTTGCGCCGGGTCGTGGTAGCGGCTGCGAGCGCGGCGTCTAGTAGAGGCACTGCTGAGCGACTCTGCGTCGTCGTCGTCGTCGGTGTCGGTTTGGTGGGGAGCTGTGCGGTGCTGAATGAGCGAGCGAACGACGCGGGATAGACGGATGACCTCGGACTTTGTGTGCGACTTGTGGGAAAAGGTGCGTGAGAAGGACTGGCGTACGAGTGCCCAGGTGGTGTGGACTTGATGTGGAGCTTGCGGGGTATCTTGGGGAGCGGGCGAGTCGGAGGAGGATTCGTCGGTGTCGAGGCCAGGGAGACGGTCGATGGAGGCAAAGTGGGAGCCGAGGATGATTGCGTGTGGCATGACGGTTGCGCCGAGGATGCCTACGCTGACGTAGAGGGCGCCGCTCTGGACGACGTGGTGAGAGGGTAGGTAGCCGTGAAAGACGTCTGGCCAGCGGGGCTTTATGCGAACGAGGAGTACGATGAAGCAAGAGAGGACGACAAAGACGAGCACCGAGATGATACCCTCGAGGAGGCGGAAGGAGCCGTTGGGAGGCGGGCGGTAGATGAAGAGGATGAGGATGACGTCGACCGAGGTGATGAGGATGCCTGCCCAGAGCGGGAGCGCGGGGAAGAGGAGGTTGAGTGCGATGGCGGATCCTGTGAGCTCGGCAAGCTCTGTCGCGACGATGGCGCCCTCTGCGATGGCGTAGAGCGGATAGAGAAGGCCCCACCTCCTCCATTTCGGATGGGAGACGGGTTGGCTCGGAGGGGTGCCGTGGCGGTCCTCGTTGAGGATAAGCATGCGACATTGCCTTGCGAGGTCTGCATTGGTGACGATGCCGAGACGACAGGAAAGGATCTGGATGAATACGGCAAAGATGCCGGTGAGGAGCACGATGAAGAGGAGCGAGTAGCCAAACTCGGAGCCTGCCTGGAGGTCGGTTGCCCAGTTGCCTGGATCTGCGTAGGCGACGGAGGCGACGATGCCTGGGCCGACAAAGTAGGCGTGTCTTCGCACGACACGCACGGTGTTGGCCCAATACGCCGCCATGCGGGATGTCGAGGTGGGTGTTGGTGGTGGTGGTGGTGGTTGCATTTTGGATGTCGACGACGTCGATGACGACGCTATGATCGGGCGACTTGGCGGTGTGAAGGCAGGCTCATCGGCATGATCAGCTGCGCCCTGGATCTCGATTGTTTCGCGGTGTGATGGCTGGAAAGCAAGATGGCGGATGTGGTCCGAAGCGTGGATGGCCGAGACGGAGGGACCGAAATCAGCTCATGTGTGAAATGCACGCTGCTCAAATGCATGCACTGCGGCTCTTTTGCCCCGCCGGCAGCCAATTCGAGCGGACCCTTTTTTGGCGCCTCCCGCAAAGCTCCGTTGCGCTCCACCGCTGCGCCTCGGAACGTGCCGAAAAAGGCACGCGCTGCCGAGCCTCTCGCTCGCTCTCCTTCTCAACATCACACAGTCACACGCACTCAAGCGTCGGATTCAGATCACTGCTATTGCGGCGGCTCTGTGGGCTCTAGTTCCGGTTCGAGGGTTTGCGCGCGTGCGACTTGGCGAGCGGCTTCTTGCTCGGCTTCTTGTTCTTGTTCTTTGGCTTTTTCACCGGCTTGGGCGCGGGCTTGGGTTGGGGCTTCGACTTGAAGGTGGGCTTGGGCTGCGCTTTGGGTGTCGCGTTCGTCTTGGCGCTCTGACTCAGTGCTGCGACGACAGCCTGGGTAGCCTTCTGGGTGAGGGTTGCCGATGTCGATGTCGCCGAGGTAGATGTGGACGTGGATGTGTTCGTGGATGTGCTGCTGGTGGCAGGCCAGTTGGCAGGCTTGAGCATGAGCTTGTTGGGATCGCATCCTTCCGCCAGCCCTTTGCCCGCATGCGGACCGTTCCAGACGACGTTGCATCCCGGCAGCGACTCGATGTTGCCACTCGTCGCCTCGCTCGACTGAGCCCTGCACTCCTGCGACTTTTTGCGATCGAGCGTCTTGGCCAGCGGCGGACACGACTCGAGATCGTTGAACAGCGCTCCTCGGCACTCGTCGAGCGCCTGCTGCAACACACTCTCATCCCACGCCGAGATAAAGTCGGCGTGGAACGAGTATCCCAGCGCATCGCCGTTGCTCAGCACCCAGCTCGAGTTGCCCGCGTTGTTCGTGCTGCCTACGCCCCAAACAAACTCGTAGAACAGCGTAGGCAGACGCATGGGGTTCGAGTCGGGGCAGCTCCCCTGCGAGATATCCCCGATCGGATACACCACATGCGTGTGATTCTTCGACACCAAGTCTTGCCCGTTCCAGCACGACGGAAAGATCACCTGCGTTCGCAGACCCTGTGGACACGATCGCTCCGGCAGCGTTGGACTCTGCGAGCTTCCATCGGCATAGTTGAGGCAGACGAACGAGACGGCGTCGTCCGCTTGGTAGTTCGGTCCGGGTCCTCGACGTGTCGCATTGCCGGCGAGCATCTGCAGCCCACGCGGGAAGGCTACGAGCGGCGCACTGCCGCGTCCAAGGTAGTAGGTGTTGACATAGTCCAGCGGGCGAGGCGTGAAGGTATCGTTGTCCGCATTGTACGAGTAGAGCGAGGGCGCCCAGTACGCCGACATGTCGGCCGTAAGCCCCGCAGTGGTGCACGTCGATGCCTCTTCGAGAGACGACGCCGTGGTAGTGGTGGCAGATACCCCATTGGCACCTACGAACGAGTGCGCATGCGACGATACCTGCCCCGGGCTGACGATCGGATCTTCACGCGCCGCTTTGAGAGAGTGATGCACCAGAATCCACATGACCGGATTCGTTACGGCGCCCACCTCGACGCAAAGCAGCAGTGCTGCCACCACAAGTAAGTACTTCATCGTGGTCCAGCTTGCTCAAAGACGCTGTGATGGTGGGTGCTCGAACCACACATCAGCGGACGAGCGCCGGGTCTTTAAGTGCCTTTCTCACCGTCTCAGGGTGTTGACAGCTGTACAACAACAAGCACTCGGCGGGCACTGTACCGGCCAGCACACTGCACCGACACCGGAGCGCCATCTCGATTTCTGCCGCTCGTGCGTATCGGCCGTCATCTCAACCTTATCTCGCGCAGCAGCGCATAATCACCGAGCACAGCGGAACGGAGGAAGCAAGAGGGAGAGGAGAGGGCGTGTTGTGGCAGCCAACCACGCAGACGCGCTCGGGCATATCAGCTGCACGCAACATCTTGCCGAGGCAATCAATTTGTGCAAGGACTCTCTGCAATTTGCGACAGCACCACATCCATCCCCTTGCTTCCCTAGCAATCCCATGCTTGCATCAATTCTTACCCAATGCCCTCCAGTCTAGGTTGTCTCCAAACCATACGCCAAGCGCCAATTTGAGCCTACCGACATCACCGAGCATCAAGAAAACTTGACAACTGAAACCACAATGGTCTCGCAACTTTTCCCCTGGCGCCCCCTCTCACAGTAATTTAGCAACACCCACCAAACTTCATACTCCGCCTCCTTAGCGCATGCACCTTCTCCGAGCGCGCCTCGCCACAACAAGCCCAAGCCCACACGTTGCACCCCGTCGGCCATTTCGGACAATTCTCCACGGTTTCCCCAATTCTAGAATCGCACCTCCCACAATCGCCACTCACACGCTCGCCATCGGCGAACAACCATACTGCCGTCATCGATGCTAGTGGCATCGGTACCGCCGATCGTCACAACTGCCGTTATCGCGGCGCGCTGCTGGATTTCAATAGTGGCCGTGCTCTGCTACCGCAGCATTTGGTTTGGCATCCCAGTTGAGAATCTGGTCCATAATGTGCGCCATGTTCTCTGCCGACATGGCATCCGCCGTGCCCAGCAACGACGCCGCACTGGCTGTGAGCGGGTCCGTGGATGCCGCCGCCGAGCCCAAATGGTCCAGCTGCGTCTGTGGCAGCGCCGCCTGCGATGTCGGCAGCCAGCTCACCGGTATCGCCGCCAGGCTCGCGACTCCACCATTCACCGCATTGGGCCGCGCACCATCGTTTCGGACCACCTCTCCATGGCTACCCACGCTGCATGCGTCCACCGACACCGGCTGCTGCGTTGCGTCAGGGCGCCACTCCGATGCAGCGCTGCGCGTCACGCGCAGATACTCGGAATCGCTCAGCCGACGCGACATCTGCACCAGCAGACCCGAAACGAGCCTCTCGAGACTCTCGTGCTCGGCCTCCTTTGGCGCCACCAGCCGCTCGGCCAGCCGTGCAAGGATGAGCGCAAACATGTCTTCGCGCAGCGCCACCTCGTTCAGACCGTACTGCACGTAGTTGAGCGCCTCCATGAGCGAGATGGTGATGTGGAGGATAAAGCCGCACGTGAGCAGCAGCGGCAGGCCCGTCTGCTCGAGCCGCTGGGCCTCGAATCGAGGCGAGGCTGCCACGCCGGCCAGCACGCCCTCGGCACGCAGATACGTCGCCTGGCTCGCATCCGAACAGAACCGATACAGGCCCGGATCGTCCAGGATGACGCGCGCCATGTCCAAGAGCGTATCGCCGGGACTGCAGTCGGGAAAGACGCTGCGCATGTAGAGCTGCTGCATGATGGTCCAGTTGGATTCGATGTGCAGGTCGATCCAGCGATCGAGCAGTCGGAGCTCCGGCAGATTGGCCAGGCTCCACAGCCGGCGACGCTTTGCCTTTTTGAGCTCTTCGTCTGCGTGGATGTTCTGCTTGATGCGGCTGTGCACCTCGTGGCGGATGTCTGCGGCTGAGAAGATGGAGCGGCTGTGCCAAAAGGTCTCGATGCGCGCCATGCGCGTGTTGAACTCGGCGACGTGGATGGCGCGGTAGGCGAGGGCGAGGATGCCTGCTTTGAAGAGCGTCTCGTCGTTGGTCGTCGAGTCGTCGTGCTGCGACGAGGGCGTGCGCGGCGATTCGAGCTGATCAACCAAGGTGATGGCGAGTTGTGCGTCGCGGCTGAGTTGCGAAAAGTCTTGTGCGCGGATGGTGGAGTTGAGAAAGACAAAGGTGGCGCGCCAGAGCGAGAGGCTGCACCAGAGCGAGAAGCGCTGCAGCTGCCAGCGGAGCGACGAGTCGTCGGTGTGCGAATTTGCGCCGTTGGCTTGGTTGTTGGCGGCGGGGTTGTGATGGTGGTGGGATTGCGACATGACGAGGTCGAGGCCGATGGCCTCTGCGATGGAGAGCGCGCTCGAGTGGAGCGACTCGCCAAATACGGCCGATTGGGTGCTGGGGACGGAAGCCGAGTCGAAGCTGGCGCCGATGAGCGAAGGGTCGTGGGCGAGGAGGAGTTCGAAAGCCTGTGCGGCGTGGATGTGCTTGGGAGCGGCGACGAGCGCCTGGACGCCGAGACGGTCTACGTGGATGGCAAAGTGCTTTGCGAGGTGACGGCGGCCAGCGATCTTGGAAGCGACGAGGCAGACGGTGGCGAGTAGCAGCGAGGTGGCGAGGGATTGGTGGGATTGACGGTAGGCGGCGCGAAGCTGGGTTAGGTCGGGGATGTGCGGATGCCACATGCGGAGGATGGGGATGTGGGGCTGTAGCTCGAGGATGTTTTCGTCGGTGAGGAGGTCGGAGAGGTTTCCGTCGAAGGAGCGATCGGTGTCTGGACGGAGGAGGCGGGAGAAGGAGGGGATCTTTGTGATGAAGCGGTTGAGGGTGACGAGGGGCGAGTGCATGAAGCGGTTGGTGAGGATCTGTATCTCGCGATCGATGACGATGCCGTTTGCGCCTTCTATGGACCCGGAGAAGAGGGCGGCGTCGTAGCGCGTGTTTGCGGGGTCGACGGAGGAAGCGCTGGATGCTGTGCGTTGATGCGCGCGCGAAGCTTTGGATGGCGCTGGAAGCGAAGTGTGCGAGGCGGAAGGCTGTCGGGCATGCGAATCGTCGCGGGAGAGGCTAGCCCAAGAGCCGGAGCGGTCGTGACGGTGCGAAGAAGGGGAGCCGTTGGAGAGCGGGACGGCGTATGAATCACACAAGCGCCTGGTAGCAGCATCGTGCGAGTCGATGAGGTCGCTCCGGCGCGAGTCGTGGTGTTGATTTGAGAGCAGGTCGGTGGGATCATTGGCGCCGACGGAGAGGAGTGGCGAATGGTTTGTGGATTGCGCTGTGGACGAGGAGGTGGACGAGGGTCCCAGGCGTGGTTTGCGCTTGCGGTCACCGTCCCAGACGACGCAGGCGATGTCGAGCGCGCGGCATCGATGGCAGGCCTTGTAGACGGGCAACGGATCGTGGGAGGAAGCGACGAGTTCGTCTGGCAGTTCGCATCTTGCCTTTTTGGATCGACAGTTGAGGCACGAGCGACGTGCGTATCTGCGACGCTTGACGGGCTGCGCGGCTTGAGCAGCAGGCGTAGAAGGCGACGAAGGCGACGCCGCGCGAGATGGGCCGGCCGAGGTGGCGAGCGCGGTCATACGAGAGGCCGAGCTGGATGGAGCAGAGTCGTGAGGCATGGGATTCAGTGACGGCCGAGCTCGGTCACTGACACGGTGATCGTGGAGAGAGGGCGGAGATGGCGTCGAGGGCGGGTGAGCCGAATGGATCTGCCAATCGATCCCACGCGTGATGAGCGCCAGGACGGGTGTGGAGGGATGCCCGCTGCGCAGGAAAAAGGGAGGCGTTGACAGATGGAGCGCCTCGATCTGACATACATGCCGAGATGGTGGCGGCGGCTAAGCCGATGAGATCTTGCGAAGCACCTCCTCGCACGGCTTGCATGGCTGTGACTGACGGTGAGAATCGGACTGCCCAACGCCGCGGAACATCCGGGCCGGAATTGTGCAGGTGCGGGTCAGAGGGATCTCACGCGGAGCTTCAGATGGCTACCGAATCCGAGTGTACCTTTCCCACGCGGTCTCGCGACGCAAAGTCAATCACATTTTCCTGATCAGCGCTGCAAATGAAGCTGCTAAATTGAGGCTCCAAAAATGAGCGCCAAGGTGCATCGGATCAGGTGGCCAAGGCTGTCGCAACCGCGGTCGGATGCACCGAAGAACGAGCCTCGCTTTGGTCGCTCTGGCCCGGGTTGCACTCCACATCAGTCATTGCACCATCGAGTCGGGCGCGTGCCGTCGCAGGCGCGGCAGTAACTAAGCGCAGCAGCGCAGCAGGCGTGAAGGTTGAGTGTAAATTTAAAGGGGGAGAGGAGCGAGGAGAGAGAAGGTGACTGGGTTGGTGGGGGCGAGCGAGAGTTGGGTTTCGAATTCCAGCCAAAAATGCGCCCTCCGTGCTGAGCCCAAAAAAGGGCGCCAAAAGAGAGGCAGAGAGAAGAGAGCCAGCGCAGCGCGATGCGAGCCAAAGCTCAGCTGCACTGCACTGCACTGCACTGCACCCTCATGCCTGGCTCGCTCGCTCGCCCGTCGCGCCGCGCCGCGTTTCGACTCGACTCGCCTCGACTCGCCTCGACTCGAGCTCGACGCCTCGCTCTGTCGGATTCACCGTCGCCGCTCCACCGCGGAGAGTGGGCATCACCTCGCTTTCCGTCCCCGCCATCGCCATCGCCAATTTACCCAACCACCGCATCGATCGATCACACGTATTCCGCGCGCATACTTTCGGCACATCTCCCACGCCATTCAAACGCGCTTTCGTTGCTCAGCCAGCATACCCTGCCAGCTGGCTTTTCCTAGGGTCACTGCGCTCACTGGCGCATCCCCACGAGCGTCGCCATCATGAGCATCTCGCCTCGCCACCGCGCCATCAGCCCGCCCACCCCCGCGCCATCACCCCAACCAGACCTACACACCTCCATACGCCTCGCCAACAATGCAGCAGCAGCAGCTGCAGCCGCAGCCGCAGCCGGCTCGGTCACATCCTCGGCGGCAGCAGTCATCGCTCCTCACCCCCTCGTCGTAGACCCACACGACCCCTCCCAGCTGCTCAAGCACCTCTCGCTCGTGCTGCCACAGTACTCCCAATCAGCACGCTTCAGACTCATCTCGGAGCTCACTGAACTCTTTAGCCTACGCGAGCTAGCACACCTCTCCTCCGTCATCCACCCAAGGCTCAAGGTCGACTTTCTCTCCGCCCTGCCCATCGAGGTCAGCCTCAACATCCTCAGCTTCATCGACGATCCAAAGACGCTCGCTCGCGCAAGCTGCGTCAGTCGCTTCTGGAGGAGCCTCGTCAACGACGAGCACACTTGGAAGGTCATGTGTCTCAAGCACAAGTATCGCAGGCGAGGAAGCAGCAACGCCGCCGCCGCCGCCACTGCCGCCACCTCCCACTCTCTCGATGACCGTCTCATCCGCTCCGTCGCTGCCACACCCTCCCACCTCGCACTCTCCACACCAAGACTACCCCCTTCGGCCTCGCTCGGCGCGCTGCTCGAGCAGCCTCATCGTCCCAACCCCTCCTCCGACATGGCCGACGACGAAGCCGACGAGCTCACCCACCACCACGACGACGATGCTGCCGTTCTCGCCTCCCTCTACCAGCGCTACCGCGATCGCGGCCTCGACCCCTCGAACGCGCTCCACGAGCTCCGCACCCTCCATGACCTCTTCCTCAGCAAGCAGGACTCCGCTCACGGATCCCTCGACGATTCCATGTCCGAAGCCGACCTCGCCTTTTACGCCCAGCTCGAAGAGATCGTAGAAGAGGAGAGCCGCGCGCGCTACGGCGACGATGCCGTCCCCGCAGACCACCACCACCGCATTCTCGAATCGCGTGCTGCCCCGGCCATCGGCCCCACCGCCGCCCTTCCCAACGCGTTCGACATCCTCTCCACACCCATCGCAGAAACTTCAGCGCCCTCCACTTCGGCTCATCTCGGCTGGCTCAGTGCGCGTCCTCCGACCGCCACCGCCGCACCTTCACAACCTTTGCGAGCCCTCGCCCCCACTCAGCCCTCTCCATGCCTCTTGGCCACCACCTCGCACGCCGTCAGCAGCTCCATCCGCACCGCATCCGGCCAACTCGACCGTCTTCAGGGATGGCAGCAGCCCAACCCCGCCCTCTTCACCACCCCCAACCATGCTCGCGACGCCGACGCGCCCACATCCAGCAGCCTCTCTCAAAGCGGTCCGGCTGACAACGACTCGGACGAGGCCATGGACATGGATGATCAGCACGATCTCGGCTCTTCTGCGCACCACGACGACGCCGCTGCTGCTGCTGCCAATGTAGGTCAGCCGCCCAACGCGCCCCTCCTCGCCTCGCTGCCCCACCACGACTCGCCCACCGGTCGCTTCTCCGCCTCGGCTTCCTCTCCCAGACCCGGCCCCACCGTCAGTTCGCTCGTACCGGGCCCACGCGATGCCCGCCGATCCAACCTCCTTCGTCCGGGCGCCAGCGCACCCACCGACGCCGCTTCGAGCCCATCCACCCACCGCCTTCGCAACCTCAGAAGCGTCTCGGACGCAAGGTCCTCTCGCAGAGGCTCTGAACCCACCGAGGAGGAAACTACCGGTCTTGGCCTTGGCGCCTTATCATCATCGTCCTCTCGCTCCCCTGTGCGCGAACGCTCTGCCGTCGCTGGCCCCTCGCGATCGTCGCTCGCATCGACAAGTGCCGTCCATGCACATCGCCATCGCTCCGCAAAGGTGCCCTTCAGCTACCGCACCCACTTCAAGATGGCCTACCTCACAGAATCCAACTGGCGCAAGGGCGGTCGACTCCAGACCCAACACGTCTCGGCCGACGCAGGCCATGTCGTTACCAGCCTTGCCATAGACAGCGAGTGGATCGTCGTCGGCATGGCCAACTCCAAGATCCACGTCTTTAGCGCAGAAACGGGACTCTACGCGCACACCCTGCTCGGCCACGACGCCGGCGTGTGGTGCCTCACCCTCATCAGCCGCACGGGCAAAGGCTCCAAGCGCGCCGCCACCGACGTCAGCCTCTCCTCCGACCACGGCAAGGGCAAGATGGTCGTCACTGATCCCGAGGATGGCAGTGGCGGCAAGCCGTACCAAGCGGCTGCCGACGGCGACTTGCGCCTCGTGCATCACGACCCACGCCCCGATGCCGCCGACGCGCTCCTCTCGCCGCCCGCCTCGTCCATCGAGCTGCTCGACGAACCAGACGTCTTTGGCAGTCGCAGACCGCCATCCTCGACAGCAAGCACGCCAGCCTCGGGCAAAGCTCGTCAGACCTATGGCCATGGCGAGACGCTCGAATGGTTCCACAAGGCGCGCCGTGCCCTACGACGACAGCAGAGCGCGAGGCGAGCCGCGGCCTTGACAGCGGCAGGTGGCGCCGGCGACTCTCCTGCAGCATCGTCCGCACGGCAAAACCTGCAACTGGACGGTTACACATCCGGCGCAGGCGACTCCGACGCCGACATCTCCATCCGCTCCGAGGGTCCCGCTTTCGTCCGCCGAGAGCTGCGCTCTTCCGCCCGGGCTCGAGTCGAGCGCGAAAACGCCAAGGCTGTCGCAGAGGCTGAAGCCGGCGCCATCCGAGACGCAGTCATGGCCGACGGCACCGGCAATATCCCCGCCGAGCTGGCCGAGGAGATCCGTCGCAACGGCGAGTCCGTCGCCGGCCCTGACAGCGCAGGTCAAGCTGGCGAGCCGATAAAGGCAGCCGGCGGCGTCCATTCCACCTCGACCAGCACCGCGCAGCTCGCGGGCAACGCGCTGGGCATGGGCAACCCGTGCGGCAGCGTGCTCGGCTACGGCAACCAAGACGCGATCGTCGTGAGCGGTGGCTGCGACCGCGACGTGCGTGTGTGGGATCTGCGCACGGGCGAGTGCAAGCACGTGCTGCGCGGCCACACCTCGACGGTGCGATGCCTCAAGGTGCTCGACGGCAAGCCCATCGCCGTGTCGGGCTCGCGAGACTCTACGCTGCGAGTGTGGAACGTCGAGACGGGCACGCTGGTGCATCTGCTCGCCGGCCACCAGCATTCGGTGCGATGCATCGAGGTGGCGGGCAACCAAGTGGCGTCCGGCAGCTACGACGGCACGTGCCGCATTTGGAACCTCGACACGGGCGTCTGCCAGCACGTGCTGCGCGGCCACATCCACTACATCTATGCGGTCGCCTTCGACGGCAAGCGCGTCGCCACGGGATCGCTCGACTCGACGGTGCGCGTGTGGTCGGCGAGCACAGGCGACTGCCTCGCGCTCTTCCAGGGCCACACGTCGCTGGTGGGACAGCTGCAGCTGCTCGACAATACGCTCGTCACCGGCGGCTCGGATGGCCGCGTGATCGTGTTTAGCCTCAACACGTACGAGTGCCTGCATCGGCTGTGTGCGCACGACAACTCGGTGACGTGCCTGCAGTTTGACGAGCGCTACATCATCACGGGCGGCAACGACGGCCGCGTCAAGCTGTGGGATTTCAGCACGGGCAAGTTCATCCGCGAGATCTGCGAGCCGTGCGAGCAGGTGTGGAAGGTGAGCTACCGCGACGACAAGGTGGTGGTGCTCTGCAAACGCGGCGACAAGACGTGCATGGATGTCATCACCTTCCGCCCGGCTGCCGACGAGATGTGAAGGGGCCGGCGCCGCCAGTATTGTTATGTTCTCATGGGTGTCCTGCTCGGGACGTTTTTTTGCATTTGTAGTGTCGTCGCTTTGCATGTGTTTCAGCATTCGTTCAACCTCGCAAGTCTTTTTTCACTTTCAAGCTGGGTGATGCGCAAGATGGCGATGGCGTGGGCTTGCACTGGGTCAGTGATGCAGCATGGAACAGAAGAAAGGCGGGCAGCGAGAAGTGAATTGACGACGATGCGATTCGGACTCGTGGGAAGGTGGGGGACTTGTTTAGCCCTCGTACTCGTCGAGTTGGTTGCCCTTCATGGCGTAAGCCTCTTTGTCCTCGTCATCGTCATCGTCCTGGCCTTGATCTTGCTGGTCGCCGTCCTTCTTTGCATGTTTTGATGCGTCTCTGTGGAACTCTCCGACCTTGACGATGGCCTTTGCGGGGATGACTCCCTTTGGATTGAGGTATTCAAAGTCTGGACCCTGGAAGACGTCGAGGTAGTTGAGCCACTTTGCAAACTCGGCCGTGTCCGCCTCGGTCGCAGTGATGCGATCGTAGATCCAGGCCTGTTTGAACTTTGTCATCTGGTCCTCGTGATCTTTGTAGCCCACACCCTCCCTGAGTTCATCTTGAAGACCCGGGTTGTCGGACTTTTTCATGAGCCGGGTGAGTTTATCGTTGTTGTTTCCGATCCTCCTATTGTACGCCTCGAAAATGGGCTGTTCGAGCAACAGTCCCAACCCTGGTGCCTTGGGGATGTGCACACGTGCGGGTCCAAAGCATTCATCCACCAACCCCATCCCCGCCCCACTCCTACCCACCAACACCAGCAGTCCTACCATCTTGCGAATCTGGTGCAGCATGAAGCTCTGACCATGCAGCTTGATGCTCACCCACTCGCAGTCCCCAATCAGCTTGGCCGGCGAGATGGTGAGCGTCTTCATGAATCGCTGACACGACCGATCGCGAAACTCCTTGCCCACCGTAAAGTTGTGGAAGTTGTGCGAGCCGCTAAACTTGGCGAAAATCTTCCGGATCCTCTCCAACTCGGTCTCTGAGAGGCGGTACTTTTTCTTGGCGGCTACATCGGTGGCAAAGTCATGCTCGGTTCCATGGGCGCTCCAGAACGGATGCGCAATCACCTCGTCGAGCGATGTCGAGTCTGCATCCGGGTTGGCCTCTTTGAGTTTGGCGAGCTCCTCGTCACGCAGACGCTTGAGCATTTCGTGCATGGTCGACCCGGGCTTGGGCGGGATAAAGACGTACGTGGGCAGCAGATACTCGTACATGCGCGAATCGCAGCTCTGCCTTGCATTGAATCCGTTCTGCACACGCGTCACGCCCCAGATCCTGATGAACTCGGGCAGCAGCGAGTTGACCTTGTCCACCAGCGTCTCGCCCTCTTGCAGGCCGTCGGGTTGCAGGATGAGCTTGAGCGAGAGCAGGTTTCCGGCCGCATGGACACCGCGATCTGTGCGCGCGGCACGTTGCAGACCCACCTTGTTGGGGTTGACTGCGTTGTCCTTGGAGACGGCACCGGCGGTGCAGAAGGCATCGAAGATATCGCCCTCGATCGTCTTTACACCAGGATTGATCTGGAGGCCAGAGTAGCCGATGCCGCAGTAGCCGAACTTGACGGCGACTTTGCGCTTGGGAAGTCGGTCGCCCGACGATCCGGACGGATCCGAGGCTGCCTCGCGTTCGTCGCTGCGGCCTGTGCCGCGACGGTCACGGCGCTCCCACTTTTTCTTGCCTCCACGAGTGGCGCTGTCGTCAAAGCGCGCCTTCTTGACGCTCTCTTCAGCGGCAGCTTCCGCGGGAGCATCTGTGGCAGCGGAAGTGTCTTCAAGGGGACGCTTGGTCGACTGGGCTGCATCTGCCTCCGGCGCAACGGTCTCTGCCGGCGCAGCAGTCGCGGCAGACGCGGCAGCGGCGACGTCCTGCTCAAGCCTCTGAGTCATACTGGCAAGCTTTGCGACTTTCTCTTCGATCGTATCCGAGACGAGGATGGTGCGCTGGATGGGGATGCGCTGGCCTTTGGCGATTCCGAGCGCGACGAACCACTGGTGGGGAGTGGGGACGGCGAGGCGCGCCGAGGTGTGCAGGTGGCTGCGTACGAGGGGAGGTGCGGCAGCTCGGCACAGACACGTGCGGATGCGGTCGATGTTGGCGAGCGAATATGCAGCTGGACGAACGAGGCGATCCAGCACACACAGCAGCAGCAGCAGTCGCAGGTCGTAGATGATGGAGTTCAAGCCGAGGCCGCAATACGGCGAGAAAAAGTCCGAGTCTCCATCGACTTTTTTTGGAGAGAGTCGCGGCGATTTCTTCGCACCAGCGGTCGGGCTGGATCGGTGATGTGAAGCTGTAAGATAACGATCGGCGATCGCAAGAAGAAAGAAGCGCGGCGAAAATTTGTTGAGCGCACAGAGGCCGAAGCGACTGCCAATTTCAAGGCACACCGTGCAGTGTGAGAGAGAAGAGAGTGGCCGGAGCAGCTGCCGAGTTGGGGATGAAAATGAGCGGTTGCGGAAGCGCAGTCAAAAGTGTCAGTTCCCGCAACCGCAACCGCACCGCATTCTTCTGCTTTCACAGCCGGCCATCACACGACCGGACCGCATCGTCGCCTCCTCCTCCTCCATCACTGCCATCAGCGCATCCCAGCATATCAAGCTTCGATAGCGCATCATACTCCACCATGGCGTCGTCATCGCGGCCCTCGTCGCCCACTAGCAACGGCGACACCAACGGCACCTCCTCACACTCCAACGGCGCAGATGCTTCGTCGTCCGGCACAGCGCATGCAGCAGCGGCGGCAGCACCAGCAGAGCCGTCCGAGCAGGACAAGCAGCAGGCACAGCAGCTCAAGACCGAGGGCAACTCGCACTTTTCGTCCAAGCAGTACTCGAAGGCCATCGACGCCTTCACGCGCGCATACGAGCTCGATCCCACCGACTCCACCTTCCTCACCAACCGCGCTGCCGCCAAGATGAGCCTCAAGATGTACAAGTCGGCGCTCGCAGACTGCCAGCTCGCCAAGGACGTGCAGGCCAAGCAGTCGGCGGACGGCGTGGCGCAGCCCAAGACGCTCGTGCGCCTCGCGCGCTGCCACCTCTACCTCGGCAACCCCTCGGGCGCACTCTCGGTGCTCAAGCCCGTCGTCAGCATGGCGGGCATCGACGAGGCTACGCTCAAGCAGGCGAGCCAGCTGCAGAAGCAGGCCAACAGTGTGGCCGACCACCTCGCCTCGTACCACAGCCTCTCGGCGCAGAACGACTGGTCGGTCGCCGGCTTTGCGCTCGACCAGGCGCAGCAGTATGCCGGGCTGGCAGAGGCCGACGTGCCGCTGGCATGGCGCATCATGCGCGCCACCGTGCATCTGCACAAGAACCAGCTGGACAACGCCAACAGTGTGATTGCTGACGCGCTGCGCGCCGACTCGAGCGACCCGGAGGCGCTGCTGGTGCGTGCGCGCATCCTGCTCGCCAAGGGCGACACGGCCAAGGCGGTGGCGCACTGCCAGGCGGCGCTGCGTTCGGATCCGGAGCAGTCGGGTGCGCGCGACCTGCTCAAAAAGTGCCGTCGTCTGGAAGCCAAGAAGGAAGAAGGCAACACGGCGTTCAAGGCGGGCGACCACGCCGCCGCCGTTGCGCGATTCAGCGAAGCGCTGGAGCTGGCCGACGAGAACTCGGCGCGCGACGGACCGGCGCAAGGATTCAAGGCGATCCTCTACTCGAACCGCGCCACGGCCAACTCCAAGGCGGGCGAGCACGATGCGGCGGTGGCGGACTGCGATGCGGCTTTGGAGCTCGACCCTGGGTACGTCAAGGCGCTGCGCACGCGTGCACGCGCGCTGCTCGCCACCGAAAAGTACGAAGAGGCGGTGCGTGACTTTAAAAAGGCGCTCGAGGAGGCGAGCGTGGGCGGCGGACGCGAGGCGGAGCAGCTGCAGCGCGAGCTGCGCTCTGCCGAGATCGACCTGAAGCGCAGCAAGAAGAAGGACTACTACAAGATCCTCAGCGTCGCCAAGGACGCCTCGGACAGCGAGATCAAGAAGGCGTATCGCAAGGAGTCGCTCAAGCACCATCCGGACAAGGGCGGCGACGAGGAAAAGTTCAAGCTGTGCGCCGAGGCGTACGACGTGCTGTCCGACGAGAACAAGCGCCGACGCTACGACGCGGGTGCCGACGACCTCGAGCACGACGGCATGGGCTTCCCCGGCGGAGGCATGGGTGGCTTCGGTGGACCTGGCGGCGTCGAGATCAACCTCGCCGACCTGTTCGGTGCCGGTGGCGGCATGGGCGGAATGGGCGGAATGGGCGGCATGGGTGGGATGGGAGGCGGAGGATTCCACGGCATGGGCGGTATGGGTGGCATGGGAGGTGGCGGCTTCCCAGGCGGTAGCAGGAGAGGCGCGCGTCCTCCGCCCGGCTTCCACTTTGGCTGATCGCGCAGACGCATCGCATCCACTCGCGCGAGACAGCCGTGCAATCGCAGACATCATTCTACACTGCCATGCGTGCCTAGGAGAGCCAGAGACGTGCGGAGGGCGATCGATTACGCGGCCGCTTCCTCACCCGTATGCGTCAAGCATTTGCGGCTGATCCGATCTGCAATCTCGATCGGAATAGGCCGTCGCACACTTCCCACTGACGCGCCATCACACTTTGAGTCAAAGCGTCTCTGCACTCTCATCACAGCCAGCGGTGCTTAGAAAAGGTCCATATGCATTGCTTTACTTGAAGACATGCTCTACCAGCCTATCCAACCCGGCTCTGGCGCGCGTGGCATGGCTCCTCGTCGTATCCCTGCTGGTATCGTTGAGCGAGTCGTTGAACACCTCGATCGACCACGGACCCTTGTACCCTGCCTTGACGACCCTCTCGACAAATGCGGGGACGGGCATGAATGCGCCCTGGTCGTACTCGCATGGAAACAGCCTCGACGATCGCGACCAGATCATCCTGCTCGGTCGCTCCTCGCCCTCCCTCGGCGAAGGTAGAAGTGGCGTGGGCAGTTTCTTGGCATCTCCAATCTGGAGCAAAAAGATCTTGTCCCCGGGGACCTCGACGATGCCATCCAGGCTCTCGCCGAGGCGGAGCAGTGTTTGTGCGACCGGCTCTTGGATGCCGGTGGACGAGCAAGGATCGGCGTACTCGCGCGCGAGCGTGTTGAACGCATCCAGGATCAAGCCCACCTCTTTGCGATCCACCGACTTGACCACCTGCCATGCTTGCGTCCACTTGTCCACGTGCGATCCCCACGCGAGCGCTTCGAATCCCACCCGAACCTCGTGTCCCGTTCGCAGCGTGAATCTCTCCGCCATGTTGGCGATCTGTGTAAAGTCCCTCTTGAGTGCCTCTCGATCGCCCGTCGTTGCAGGCGCGGGTGTGTTTTGCGAACACACGAGCAACAGCTGCGTATCCAGCGCCTGCATCACCGCAAACCTACTCTCCACTCGTCGCATCGCCATTTCCCTCTCCTCTTCTCCGACCCACCCCTCTACATCCCTAAGCGGCTGGAGACAGTACACCTTCAACCCGAGCTCGTCGCACCTCGCCTTGACCCACTTGGCCGCCTCCACCTCGCGCTCCGCCTCCTGCTGCGTACACTCTCCATATGCATTCCACACGCGCTGTTTTCCCACCATCGCGTGTTTCGCCAGCGGGCTATCCGGTGGCGTGAGCAACTCTCCACCCCTCGACACGTTCGCAAACAGTTCCGACTGCGAAAACGTCCACAGGTCGTCGGTGAACAGCTCGATGCCATCCATCCCCGCCTGCGCCGCCGCCTCCAGCTTATCCGGCAGCGTATGCCCCGCCGTGTGGTAGCCAATCGAGTGCGTAAAGATCGAATACGAAGGTTGCGCCAGCATTGTGATGATGTTCTTTGGTCGACAGGATGATAGCCAGTGCCGCTGCGGGGGGAAGGGGAGGGGAGGCGTGGGTTTTGTAAGTACCCTTGCGCTACTTGACTTCGGCACTCCTTGCCCCGGCTACATGAGTTGTGGGTTCGGTAAAAAAAACCCGAAAAATCGCCGCCAGCGGTCAATTTTCGCCGCCCCTGAGCCTCAGGGCTCAACCACGCGGTGAGGGGCAAATCACGGATAAAAGGCGTTCGGCTACTTGCCTCCACCGCCGTCGCTACTTCCCCCCGGCGACCCTTTGCTGGTCGGCACTTTGTTCTTCCACCACGGCTGACCGGCTACCCTTCCAATACCCGCATCCCCATACTGTCGGGCATACCCGGACCGTTCCCCATACACCCCGCGCGCACTCCACAAGATCCTCTGTTGGGGCGAATACGTATGTGGGGCTGCGGGGCGTGCGATTCGACACACTGCGGGGAGATATGTGGGGGACATCACGACTTCATTTACAGATCGGCGTGCATTGTGGGGGGCATCATTACTCGAATTGCAGAGACCTTGTGTGGGCTTACTTGATATCCAGCATGGCACGCACGAGATCACGAGCCTGTTCCTCGATCTCGAGTCCGATCGGGCCCTCGTCGCCTGCCTTGACGGCGAAGGGGATGGGGTCAAAGCTCGTCTTGCCCTGCTCGAATGCCTTTGCGGTGGCGGCCCACATGCGTGCCTGTGCGAGTCCTTGTTCGACCATGGCCTCTACACCGCCGACTGGCAGCCAGCCCTGCTTTTCCGCTTCGAGCAGCAACGGCGTCTGACGAGGCTTGTAGCACATGTCCAAAAACGGCCTCTTGGCCGGCAGCGGCAAGGCCACCAACTTCTCCTCGCCTTCCTGCGGCAACTCGGCATGCTCTTCACCGAGCGCCGTGTATGGCTCGGCAAAGAAGCGGTGTGCGAGCGTGTAGACCATCTTCTCATCCTCGGTCTGCGGGGCGAAAGCCGGGATGGCTCCAACCGCACATGCCACATGGCCAACCTCGCCCGACTCGCGCAGGGCCGCTTCCCGCTCGTACGCCTCGACCGAGCGCAGCGGCCTCAGATCCACCGTAGCACCGAAATGGTCCACCACCGCCTGCGTCTCGTCCGCATCACGGTTGAGCAGATAGATCGGCGAAAGGCCCATCTGGCTCACCGCATACACTGCCGACCTGCACGTGCCGCCCGATCCGATGATGAACGCCGCATACGGCTTGCCCGCCTTGTTGCGCGGGAAGACGTACCTCGCCTTGACGCCGAGCTGCGGGTCGAGATACTTGGTCACCCTCTCCTCTGCATTGCACTCTGCCACTCCGCGCAGCACCGCATGCGCAATGCCCAAGTAATCCGTGTTGGTCCCCACCATCTTTCGCCCAGCTCCGTTCGGGGTCGAAATGATCGTGTTGACCGTCTGCGTTGCCTTGCCCGCCTCGCTCAGCTCGTCGATCACGCCCTTGGGTCCGAGCGTTGCCGTGACAGCAACCTTGAGCGGCATCGTCACGCCCGCACCGGCAAACAGCGGGTCCTTGCGGACGAGATCGTACAGGTGCGCCTCGTCGACCGACTTGGTATCCTTGAGCGAGTACGTAGGGTGGAACGTCTGCGCTTCCGAGCCCGGGAAGCCGATGGGCGCAATCGACTGCAGCATCAGGTTCTGGAACGCCGGGCTGGCAGAGTGCGAGATGGGCGAGCCAAACAGAAAGTACTTGCGCGCCGAGGCGTCGATCTGCTCCTGCGTGGGGTGCGGCGGTGCCGACACGGCAGCATGGCCGTTGGCAGCTCCGTTGGGTGCACCGTTGGCAGCACCTGTGAATGAAAGATGGTATGACATGCTAAAGGGTCTCCAGTCTAGAGATGAACGGGAAGAAAAAGATGGATGGTGGAGAGCGAGCAAGACGAAGACAAGGATCGCAGCCAGAAGAAAGAGCGGGAAGAAAGTAGTGCGGGTGTTGGAGTGGAGGAGAGACCCGGCCGAGACGTATGTTGCACTGTAGCCAAACCGGCGAGCAGTGAATAGAAGGCAGGGCAGGTCAAGGGTCCAAATGAATCTCACAAATTTAGCAGGCAGCACAGCGCAGTCTTTTTAGCCGGTCATTTCCGAGCATCCACGCGGTGCCCCCGTCAATTTTTTTTTGGCCGGCGTCCGCATTGTTTGTCTGCGGCCCACCGAGCCAACCATAAAACTGCCAGCATCTCCCAACCTGGCGTTCATTGTGGAGCGACTCGGAGCATGAGCATGTACCCGAGACCACCGAGCGTCGGTTACTTGCACAGTGATCCGGTGGGTTGCGCCGCCGTTTCAAGGCAATATGTGCCTCGGCACCACTTCTCCCACCCCCACATTCGGCAAAAAAACCCGCGCGAATTCACCGTCCGCTCGGTCCCTTTCGGTGGGAGGGCGATTCTTTTCATACTCGCCATGCGCCTCTGTGTATGCAGCCGAAACCATGCCGAATCGCATGAGAGCCAGCCCTCCGACCGCATGGCCTCGAGCGTCTTGTACAATAACCGGCGAGGTCTGGACACGCCGAGTTCTTCTTGCCGGCCAATCACAGGTGTCCCATAACCGACCGGTGCATCGAGCTTCTCCTTGGCGTTTCAAGGAGCAATTCTCCGCTTCGTCCGTGCCTTGCCTCGTGGCTTGCAGAGAGCTCCTATCGGAACCTTTTCTCGCTTCGTTCATGCGCCAACGGCGGTGGAAGAAAGAGCTTCCACCTTCCGCAAAGCAGGTTACCGGCCAGCTTCGTCGTCCACAGCGTCGGGAACACGCCCGGCTTACACCGTCCGCCGAGAGTATCCGGCCATGCTCTTCATCTACGCAACAGTGCAGTTGCTGCGGCGTTGGGATGACATGGCGTGATCGCATCCCGCTCCGCTTCATGTAGTGTAGCCGACACGAGCGCACCAACCAGAAGCTGCGCTTTTGGCAATGAGCAAAACGGAACGTTCCTGAATACGTTTCGTGGTGAGATGGACAGCGGTGGGGCCCCAGCAGCATCGCTTCCCGTTGAGCAGCACGGCGTGTGACCCCTAGCGACTCTGTACGACCTTTGCAATTTCGCCTGTCGTGGCAAAAAAAAAAAAAACGAGTTCTAGGCACGAAGACAATTTCCCTCTGCCCAAATGCCTGCGGTTTCTTTGTGCAACGCTTCCCCGCCCTGTCCCACCCCGCCCATCCCCGCGCCACCCCGCCTCGTTGGAAGGATGCATCAAACAAGCCCCACCATTTTACCCCGCTTGGTCGGTTTGGGCAAGTGCAACAACCCATATAACCTCGGCTCTTGTCGTTGTCCATGCATCTCGCTTCCCTTCCTCCAGCAATCTTTGCCATCCTCCCTTCCATCCGATCCTTGAAGGATCTCTCTGCGACGTCCGCTACGCCGCCGCCGTAAACTTTTTTTCTGCCACCGAATCAGATTTCTCGGACTCGAGCCTCGAGTCATTTCTCGGAATTTCACCGAATTCACCGAGAAGGCCAAGAATACGCCCACTCCCTTCACCTTCTTCCCGTCCACCACCACCATGGGTTTCCTTAAACGTGTTGAGGACCGCCCGACACCGTCGGCGGTCTACAACTGGCGAGTATGGGTTCTCTCGTTCATTGCTTCGTTTGCGTCCATCATGATCGGGTAGGTACTTTGCGCAGAGGAACCATAACAAATCGCCCGCAAAATTTCTGACCTCGCACGCTCCTTCCACCATGAACTAACAGATATGACTCTGCCTTCGTCGGCGGCACGATCGCACTTCCTTCGTTCCTGAAGTCGTTCGGCAAGCTCTCTAACAACACTTCTGGCAACTTGGTCTCGACGTACCAGGCCGGTGCATTCTTCGGCGCCTTCCTTGGTCACCCGCTCGGCCACTTTTGGGGCAGGAAGAAGGGTCTCTTCGTCTGCTCGGTCGTCTTCACCATCGGTGCGGCCATCATGACCGCCGCCTCGCCCTCCACCCACCTTACTCCCATCTACGTTGGACGTGCCATTGCAGGTATCGCGATCGGCGCTGCATCCAACCTGACGCCCATCTACATCTCCGAAATCGCCCCTGCTCCTGCACGTGGTCAGGCGATCGGCATCTACGAGATTGGCTGGCAGATCGGTGGCATCGTCGGATTCTTCATCAACTACGGCGTGATTCAGACTCTTCCGCCCAGCGTCAAGCAGTGGAGGATCCCCTTCGCGGTGCAGCTTATTCCCGGTGGCATGTTCATGATTGGCACCTTCTTCCTCGTCGAGTCTCCCCGTTGGCTCCTCCAGCGCGGCCGTGTCGAGGAGGCCCGCGAGAAGCTGTCCTACATTCGACACCTGCCCGTCGACCACCCCTACTTTGTCGAGGAATTCAACGAGATGCATGCCGCCATCGACGAGACTAGGCGCGCCGCCGGTGGCGACTCGTACTTCGCCCCGTTCAAGTACCTCTTTTCCCGCAAGCACCTCGTCCGTCGTCTCGCCTTCGCATCCAGCCTCTTCCTGTTCCAGAACGGAACGGGCATCAACGCCATCAACTATTACAGTCCGACCGTCTTCAAGTCTATTGGCATCACGGGCACGTCGACGGGTCTCCTGACGACGGGAATCTTTGGTATCATCAAGACGACGGGTGCGGCGCTTTTCATCCTCATCCTCGTTGAGACGGTGGGTCGCCGTCGCCTGCTCATGACGTCCTCGACGGGTGGTGCGCTTGCCATGTACTACATCGCCGGCTACATCGCCATCGCCAAGCCTGCGCAGCACAAGAAGTCGTCGCTCGATGCTGGAGGAACCTCGGCGCTCGTCTTCTTCTACATCTGGACGTGCTTCTACAGCTTTGGGTACAATCCAATTCCGTGGGTGTATGGAGCGGAATCGTTCGACAACACCGCCCGACCGGTTGCGCAGATCTTCAACGCGGCAAGCAACTGGTTGTACAACTTTGTTATCTCGCAGGCGACCCCCCACATGTTCGCCAAGATGGACTACGGCGTCTATCTGTTCTTTGCCACCATGATGGTGATCGGTACGGTCTACATCTACCTCTTTATGCCCGAGACCAAGGGTATCCCCATCGAGGAGATGGACAACCTCCACGAAAAGAGGCCGCAGCGACATGCGCACAGGATGGTGCTCGAAGAGCTGCGCACGCGCGCGGCCGAGAGGCGCGGCGAGGCGGTTCTGGCCGACCAGGCCGAGTCGCGCGACGATGCTTCCAGTGCCGACGAGAAGGAGGCCAACCAGGTCAAGCTCTCCACTGCCTAAAGACGATGGACACCTATACGTCGTCTGCTCCAAGGATGTCATGCTGTGCGACCAGAGGATGACAGCAAGACAGCGTGGCATTTGGAAAAAAAAATGTTTTCTTTTTTGGTATTTTTTCGAATTGTAATTTTATGGGCGTCCACACCAGTGTCTTCGATGGACAGCGAAAAAGAGCTTTTTTCGATTTTGTCGATTTTGATTTCTGAAGGTGGCAGGCGAGCGGGCGGAAATGTGCTTGACTCGCGCGAGAAGAACGGTTGGCTGCCAGTCTTCCGAGAGCCGCAGAGGAGTCGCTGCGCAGCCAACTCTACGCGAACCCGCGAACAGAGCTCTGCTGCCCGCTGCACATCTCCAACACTTTCCGCTGAGTCTGATCGCGCTTTCTCACCACTACCATCCCTTGCCTGGCGTCATCCACTCCTTTCGACCCGTCTGCCTGCTCATCAGCCCTGTCAAACATCACCTCTGCTGCACTCCTTTACGACATCGCTTCTTGGGACATAGCTGTACTCCGCTCAATCCGTCCTACTTCACCCTAGACTCTTCCGATCAGACCGCTGCAATAATGGCAGGTGCACTTGACGACGAGCTTCTCGCGCTCGCAGGCTCGTCCGAGGACGAAGGCAGCCGCCCGCGCGCCAACAAGCGCTCACCATCGCACGGCACATCGTCGCTGGCCAAGAAGCGGCGGCTCGACCTGCTCGACGAGTCGGGCTCGGGCTCGGACGCCGATGCTCCCGGATCGGACGACGATGCTGCGCCCACGCGCCGCGCCCGACCACGCGCCTCTTCCTCCGACGACGAGGTCGCAAACCCGTACCCGTACCAGGGCATCTACAAATCCGCACGCGACATGGAGGAGCTCATGGCGATGAACGAGCTCGAGCGCGAAGACATCCTCGCGCGCCGCAGAGACGAGCTCAACCAGCGCAGGCAAAAGGTCGAACTCGCCGCCCTCGTCAAAGCGCAGCAGGCAGCTGCAGGCGCCTCCAAGAAGGCGGCGCGCAAGCACGAGACCAAGAGCAAGCGCCGTGTGGTTCGTGGCGGAGGAGGTGGTTCCGACTCGGACCTCTCGGAGAGCGAAGACGAGGATGCGGATGGCGATAGCGACTTTGCGTACAGCGGCGCCGCTTCGGCTGCAAAGAGCCGCACGAAGAAGATGCCGGGCCAGACCGATGCCAAGTCGGCCAAGCTGTCCGAGCTGCGCAAGAGGCGCAAGGAGAAAGCGGCCGGCACCACGTCTCGCGTTTCGGACGATGAGGACAAGGTGCGCTCGCGACGCGGATACGCAAGTTCGTCCGACGACGACTCGTACGCCTCGTCGGACGATGACGATCTGTACTCGCGCCGACCCAAGGACACGCGTCGCAGCCGCGCCGACGAGGGAGGCAGTTCCGAGCCGCCTAGCCTTGCCGAGCTCAATGCGGCGCGCATCAGCCGCGAGCGCATCGAGCAGCGTCTGTACGCACCGCGCTGGAAAGATGTGCTGACGGGTGCGTTTATCCGTTTTGCCTGGAGACGCGCGCGCGAGGACGGACAGGGCACCGAAGAGGTGTACCGCATCCACCAGGTGACCGACGTGCACGAGAAGCCCGGCAGGTACTACGACCTCTCGGACGACCGCAGTGGGCGGTGGTGCAACGTCTACCTCGCCTTTGAACATGCGGGTGAAGAGCGCGAGATCCGACTGTCGAATCTGTCGCGCTCGCCGTTTATCGAGTCGGAACGCGAGAGGTGGCTGCTCACGCTGCCGGCGTACAAGCAAAAGATCCCGCGCGCCAGCACGGTGGCTGCCAAAGCGGACGAACTCGAGAAATTCTTCGACACACCGCTGACCGAGGCGGACATCAAGAAGGTGCTCGAGCACAAGAAGAAGATCCGCGCCCAGGCCGCCTCGGTCATGGGCGGCGCTACGCCCAGCACCACCGACTCGGACGGCGCAAAGAGCCTCGAGGCCAGGCTGGCCGCCGTGCACGAGAGGAACCGCGCAAAGGATCGATCCCGACCCGACGCCAAGTTGAAGCAGAAGTTGGCCCCGAGCACCGCTGCGTCCGGTACGGCCACCCCGACCGCACCCGTGGAGAGGCAGCCGGCGCCCCAGATCACAAACAAGTTCGTCACGCTCCCCAATTTTGCCGCCACGGTCAACGTCGATCTGGGCGATTTCTAGATGGCACCATCAACGCGAAATACATGTTGCTTGCAAGGCAAAGTGGAGATGGCTGTGTTGAGGTGGTTCGCGCTTCTGATGGCGAGTAGAAATTGTGCGCGGTCTGGAGAGACATGAGCCTGAACGGGGAAGCGCGGCATGGCGCCAGCGTGTGTGTTTGAACCGTCCGTGTCGTAGCGCTGGTGCACATGGACTGCGGAACAGCACATTTTCACGAGCCCGCACTCTGACGTGCGCGCAATCAATCGTACTGTGAGCAGACTACTCGCACCAGGGTGTCATCAGCCTTGGGAGTGCCCTCAGCGCTGACGGAATGAGCGTTGGGCATCGGTTTTCTTCGACACTGCGTGGTTCGCACCGATCCAGAGTGCAAGGCGGACACAGTCTCTCATCGCGGTCCTTTAACACGAGCTTGTGTGAAACACGCTGTCGGCCAACACTGATCGTCAACGCTTGTTCGAACCAGAAGCGGATCGCGTCTACCCGCACTGCGTTGAGTTGCGAATCAAGAGCCGCTCACATGCGGACCTTGCTGGCAAGAGAGTGTCGAACTCCAAGCGCGCCCGCGATTGGAGCCCGATCGCATGCGGAAAAGCGTCCTACCCGCAGGTGTCGTGAAAGTCACCAACTTATTCGAATCCGTACAGTACGACGCACGGATCCAACGTTGAGCGGCTCAATCGCAGCTTTGATCTTGTCGCGGGTGCCATGCGCGCGAGACACGCCAAAAGCTCACCCGTTCAAACCATCCTGACGTTAGCAAGGCCGTGTCATTCCCATGAGCTAGGTTCTCATTGTTCGTACTGCTCGATGCCGCACCGCTTCGGCGTGAAGTATCAGAGAGCATCCATCCGTGTGTCACAGGCATGATCCGTGAGGAGCGTGGGTGTGCGCGCGTCAACAGCTGTCAATCGAATTCAGAGGCCGGTCGATCCCGGCCCAATCACGCGCTCGGCCGGCCAACGAAGGACAATTCGTCAGAGGCGGAAGCGTCGAGCCCGTGATGGAGCTTCCTGATCGAGAGTATCCTCTTGAAGCGCCGCTGTTCAGCGGAAAAAGTGTGTGTCAATTAACTCATCAAGCAGTCCGCGTTGTGTCGGCATGCAGATCCACCGCTTCCCATCGCATAAAGCTCCTCGACAGCCTCTGCTTTGATTGCTGGTGTGCAAGTAGGCCGAATGTGAGCACCTGTGTCACACGGTCATTGACTGTGCTCTCGCAGCAGCAATTGTCACTCAGCCACATGCTCAAAAAGCTTGACGCTGCTGTTTGTCATACTCAACAGCGCTCATTCGGAGGACAGTCGCGCTCGGAGGACTGGCGGCTAGATCCACTCGACCGAACAAGTCAGGCGGAAGGTCCGAAGACGAGCCGACCGTGCGGCGGGTCAGCCTCCACGCGGGACAGCAACGATTGCGAGAGCAAGAGAGATCCCACTTGGCAGATCAAGAAGTAGCCGTTGAGAATCGCAAAGCCACACTGCGGGGGCTACGGATTCTGGTTGGAGGGTGCGACGGTGAAGGGCGCTCAGCGGAACTTTGGGCTACGAGGCCCTCGATGCAGTCGATCCTCGATACTCCGCTGGACTACAGCGACATCAGCAATCCGGCGGGCACCCCCGACTCGGCAGCCAGATTGCAGATGCTCACCATGTCTGTGCTGGTCGCGCGAAGCGTCCGCAATGACCAGCTGCTCGAGCACCTCTGCAGGGCGACGCGCGCCCGTCAGTCGAGGCTTAGACCTCTGACCGCACAGGCAGAATCGAATCGTGAGCTGGTGGAGCGAGCTGGTGGCCGATCGCATCAACTTTCGACTCCGTGACCAGCAGCTCACAGGAAAGCCGCCGTCCTGGTCGACCGTCGACCGCAAGTCTTTTTCGCCAGAAGAGGGCCGGTCCGCGATTCCTTTGCCGATCCTCTGATGTCTGCTTCTGCCGGTTCTTCGAGCGCCGCCGAACCCTGCAGCGTCACCGGCCCCTAATCTCTGCACGGTGCTCCGTCACTTCTCTCATACATCCCCATCTCCTCTCTCTCTCTCTCTCTCTCTCTCTTTTTTTCTTTCTTTTTTTATAATTATTTATTTATTTACATTGCGACCAGCGTTAGGACCTACCGACCAGGGTCTGATGGTGTGGTGGGACTGGCCCGCCTGCCTTTCCGCCTGGGCCCAGGACCAATGCTCGTGGGTCTTGACGCGCGTAATCCAGCTGCTCCTCTGCTTGTAGCATTTGATCGTGCAGACTGGACACAGCATCAGACCGAACTGCATCTTGATCGAAAGCAGCTGCCGAACGAGCCGTGAGCCGGCGGAGGGGGCGAGGGAGAGCGACCTACCTTGTGCGGCACCTGCTTGAGCAGTTCCGTGTCTTCCTCTTGTAGTTCGACGCTGGCACGAGCCGCCCCGTGATCGGCGGGCGGCGGCGGAGCCGGACGGCGCCACCCCCGCCATAGACTCTGGCTGCTCGTCGTGGTCGTCCTCGTCGTTGTCGCTGGCGCCGAATGCGTCGCTGGCATCATCGTTGTGGCCTTGGAAGAGCGGATTGACGATGCTGTTGTCGCTGTCGAGGCGCTGCATCTCCGCCCGAGCTGCTGTGGCGGCAGCCGCGACGGCTTTGCGAGCGCGGTTCCTGGCTTGGCGGCCCGGATTGGTGCGCGCCATGCTTGTTGGGGTGGGAGGGACAGGAGAGCAAGTGGACGGAAGAGAGACGAAGCGAAGGTGAACGGGAGGAATATAGATGGACCAAGGCGAGAAGCGGGGCACGCACCTCCTTGAGCCACTCCGAGGACCGGCTCAATTCCGTTCGGGTCCACCAGTGGTTCAAATTGATCGCCTGTGAAGATCGCTGCCGAACACGACTGACACTCGTGCATGATTCAGGCGATTGGAATTGGACGAGTTGAGAGACGACAGACAATGGCGCCTCAGATGCGGCGTGACAGCGCTTGAACGCAGCGCTGTTGGAGGCGCGAGCGCCTTCAGGGTGAGTTAACTGCCTCCTGGTCGACGGTAGGGGCTGGGAGAGACCTTTGCGCACCAGCGCATGACGTTTCGCCCATGCCCGAGCTAGGGTCGATGCCATACTGGCTGAAAAGATCGTCGTCGTTGCCCGTGGAGCGCTCGATCAGAGCCTCGCTCTCGTCGTTACTGACGGTCCTGGTGACGGCTTGGTGCTCACGAAGCACAGATTCGATCGCCTTGCGAGCAGCGCCATGCTTCACCTTGACGAGGATGAAGTGCTCGCCCTCGGGAGTGTTGCGCTTCGAGATGTCGCGCAGAATTTGAAAGTGAAGCAGCGAGCGGTCGGCCACGCAGTAGAGATCCACCACGAAGTGCCAGCTGAGGTCTTGCGGGATGTGGGTTATCACAAAGGTGCAATGAGGGCATGGCTTCTTGTTCCTGGTCACGAGGGTCTGTCTGGGCATGGTGGACGTTGGGAAGAGCGGATATGGATGTGGGTTGACTCGGAGGAAGGGTGCGAGGCAAGACACTTGATGGAATGGTTCGGGGAGCGGGGGCTACGATGCGGCGGGGGCAGGGGGTTTATATGCGCCAGGTATCGCGAGCGGAACAGCTAAGTTAGAGGCCGACACATCGTCATGGCGGCAGAGGCGGTGGGCTGTGTGTGTGGAAGTGCAGCGAGCGGGTCCATGTCGACGATAGTCCTCGCGCCGCCGACCCTGTTCAAAGGGGAGGCGACCTGCAAAGGAACAATAAGTCGACAGCGGTGTCGGTGGGCTGATCACAGGCGTACAGTCTCTCCTTTGTCTCGCGTGTGCGGTGCCTTGGCCCTCTTGGGCTGGAGGAGAGGCCTCGCCTAAAAAATCGAAGCAGGGTCCAGCTTCGATTAGAGTTTTGACAGCCGGCCAGCGACTGCGTGTGTGCTGATCCGGGGACATGCACGCGATGGGTTGTCATGAGGAGAGAGAGAAAGATCTTCCGATTGCATGAGGGGCCGGATTGGCGATACGAAGCTTGATCCATGCAGCCTGATCGCATAGCCGTGGGCACAAGCATGTGTCGCGATTCTCATCACTTGGCCGAGACGTTGCGCTTCACTCGGTTCGTTCAGCGAGGCGCTTGTCCGCTGCCTAATGCGCGCGCCTCAATGCTGTCTGACAAGCCCACGCCGTATGGGCGATGCGACCCGGATTGGAGATAAAGGCAAGCACACACTGCGCGCCATCGACAACCATGGTCACTCTTGTCCTTCTTCCCTTGCTCGTCATTATCATCCCTGTCTTCACTGTCCTCTATTGCAGCGACCGGCTCTCCAGACAATGTCGCTTAAAAATAGGACTCATCGCGTAGCCTTGACCATCCGCTACATGACGCCAACGGTGCCGCTGTCGGCCTGCCGAGACCACGCGGTGGTCGTCTTGCCTTTGAAGATCACTGAGGTATCGTTCTCTGTGCGGCTGGTGCGACGCAGCGAGGGTGCGCTCGGGCGGGCGCAGGCGCTCGTCGCTCCATATGGCGGTACAATTCGTCATGACGAACGGCGCGTCCTTCGCACTTCTATGATCGGGTATCATGTGGCTCCACCCACGCCAGTGTCAGCTCAGAGTGCAGCTGCACCAGCCCTCACGGATTCAAGCGACGAGCCAAGCCGTCGCCAGCTCACGCAGTCGGTGCCTGCAGACGTTTGGCGCACTTCCTCATCCCAAACAACCGAGGTAGCGTCGATCCCTGGCCGTCGCTTGCGAAGGCGGCCCATCGCGACCGCACCGGATGGCGCTGGCAGCGTCAGCCACGTCATCCCACGTCCTGCCCGGCAGAGCCAGCCTGTCGCCGCGGCACGCAGCCCTTGCAGAGAGTGCAGCGGCGCGTGCAGACTGCGCGGCGCCGGCATTGACAAGTAGCAAGGACGTCGAAGTAGACGCCTTCAGCGTCATCCGAGTCAGTGTAATAATCAATGGCATTAATCCCGGTACCGTTCTATTGACTTGGACTTGGACTTGATGTTGTTCCAGCCGCCGGCCACTCGTGACATGGCAACATCGTTACTGGCGACGCCCCGTTGTGCCGAGAGCGTGAGCGTCGCACTGCGCGCATCGATGCCTGTGCCCATCAAAGCCTGGGTGGGCTCGGACCTGGACTTTTGGGTTGCAGATGTCTCACGTTGCGAGGCGGAGGAGGATATGCAGTCACGATGCTCAAGACATCCGCTTGCGCACGGACGAACATGCAAGCTTGCCACAACATGCGCGATCGCATGTCCGCACCGCCCTTTGGTTGCATTCAAAGCCTACCCAACCCAACCTCTTACGCTCAAGTCTCTCAGCAACAACGCTGTGTGCCCCACACGATCCATCATCCTCCGCATCGACCACACTCGTTCGCACACTTCTTGCGCACGTGCATTGGGCATTGTCTACTGCTTCCTCCTGAACCACAACACATACGGCGAATTGGTATGCAACTGCCTATCATCGCCCCTGGCGATGCGCGAGTCGTCGCAGTACCACCACTCGCCACTGCTCTTGACCGTCGCCGTGTAATGCCCCGTATTCAAACTTCCAAAGTGGTGCGTCACCGCATAGAGATCGTACCGGTACGGGGGGCGTTGACTGCCGCTCTCCACTTGCCCACCCGCAGCGCCGGGGGGTAAAGGCGCAGGCATATAGTTCGTCAGATCCATCGGTGTGGTCGTAGGGAATGTGACCGTGGTATCGATCTTGTCCGTAAAGGGGCCTTTGAACGAGAACCTCTTGAGATGAATCAACAGGATCTGCGGAAGCCGACTGATCGAAAGTCGCTTGGTCGCTTTGCGCGGCTTCTTGCAGCGCGGGCAGTTCCACATATCCGCCTTATCCAACACCTCTTCCCTAACAAACGCATCCAGACACTGCTCGAGCGAGACCTTGCCCACTCCCCTCCCGTGCGGCACTGGCAAGGAGAGGTAGGTGTACGCCTCGTAGGTCGTACTCGTCTTGCCGCACGTCAGGCACGTGAGCTTGTTGCGAAACTGGCCCTGGAACCAGTCGACCACCAGACTGTCGTTGCGCATGCGGTAGATCGCCCACTCCTTGACACTCGCCACCTGCTGCGGCAGCGTCTCCAACTCCGCCTCCCTCTCCGGCGTCATCTCCACCGCCGCAGGCCTTGTCACCACATAGTTCAAATCTTCGTGCAGGCCGTCCAGCAGAATCGCGAGGAACTCCTGCGAGTCGTGCTGATCGTACCCGCGAAAACTGGGCGCGAACCTCGCCATGGCCTCGCGGAATGTTACTGGCGAGACAAACGCGTACTTTTCGCCCCACATCACATGCACCAACCCGGCCAACGCCGTAGCCAGTTGTCCTTGCGTGCCCAAAGGGTTCGTCCGATTGATCGCCTGCTTATACGATCCGTCTAGCAGGAATCGCGCGAGTGGGATCGTGGCGGAAAGACACTGAAGGGTCGAGTTCATGTAGCACGAGTTGCCGAGGTTCTTGAGTCCCGTCAGGCCGATCTTGATCTCGTCGGCGCTGCGGCCGTTGGTGGGGCTGGCATAGACGCGCGATGCAGTGGTGAGGTGCCCGGCATACCCAGGTGCCATGACCTGCTTCTTGGACGGATCGTTACCACCCGCCGATCCTGTGCCGGGGATGAGCGCAGTGGGTACCGACGTGGGGCGGTCGCGTGTGCTGGCTGCTGCGCCGGATGGCGAGGAGGACGATGCGGCCATGGGTGGCGGTTGCGGCGCCATCCCGCCGTACGCCGACATGCCCCCCGAGACGCTGGGCTTGAGCTGCGGATAGTCGAACGCGGTGGCCGAGTTGGAGCGCGACAGCGGGCGGTGCGCCGCGGGGGGCGGGAACGACGGTGCGCCCGACGCAATCCCCCCGGGCGCCTTGTACGCGCGTGCGGGCAACGACGGCCCACCAAACCCACCCTCCATCGAAAACGGCGAGCCGCCATTGCTGCTGCGGCTCGGGTACACGCCTCCGGGCTGCATACCGCGCGCTGGGTCGGGCACCACCTGCTGCTGTCTCCTCGCGCGCTTCAGCTCCTGCTGCTGCGCAACCTGTTCTGCCGTCCACCCCCTCGAACCGGCATCATCCGCGGTGGGGAATCGCGTACCCGGCTCGAACGAGACACTGCTTCTGTTCCCATTCGCCCCGGCACTGCGAAGCACCAGCTTGTCGCCCGCCTTTTGCGCCCACCTCTCGAACCCGCCCACGAGCAGCACAGGCTGGTGCTTGAGCGTCTTTGCAAACTCGTTTTCATAGATCGCGCGCACCAGCGTATCCATCCTCGCCTGTGCGGCGGGATCCTGCGGGATCTTGTCGGGCGAGTGTGCACCGCGCAGCGCGCGCAGGTTGCGGTCGTACAGCACCACGAGGTCGAACGTATTTCGCGCCGCAAACGCCGCCTGTTCCTCCTGGGGCGAAAGCACGAGCTTGTCCTCGATGTCGGCGGCGCTCATGCCGTCGCGCAGCGTGATGGGTTCGATGCAGACGAGCTTGCCGCCGAGGATGCGGCCGGCGTCGAATTCGGCGCGACTGCGCACGTCGAGCAGCAGCACATCCAGGCCGACCTTTTTGCCGATCTTGCGATTGCCCTGTGCGTCGGTGAACTCCTGGAAGCCCGGATGGAGGAAGCCGAACAGCTCCTCGACGCTGATGTGATTCTTCATGGGCAGTGGCGGCTTGGCGCCGACGATGAGCGAGCGCGGCTCTGCGGTTGATGCTGATGCTGGTGCTGATGCTGGTGCTGGTGCGGGTGCAGGTGAGGACGGAGGCTGGTGCAGACTTATGCGGTGCGGGTCGTGCGGCGGGAGGCCGTCGATAGCGCGAGACTGTCTGCTTGGCGGCTGCGGCGGTGTTGGTGCCGGGCTGGCGCGGTCAAAAGGTTCGGGCACGTCGCGGGCGAGGGCGAACTCGCGAGCGAGGTCGTTGGAGCTGGTGGAGGGAGGAGCGGGAAGCGGGCGTTTGGACTTGCCGACCGGATGCGAGGGTGGCGCTGGGAAGCCGCCGGCGGCATTGTCGTTTTCGAGCTGGTCGATGGACGGATAGTGGGCGTTGAATTCCGAGGCGGTGGGGACGGCGGGGAAGGCGTTGCTCGCCTCGTCGAGCGCGTGGTGCAAGCTGTGCGTGGCAAAGGCCGAGTCGGTGTCGGAGGATGATGCGTTGGACTGGGATCGGTCGCGCAGCTCTGCGGGATCGGTGGAGGCGCTATTGCGCAGGGCCTGGAGACGGTCTGCGAGCGAGCTACCCGTGCGTCTTCCCTCGGCATGCTGATCGATAGGCGAGGTGTCTGTCGCGTGGATTGCATGGTCGTCTTCCTCGTCCGATGCTTGTGCGGGTCTGGTGGGTGGATGGCGCAGCGCCGAATCGCCCGGCGGCTGGGCCTGTCTCTGTCTCGCGGCGTTCTGCGCCTGCTCCTCTGCGGCCTGTGCGAGCTGCTGGGCATTCGTCTCCTCGCGCACGGCGAGCTGCGACTCGAGCCTCTTTGTGCGCTCGATAAACGCCGGCGCCTGCTTCATCAGCTCGTTGTACGCCTGGTACACCGATCCGCGCGCCTTCTGGATCTTGGGCCAGTCGTCGTGCTTGGAGATGAACGCGGCCACATTCGCCGCCTTGAGGTAGTTGACAAAGGCCACTTCGATCTGCCCCTGTGCGTCCGAGGCACGCGCCTTGTCGAGGAGCGCATTCGCCGCACCGATGTACGTCTTTACGCTGAAGCTCGAGTCGAGTTTGGGCTGCGCCTGCTTGCGCAGGTTGAGCGGATGGTTGGCGGACAGAAAGGTGGATGCGCCATTGTTTGCCGCGGCCACAGCGGGCATGGTGGAAGACTTGCGGCGGTGATGATCGTGGTGGTTGGTGGTGGGGGAATTGGAGAGGGCTGTGCCTGAGCCAAAGAGGCTGTGAGACACTCGCTGCTCTCGCTGCTTTCCAACTGTGGAGGCTCAGCTGCGAAAGGGGCGTTTCATCGCACTCGTCTCTCTCCGCGCGTGATTCCAAGCTGCATGTCTCCACTCTCTCTGTCTCTCTCTCTCTTTGCCTTCCCCACGCATTGCTGTGTGCCGACTCGAACAATGTTAGATCGAATCCAATACAGTGCGGCAAGGTATCCAGAAGCACGACTACTATCATACATGAGGGCATTGGGGGGCAACGGCGAAAAAAGTTACAACTTGGCCTTGGGCGGCTGTGCAGGCTGGAGCGCCTTGCCCTGGCCCTTGAACCAGCCAGGCTTGGCCGGGTTCGTCTCGACCCACTGGTGCTTGGTCTCGATGTACTCGTCCAGGCCCTTGCTTCCCAGCTCGCGGCCGTTGCCGCTCATCCCGAATCCGCCCCACTCGGCTGCGGGGGTATACGATCCGTACGTGTTGACCCACACAGTGCCATGGCGCAGCTGCTTTGCCACACGACGTGCACGCTCGACGTTGGCCGACTGCACACCGCCCGCGAGGCCGTACTTGGTGTCGTTGGCGAGGCGGATGGCGTGGGCCTCGTCGCCATCGCGGAAACGCTCGACGGTGAGGATGGGTCCGAACGTCTCCTCCTGCACGATGCGCATGTCGCGATGGCAGTGGTCCAGCACGGTCGGACAAAAGAAGAAGCCCTTGGCGAGCTCCGGATGCGCCTTCGCATCGGGCTTAGCTCCGCCACACATCAGCTTGGCCCCCTCCTGCACGCCCAGCTGCACATACGCCTCTACCTTGGCCAGATGCGCCGCCGACACCAACGGTCCCGTCTCGCTGGCGGGGTCCATACCGTTGCCCATCTGGATGCGCTTGGCCCGCTCCACCACCCCGGCCACAAGTTTGTCGGCAATCGACTCTGCCACGATCAGCCGCGCGCCCGACGAGCACACCTGGCCCGAGTGCAGGAACACCGCCGTGACCACCGTGTCGATGGCCCAGTCCAGATCGCAGTCGCCAAACACCACGTTCGGGTTCTTACCTCCCAGCTCCACCGTGCACCGCTTCACCGTACCCGCGCACGACGCAATGATGCGACGCCCCGTATCCAGTCCACCGGTGAACGAGACGAGGTCGACGTCCGGATGCTCGGTCAGCGTGGGTCCCACGCCCGCACCCCCCGCCGTGAGCAGCTGCACCGACCCCACGGGCGCGCCCGCCTCGACGAGCAGCTTGACAAAGTGCACGGTCGACAGCGGCGTCACCTCGCTCGGCTTGATGATCACCGCATTGCCCGTGGCGAGTGCCGGTGCCACCTTCCAGCAGATCTGCAGCAGCGGATAGTTCCACGGCGCAATCAGCACGCACACGCCCACGGGCACGTGGCTCGTGGTGCTCTCCACCGTGTCGGGGATGACGTCCGACACGATGCGCTTGGGCGTGTCGAGCTTGTTGGCCTCTTGCGCGTAGAAGCGAAAGACGTTGGTGACGTCGTCGACGTCCACGCGGCTCTCCTCGAGCGTCTTGCCCGTGTCCTTTGTTTCGATCTCGGCGAGGATCTCCTTGTCGCGCTGCAGCAGCTCGGCGACGCGCGTCAGCAGCGGCGTGCGCTCGGTGCACGTCTGATGCGGCCAGTCCGAGGTGCGGAAGAAGTTGACGGCAGAGTGGATGGCGGCGAGCGCATCGTCGCTGCCCGCCTCGTCGATCACGCAGATGGTCGAATTGTCGTACGGATTGATGATGGGGCGCGTGTGGCCCGCCTTGGCGTGCGTCCACTTGCCGTCGATGTACAGCGTCGGCTCGGGCGCGGGTGTGCGCGATGTAGACGCCATGCTGCTGAGTTGCGATGCGAGTGCGGCTGGGTCTGGCGTGTGCGAGGTATAGACGGATCGACAGGCGCTGATTCGAGTCGGCTTAAACAAAGTCTAGGATGCAGAGACGTGTCAGTTCGAGCTTCACTCTCCAGCTTTATGGAAAGGGGACGCCGTTGGTCAGAGTCTGGTTAATCTAGTAGCTCCGCACAGTGTAAGGCTGATGACCTTCTCGGTGTTGGATTGTTCACATGAAGTAGAAATGTCCTCATCACTCCAACGGCGTCTCCCTTTGTATGCTGTCGCGCAAACTTACGTGTGATGTGGATGGGAGGATGGAATGTAGAGGCAGACGGCGTGCTGTTGTGAGGATGCGCAAGGTGCTGCCGATGGGAACGAAGGCCATCGAGTCTGCTTTATACACGGTGGTGGGAAGGAAGAGATGAAGCGCGGCACCTTGGCACAATTCGTGATTCAATCGGTGGAGGTTTTTCACGATCCACAGCCGCAAACTCGCCGCTCTCTTCCCGCACAGATCACATCCAAACCAGCCGCGGCCCGACTGTGCATCCGTTGATCCGGCCGTTACGTTTTTTTGAAAGCAAGCAATGTTAGGTCGAAAACGAGAGAGCGGGGAAGCATCGGCGAGCTCGGCAATCTAAACGGCCGCACGGCCTCCACCGTGCACCGTGCACCGTGGCACAAAGCAGCTTCGCTATCAATGCCAGTCATGTGGCTCAAGCTCGGCTTGGGGGCGTATCTTTGCTCAGCAGCGGCAGCCGGACCTTATCAGCCTCTCCCGCACCCTATACCCCGCTCTTAGCGACCACCATCTTCCTCTTCGCTCTTTTGTTATTCTCCATGCCAGCTAAACGCGTGCTCGTATCGTACGGGGTGGACATTGACGCCGTTGCGGGCTGGCTCGGCTCGTACGGCGGCGAAGATTCGCCCTCGGACATTTCTCGCGGCATCTTTGCTGCCGAAGTGGGCGTCCCCCGCATGCTCCGCCTCTTTGCCAAGAAGGACATTCGAGCGACGTGGTTCATCCCCGGCCACACGCTCGAGTCGTTCCCCACCGAGTGTCGAGCGATTGTCGATGCGGGTCACGAAATCGGGCTGCACGGATACTCGCACGAAAACCCCACCGCCATGTCGCTCGACCAGCAAAAGGCGATCCTCGAAAAGACGTTCAAGCAGTTGACCGAGTTTGTGGGCAAATCGCCTACGGGAAGCGTGGCGCCGTGGTGGGAAACTTCCGCAGAGGGCGCAGAGTTGCTGCTGAGCTATGGGATCGAGTACGACCATTCCATGATGCACCACGACAGCCAATGCTACTGGCTCAGGACCGGCGATCAATGGACCAAGATCGACTACGCAAACAAGCCAGAGACCTGGATGAAACCCTTGCAGAGGGGAGACGTCACGGGACTCGTCGAAATCCCCGCCAACTGGTATGTCGATGACCTTCCACCCATGATGTTTATCAAGAAATCACCCAACAGCCATGGATGGGTCAATCCGAGGGACATCGAGCAGATGTGGATGGACATGTTCCAGTGGCTCTACGACAACGAAGAAGATTTCGTCTTCCCCGTAAGTCCCCAACGCCAACCCCACCAGTACAAACATCGCATGCTGACTTTGGCGAGTTTGGGAGTAGATTACGGTGCATCCGGATGTGTCGGGAAGGCCACAGGTGCTTGCCATGCACGAACGCTTTATCGACTGGATCAACACGCACGAAGGCGTAAAGTGGTGCACCATGGACGAGATGAACAAAGACTTTCGCTCGCGCAACCCGCGACCCTCCTAAACCCCCCTCCTTGCCATGTCGAACAGGGTATACGTCTTCGATCGTGGGTTTTGGGAGACTAGAACTTGCGCCCGATGCCCGCCTTGCGTTTGGCAGCACCTCCATCGAATCGATCCATCTTTGCGTCCGCCTTGCTGAGTTTCGTCTGTGTCGACTCCACCTCGGTATCCAACTGGCCCAGCAGCTCGGTCTGTTCGCCGAGTTCCTGATTGATCGCCTCGCCCATTTGGCGCTGTCGACGCAGGATGGCGGCGAGGTTGAGCAGCTGCTCGTCCTGCTGGTCCATGGCGTCGGTTTGCGACTGGAACAGCTGTGTATTGTTGAGCGGCCGTGTGGTGTCTGTCTCCCGCGCAGGTGGACGCGGTGCATCCGCCGCTGCTTGGCCAAGTGTACGTGTACCCGCAAGAGCCCCCGGCATGGACGCTGTACGCGGCGCCGAGTTTGTGGTAGGGGTGGGTTTGCGGGGCGAGGTGGAAGAGGTGACCATCTTGACGTTCACCGGCCACTCGATGAACGACTTGAACGCGTCGGACTCACGCCAGCTTGCATCCGCATCCATGACAATATCCTTGAGATACAGCTCGAGATCGTGCATGCGCTGCTTGAGCCACATCTCGTCGTCTTGCACCGCATCGACCGAGGCAAACGACAGGAAACCCGAAAACGTCTTCTTCCACTCTCGCGCGCGTTCTCGCGGTGGCAATGGACGGGGTGCCGGTTTGCCTGCGCCACCCGGCTCGCCGGACGAAGAGGCGCTGGCAGCGAGATTCTTGTCGAGCCGCACGAACTCCGAGTAGCGCCGGTACACGGTCCAGGAGCGAACGGGCAGCTGCACCACCACGGCGTAGACCGTGTACGACGAGGCGGTGCTCGTGCGTGTCTCGTAGCGCGGTATCGATACGCCCTGCAGCGGTTGTGCCTGCGCCATCGTTGCGTCCCACAGAGCCAAAGGTTGCGTGGCAGTAAAGAATGCAGTGAGGTGTGATGGTGGAGCGGAGGAAAGACGGATGCGTGGGCTTTGAATGCAGGGGTCCCTCTCAAAATCACGAATGTGGAGCAGCACTCGCCCTTTGCGGCTGCAAATCTGCCCGGACGCGCTTCTACTGTACGCACACAACATGCACTCGTCCGTTTTGTACGGCTCATATTGTCATTTTGCACGGCAAGCAACGGTGCGATATCTAACGGTGAAGGGATGGATCAAGAATGACGGCCCAGACGGTCGAGGCACGCCTTGCCCTGTTCGTACCACTCTGCACGCGAGATCCAGAAGCTCTCCCTGTTCTTCATGATGTCGGCGAGCACGGCGCCGCCCAGGAAGACCATGTGCTTTCTGCGCGGCGGATCCTCGATTCGGATCTTGAAGTTCTTCAAGCGCGCGCCGTCGTTGTTGAGCACGCGCGTGAGGTAGAGCTGCTTCATCTCCTTTTCCAGACGGCTGGGCAGACCCGGATACATGGATGATCCGCCCGAGAGCACAATGTGCTTGTACAGCTCGGCGCGCGTGTCGACCGCGGCGGACTGGATGGTGTTGAAGAGGAGCTCGGCAACGCCCGCCTGCTCGACATCCACCAGATGCGGTTGGAACATGCACTCGGGCGCCTCGAAGCGTTCGGAGCCGACTTTGATGATGCGGCCGTCCGGCAGCGTGTACTGCTCGACGAGCGTTGTTGTCTCTTCGGCGAGCTTCTTGTCCAGGTCGAGGTCGTAGCTGACGTAGCACAGCTTTTCCTTGATCTGACGCACCGTGTCGAAATCGGCGGTGCGGTTGAACGCGTATCCGCGCATGAGGAGCAGCTTGATCAGGTAGCGCGTCACATCGCGACCCGCCACATCCAGCCGCTTGGTGAGGTGGGGCAGTGCAAATCCTTCGAACACGGGCACGACGTGCGTCACACCGTCGCCCGAGTCGACCACCACACCCGTCTGAAGACCCTGGGCATAGAGCGTCAGCACGGCCTGGATGGCGACATAGACGCCGTCGAAGCCGTACTCTTCAAACATGATCTGGCACATCTCCTCGCGGTTCTTCTTGGGATTCATGGGCGGCTCGGTGAGCAGGATCTTGCGCCCCTGCGGGTCGATGCGCAGCTTTTCGTCGAAAGTGTAGTTCCACACGTGGCGCATGTCGCCGAAATCCTTGACGATGCCGTGTTCCATGGGCTGGTTGATCTGGAGGTAGTTGCGCAGCTCCTCTGCCTCGGTGCCCACCATGATGTCCTTGATCTGCGTGCCGGTGTTGCTCGAGATGGCGTCGCGCTCTTCGGAACGCAGGATGGGTCGTCCGACGATCGACGGAAACACATGCTCGGGAAAGTTGGAGCCGGCATAGCCGACCTTGACAAAGCCGGTGCCGTTGTCGACGACGACGGGCCTTGAGTCTGTCATTGCTGTTGATGATAGGGATGGGCGCGGATGGTGGTGGTGGTGGTGGTGGGATGGGCAGCCGTGGATGGCTCAGCAGTGCACAGCACAGCACAGCAGCGCCGCTCCGATCCGTCTCGATTTGGCGGCGATTATTCGAACAGCGCGATTTCCAGGCGATTTGCGCAACTCCACTTTCCAAGGCAGTCCGGCTGTGCTTCGCCCTCTCCAAACCAAATGGCCTGTGCAGCCCCCCCGCAACTCGAAATTGTCAGCATTAGTCATGCACACCTCCAAGCGACGGCGGGAAGACCGCATGTTCAGGGTCCACTCGTGTGCCGCTTCCCTCTTCCACTCGCACCACCACCACCACCACCACCACCACCATGACAGCGGCACCGACAACAAGGCCGCTGCAGCTCGACCAGTGGTCCAACACAAAGGCGCCGCTCTCCTCATCGCAGCGTGCCTCGGTGAATCGTCTCGCAGAATGGCTTCACCGCAGTTCGTCCGACTACAAGCAGTCGCAGTCGCAGTCGCAGCAGCAGCAGCAGCAGCAACAACAAGCATCTTCGAGCAACGTTGAGACATCCACTCCATCGGCAGATGTGGTCGATGCGCCGCTGCTTCCCTCGACAGCCTCCGAGCCCATCGCGCTTCCGGACGCATCGGCACCGCTCGTATCCGCACAGAGCTTCCTCGCGTGGTACACGCAGCTGTCGGACTCGGTCAGCTCCTCGACGCACTCGTCGCACATCCACGCACTCACGCACATCGCCCACACCACGTCGATCGCCGACTCGCTCCTCGCCCACCTCGACGCATGCCAGATCAACGTCGCCGAGCTGCGTGCGGGGTCGGCGTTTGTGCACGACTCGTCGCGCGGCATCCGCGAACAGGCGCAGGCGCTGCTCGACTCGCACACGCACCTCGACACGCTCGCCGAAGACATCGCTTCGCGCCTGAGCTTCTTTACGCTGCTGCCGTATGCTACCAACATGCTCAGCTCGCCCGACGCCGGCATCGTGTACTCGAGCGCGTTCCTCGAGCTCATGGACCAGCTCGAAATGGCGCTGCTCTTTCTCAACCAGCAACCGGCGCGGACGTACAGGGATGCACAGCTCTATCGCATGCGCTATGCACAGTGCGTCACGCGGGCGGCGACGCTCGCAAAGATGGCGGTCGTGCGCGATATCAAGGCGCATGCAGAGCATACTGCACAGCGACTCAAGCAGCTCGCATCGTCGCGCACCCACGCCTCATCCGACACCGATGTCAAGGGCAAAGCGCGCGAGATCACGCAACCGCCCCAGTCGGTGATCAGCAAGGAAACGTCGCAGATCCTGTTTGCAGATGCCGAGCAGATGGTCACCAAGCTGCGCCCGCTCATCTTTGAGCTGGCCAAGCGCGCGGCGAGCACCGCCGATACACCCACCGCCTCGACGGCAGCCGAATTCGAGTCGCTGCTGCAAGAGTGTCGCGCCGCATGGTACCACACGCGCCGTCCGCTGCTGGCGCGCCTGCTCGCGCAGCGGATCGCCGAGGCGGAAGCCAACGCCGCCAGCCAACCGGGCGCGGGCGTTGTGCCGCTCGCACGCACGGCCACGCAGCTGCTCGCCCACATCGTGCGCGCCGAGCACCGCCTCTACCAGCGCTTCTTTGGCACCGACACCGCCACCAACCAGCCTGCACGCCATGATGCGGAGTTGACCGCGTATCTCGGCGAGCTCACCGAGACGGTGGCGTCGCGTCTGCGGCCGCGACTCGCCAAGGAGCACGATCTGGTCGTGCTCGCCGATACAGCATCGGTCGTCTCGGACGCAATCCACAACGAGGAGGATGCGGCATGGTCGCGCGGCATGCAAGCCTTGGTAGACGAAGTCCAATCGCGGCTCTCGGCACGCGCCCACCAGGTGGTCGTTTCGGACATTGCCCACTTTACGCCCGACGCGGACGAAGGCGAACTCGACTTTCCCGCGCGTATTCTCGCCTACCGCTCCTCTTCGCGAGTGGGAGGGCGACATCAGCGCGGAAAGTCTGGCGCAGGGTTGTTGGATGCAGCGTTGGCGGCATCGCGCGCATCGACGTCGAGTGCGGTGCACAAGGTGGCGCTGTTCACCATGCCGCCTGCACTGGCGAGTACGTACTATACGCCGGTGCGGACGCTGCTCGAGGTGCTCTTCCACCTCCAAGCACACCTCTCTCCGCGCGCCTTCTGTCGCATCGCCAGTGCCGGCATCGACGCATGTCTGCTGAGCATCGGCAAAGGTGCAGCAGCGTTGGGCAAGCGAGGGGGGGAGAAGGAGGATGGGTGGTTGTTCGAGCTGCGCCAGTGCGAGATCCTGCGCGAAGCGGGGGTGTCGGCCGACCTCGTGCTAAGCCAAAACCCCGCTACCGCCTCAGACAGCGAGGCGACACGATCCATGGTGGATACGTCATCGCTCGTCACGGCGATCAACACGCTGTGGACCAACACCACCAGCCTTCTATACCCGACCAAGGATTCCAAGGAAGAGGGTACGGATATGCAGCGCAGCACAGACGCCGTCTCGACACGATTGCACGAGCTCATTTCGCGTACGGCATCTTTGTGGGCTGGGGCGATCGTTCTCCCCCTGCGCGTGTACATCGACCATCACACAAACACGGCGCAAGAGTCCAAGTACGCCTCGACCAGGGACGCCTTCGACACGTGTATCGCCAGCATTCTGCCCGAAAAAGCGGCCAAGGTGCGCACGTGGATCGAAGACCCCGAGGTGCAGCGTATGCTCGGTGCGCGGATTGCCGAGCTCGTTGCGGAGACTTATGCTAAGTTCACGGAGCTTGGAGACGAGAGTGAGGGTGTGGACGAGGTGAAGCAGAGGGTGGTGGGGGAGTGGAATGCCGCCCTTGCTTAGATCCATTCAATATCATAACTTGCGCATTCGGAGTGAGCATGCCTGCGATCGTGGGGAATGGAGTTGGGATGGTGGAGAAATTCCCCCGAGTCCCGGCCAAAAGCGAGTCTCCCAAATATTTGCATCGCTCCACCTTTCCTCCATCACCTTGACCTCATTCTTCGGGCACGATGAATCGGACACAACTCTCGCAGGCATTCGCGCGGTCTCGCACTATCACCACCACTTCAGCGCGGCTTTTGCGACCGCGCACATCGGCACCCACATCCGCCTCCCAACCGGTGCTGCAAAAAGACGCACCCCCGCCTCCGCGTCGATCGCCCCCACCACCACCACCCACACAATCGCCACCCGAGACTAAGCGGGGCGGAAAAGAAGGTTCGGTATACGCAAGCTACCGCGCTCTGCCGTACAACACCAAACTCGTCTTCTGGACTTGTGGCGCCAGTAAGCCCCCAACCCCCCTTTCCCTTGGCCTCACTTTGAACCCCAAACTAACGTCCCGACTTTGATTCCTTCGCTCGGGGGGAAATAGTGTTTGCGGTGCTGGGCCTGTTGGCAGCAGACAAACTCGAAGAACTCTTCCCTGCACGCAACAACCGTCCCACCGAATCCAACGACGAAACACAGCCCAAGTTCATCCAACACAACCAAAAGCCCCGGCTGCTGGCAATCTCGGTCGTCGATCGCAACCCCAACCCCGACCGCACATAACCGACACAAAACATGAAATTGAAAAAAACCCACACGGACACGAAAGATCTAGTCGTCGTCCTCGGACAGCTTGGGTGCAAGGTAGAATCGCACGTATCCGTTTTCGAAGCCGAATTCACACTGTCCCGCCGTTAACAACAAGGTCAGCCATTGTCAACTTTTCAAGGGTTGGAGGGAGGAACGACTTACGAGGAGGGGAACTTCGTTGCTCATATGCAGCTGCACCTCGTCGGCGAGCGGGGCGGCCTTGGCAAAGTTGCTGAGGTACTTGAGCGAGAAGGTGAGGTTGACTGCCTGTTGCATCTCGATCTTGACGGGGACCTGACCACCGGTGCTTGGGCCATCCTGCTTGCGCTTCTTCTTGGCCGGCTTGACGTCCTCGTCATCATCGTCCTCGTCCAGCGCAGCACTGGCCGAGCCCTGCTTGAGCGTCATCCTAGCCGCACCAATCTCACCCTCTGCCGAGAACGAGACGCCCTCCTTGGAGACCTCGATCTTGACGCTCTCTCCGATGTTGGCGAGATCGCGACAAATGCGGCCAAACTCGCCGGAGGACATCTTGACGACTGCATCGTACTGGGTGTCCGGGATGCCGAGGTGCTCCGAGTCGATGTCCATGAGCTTCATCTCGAACTCGCCGACGCGGTCGGACTTGGGCGACTCGAACGTCATCTGCAGCGTGTCACCGTCGTCGGACTTCTTGAGCGACAGCACGTCGTCGTTGTTCGCGCCCTTGAGGATCTTGCCCAGCGACGCGAGCGACACGCCGATCGACATGGGTCGATCGCATCGGAACTCCTCGAAACAGTCGGTGCGAAGCTCTATCGCCGACAGCGCCACGTGCGAGTTGTCCATCGCCTGGAGACGGATGCCGTCCTCGGAGCATTCAAAGTTGGCATCGGTGATGAGCTCGCGCACGGCATCGAGCACCTTTTTGAGGAGTACAGCCTCGCGCAGACGTGCCTCCAGCATGGTTGTGTCGTTGATGGTGGGTGGGTGTGGAAGGAAAAGCGCTTGCTGAGGGATGGATGGTGGAGGAAAGAGGGAAGAGCAGGATCTACGCCGCGCGCGATGCACTATTTCTCCACGCTCGACTCAGAGCGAGAGAGCGTTCATTCCAGACGCGCCGCGCGCTCTCAGGTTGGGCTTCAGTTGGGCTCCCGTTGTGAGTTGGCTGAGCAGCTGCTGCCGTGTTGCACTTCTCTCTCGCCAGAGAGCAGCGGCCGAGGCGCAGAATTTTGGCTGTCAAGACGCGCGGGTTGGCACGCGGCTCTTTACGCGCTGCTCCTCTCTCTCCCGCGACGCGCGCGCGCGCCCAATTCCAACGCTTTCCAACGCGCTCTCGTTGCGCGTGCGGGTGTTGGTCTCGTCCAACGCCGCTCTAACACCCCCCCAAAAAAGCTGCATCTTCTCGCGCGGCTTTCACCCCACATGTGGAGGCAATTTCAGGGTCCAACTCCGCCCACTCTTGCACACACGCTTTCCCTCCCTTCATCCTTGCCTCTCGACCGTCACTGATACCCTAGCCAGCATGTCGTCCTCATCATCTGGACCCCCCGCTGGCACCGCCTCGGACGACGACAACTTTCAACTGACGCATGTGCTGCGCGCTCACACTTCCGACGTGAGTACCTCCCTCCTGTCTCCCCCGCGGTCCACTGCATCCTCGTGCTCACCCTGCAACCTTTGCTTTGGGGGGGGGGGGAAACTGTAGGTGCGGTGTGTGGCGCCGACGCTCGATGCGCTCTCTGGTCGCGAGGCGTTGCTGTCTGGGTCGCGCGATGAAACTGCCGTGCTGTGGTCGCGCGAGCAGTCACCCAACGCAGCCTTTAGCAAGGACGCAACGTTTCAAGGCCACCGATTCTGCAGCGCGGTCGAGTTCATCCCACCCAGCACCTCCGCTGGCCTTCCACGCGGTCAAGTGCTGACGGGCAGTCTGGACGCGCAAATTCGCTGCTTCGACCCGCTACGCCCGGACAAACCGCTGCAGCTGCTCACCGACCACTGGGACAACGTCGCTGTTCTCAAATCCACCACACACGATGAGCCGGTGTTCATCTCGGGGAGTTGGGACAAGACGGCGCGCGTATGGATGTGGGACGGTGCAAAGTGGGCGTGCAAGTGGGTGCTGCGCACCCACGAGCAGGCAGTGTGGGGCGTCGAGATCATCGAGCCACCCACAGCCACCCAACCAGGAAAATACCTCACCGCATCCGCCGATCTGTTCATAAGGCTCTTCCACGGAGACCAGCTGCACACCGTGTATGCCGGCCACACCGACGTCGTACGCTCGCTTCTACTGCTACCCCCACTTCCACCCACCGACGATGCTGGCAGTGCAGACCCCGTGCTCTTTCCGGACGAGAGCGTGTTTGCGTCTTCGTCCAACGACGGCACGGTGCGCATCTGGTCGCTCGACGCGCGTCGCAGTCCCACCCCTGGCAATGGTGGCGAAGCGGTACGCGTGCTTCGTGGACACACCAGCCTCGTGTACGGCCTGGCAAGGTACCAAGACGCGGCAGGATTGCGACTGGTGAGCAGTGGTGAAGACGGCACGTTCCGCATTTGGGATCCCGTCAGCTCGCGGCTCCTGCACACCATCCCCGTACCCGTTGTGTCCGTATGGGCGGTCGCGGTGTTGCCCGCATCGAATGATATCGTGGTGGGTTGTAGCGACGGTCTAGTGCGCATCTACTCTCGCCACGCCGCGCGCGCCGAGGAGGACAGCAAGATGCTCGGTGCCCCACTATCCATCAGCGAAGCCGAAGCGGAAGCACGCAAAGCCGCCGAGATCCAACGAACGCTGTCGCGCAACACCGAGACGCCCGACCAAAGCACGCAGGATGGCAACCACGATGTCCTTCTCCACATTGACGTTGCCGACGACCAGCCGCCTCTCCCGCTCGCGGTGAATCGTTCGCAAAACTGGCTTCAAGTCGCCTCGGACTTTGTCGCGCTTCATGCACTGCCCTCGTCGTACATTGAGCGCATCGTCGAGTATATCCAGCTCGTCTTGCAGTAAGATTGCCGTGGACAAGAATGCCGCCGGGAATCTTTGGTCCCACGAGGTGGTGCATGAACCCAATCGAAAGTCGCCGGTGCCGATCAAAAAACCTCGGAAGATGGACCAACGCTGGGGCGGAAACTCGACGACCGAACTGGCTCCGAGCGCACTTTGTTGGCGGACGAATCTCGGTGGAGCTGGGCGAGGAGCATGGTTTTCCGAGTTGCCATGTGTGCCGAACACCGTCGGTGGAATGGAGAGACTGCGGAGAGACTTTTGCGGCAACCTACAAACGCAAGCTCCGTGCTTGGTCGTTGGTCGTTGGTTGTTGGGTGTGCCTGACGGAACAAAAAATAAAAACCGAGCTCACCGGCGACCTTTCCGTGCAGCGTGACTGCATCCTGGACGAACTTGACGGATCGGCGTTTTTTGCGACCGACCAGTCCTCTCCCACTCTCACTCTGCATCCCTCCATGCTTTCCATCCCCTTCACACATGCACACAATTGTCTTGCCGTTTGGTATATGGAGGTGGTGGGATGACGTATGGGTGCTGGCTTGGAGGTGGTGCGGGTGAATTCGGAAGCTTTTCTGTGGCGCGGTGAGAGAGGGCTGTGAAAGGCCGATTTTTCTGTCGCTGTCACATGTCTGCCAAAAAAAAATCATAGAGCATAAGGCCGAGGGAGGGTAGCATGACCATGCATCATCCAACGCTTGGACGGCAGCTGGCATCGGCGGAGGTGGACCGACGCCTCCGGTAGGGGGGGAGAAAGCTCGGATGGTCGGACGGAAGAACGACACTCTTTGACCGAGACGACCGCTTGGTCCAGCTTCAATTCCTCCGCACCGTTCTCGAGCCGGCCTTGATTTCCGCGCCGCTCCGGCTGCCCCGCATGGAAAGATCCGCACCGCCCTCGTTTCGCCATTTCACGCCCATTCCCGCCTTGACTCGGCTTCTCGGATAGCTTACACCGCCTTTCTCCCATCGCTAACTCAGACTCATCCGATGGGAATATAGCGAAAGAGGTGGTAACAAAGAAGAAAGAGGGGAAGAAGGAGGGGGGATGGAAGGACGGGCGTGTCGGCGAGGTCTGCAAGCACATCATCCCGACCAACTCCGGACGGCTTCGGACCGGTTCCCCCCTCGTCTTTTTGTCGGGGGCCTACACAGAGAATGCCGTTGCGCTTTCCCCAATCCCACTGTTTGCTCGGCCACCATCCCGCATCTTCCACTTGCGTTGCCACCACCATCATCGACCTCTCGACCACCTACTAGCGACTACGAGTTCATCATGTCGAGCAACACCGCACGCCGATTAGGACCTGCGCCACGACCACCATGACTACGCCCTCGACAAAGCCTTGTTCTGCGCAAGGCTAGCATTTTGAAGTCCAACCACCCACCCACGCTGTCCCCACCCCTAACTGCGATCCTCGGCCTGCACTTGCTTGCATTCGGCAGCCATGCACAAGTCGACACCATCCCGAGGGCCAGCTCGATAACGACGCCCTCCCTGCACGTCGGCGATCTAACATCGCGCCGGGTCTGCACTGTCGTCTCGGCCGACCGACTCGTTTCGACAAAAATACGATATCTCGGCCGTTTCTGCCAGCATCACGCCATTCGAGGCCACGCGAGATGCAGCCCTCTGCAGTCCCACTTTTCGGCACTCTGCACTTATCGATGCCGCGCTCCCGCCAGATGGCGCCGCCCGTCCCCAGATCTGGAAGATCGCCCTAGCCAGCCAGCCGCTAAGCGAGGTCTGTCTTGCGTCGATTGCCTTTGCCCAACCGCAGCCCAGCTAAGAGCATCCGCCAGTCCTCACCGTCTCCAACCAACGCGCTGTTCTACAATGACGACCCTATCTAGGATGGCCGAGCCAGGGAGAGAGAGAGAGAGTGGTCGCGGCGCAACTTGCGAGCGAGGGGGCTGCGAGCGAGGCGCGGTCGCTGATCTGCAGCTGCAGTCTCGCCAAACACCCACGCGAGTCCGAATCAGGGCCGCCAAAAAGGAAAAAGGAAAAACCGCGCGTTTTGGGCGAATTGGGCGCGAACGAAAATGCCCCAAAACTTTTTTTGGGTGAGAGCCGAGCCGAATTTGGCGGCTGGGCTGCTCTGCAACGGTGCATTTCTGTCCAGCGCTTCTTTGCAGACTGATCGGATCGGATCAGGATTTTTTTGGCCCTTTGCGCGTTTGCATGGCATCGCATCGCATCGCATCGCATCGCTGCTTGGCCCGCAGCAAAGGTGCATCGTCGTCGGCATCATCCATCCGTTCCAGCCCAGGACGCAAGATCGTCCACAGCCGCCCCAGCAGCCAATCGCAGCGCAGCAGCATCCTTGCAGCAATAGGGAGCACCCATCGCTCCGACGCTCTCACGCTTGCAACCAACGCACCAGCTTCTCAGCTGCTTCTCTGCATTGCGGCATCCCGCTCTGGCCGATCTGCAGCCCATAGACGCGCAGCGACCTTGCCAACCCCGCCTTTCGTCCGCCCAGTGACTCCATCTCTCCGCTTCCATACCCAGGGCTATGCCGTCTTCCTAAGGCTACCTGCCATCAACACATTGCTACCCACCGCTTCGTCCATATACCCTGTTGCTACACCATGTCGCCGCACGACTCGTCCACGTCGCTCTTGGGCGGCGGTGCGGATGCCAACAAGCGTTCTGCCGACGACGCCAACGTCGACGCTCAGAACGCCGCCAAGCGCAAGCGTCCGCAGTCGTGCGACACGTGCCGCTCGCGCAAGATCAAGTGCGTCCGCCTCCACGTCGACGGCATCGACGTCAGCGCAGACAACCGCTGCGTACAGTGCCGCGCCATCGACGCCAAGTGCACCTTCGACTACGTCCCCAAGCGGCCCGGTCCACAGAGCTCGTTTGCAAAGACCGCGCGCAAAGAAGCGGAAGCCCAGGCCCAGGCGCACCACAAGCCAAGCACACCCCATGGTCTCACGCGTCCGACGCACTCGCGCGCATCCACCTCGGGCTACACCAACACCCCGGCACCCAGCATTGCAGGTCCCTCTCCCAACGTCGCCTCAGGTACGGGCGGCTCGCCTTCGGATGATAGCTGGTACCGCGCGTTGGCGCAGCACAACTTTGCCTCGGGCAATGCCGGCGCCAGCGCCAACCAGACCAGGAGCTCGTCGTGGAGCGGCGCCACCAACTTTGACGCCTACCTCAACGGCTCCATGCTCGCCATGACGCCCACCCACTTTGCCGCCATGCCCGCCGCATCGCCCTTTGACTTTTCGCCCCACAACGTCGGCGCAATGTCCGGACCCTCGCCTGCCATGAGCGCATCCAACGCCTCCTCGGCTACCCCCGGCAGCTATGCCGGCTCGGCATCGTGGCATGCGCCTAGGTCCGACGCAGGCAGCTCGCGCTCCAATGCCCCGCTCGCCGCACTCTCGCACATGGCCAATCAGCAGCACATGCACAGCCAGTCGCATACTCAACAGCAGCAGCAGCAGCAACACAACACGCACAGCGCTCAAGCGGACGAGCTGGCCGCCTTCGACATGAGCAGCTTGGCGGGACCAGAGTCGCGCGCAACGCCCTTGCCGCTGCCCATCCCGTCGTTCTCGCGCGTCCAGTCGCCCGTCGCCGCCGCCAACCCGCTGCAACAGCCGCAACAGCCACCGCAGCAGCCACAGCAGCCCGCGACGAGCAGCGAGGGCGCGCGCCCGAGCCGCAAGCGCAAGAGCGCGCCCGGCCTGTCCACCATGTACTGCGGACCCGTAGTCCGCCCACGCTCGCTCGACGACATTGCGCCGCGCCAGACGTTCCTCGCGATCGTCTCGCTCTACTTCCACTACCTGTGGCCGCTGCTGCCCATCGTGGACCGGCCGACGTTCAGCCACGACCTGCTCAACCGGCGCGACGAGCGCGACGACACCTTCCTCGCGTTTGTGCTGAGTCTGGCGTCGTATACGCTCATCCAGTGTCCGCGCACCGTCATCCCGGCGCCCTGGACAGTGTATCGTCGGCTGCATCGCATTTGCCATCTGACCTCGCGCAGGATGCAGCCGCGCGTGTACGATCCGCCCCAGCTGCTCCATGTCAACACGCTGTATTGCGATCACATCTACCTCGGCACTGTAGGCAAGACCAATGCGGCCAATGCGGTGTTGGCCGAGGCGGTGCGTGTGGCGTATACGCTCGCGCTGCACGACGAGTCCAAGAACAGCGCCGCGGCCAATGCGGCGCCGTACGGCCTGGATGCGTCGTCGTTTGCGCACTACCGCGCACCCACAGCCAATGCGGTGGAGCGCGAGCTGAGGAAGCGCATGTTTTGGGTGCTCCACGGAAGCTCCACCACCATCGCTATGCTGCAGGACGAGCCGGCACTCATCCACGCCATTGATGCGTGTGTCGATCTGCCGCTGGCTGTCGACGAGGAGGCGCTCGCCAATCCGCGCCATGTCCAGTCGCGACCGAGCGTGCTGTGCGGGTTTCTGACCGTGACGCGTTTGCACCAGGTCATGCTCGAGCTGCTCGAGTCGTACCGGCGCGACCGGAGGTTTCCGATCGACGATCTTGGCGTGGCGCGGTCGAGGGTCAGGTATCTGGCGGATGTGCTCAGTAGGCTGCAGCATGCGATCGACGATATGCCCGAGGAGCTGCGCAAGCCCGTGTATACGCATGCGCCGCCCGAGCCCATCCGTCGCCCGGGCGTGAGCATGCCTTCTCTCGAAGCGGTTGCGCCCGGTGGCCAGCAACAGCAGCCGCCGCCGCCGCTGCAGGCGATCGGGTTTGATGCGGCCACGCAGACTGCGCTGGGCAACCATCTGAGCGGGACGTCGCCCTGGCCGTGGCCCGCCGAGACGTTCACCCGCGATGGCTTGCCCAACGCCGACGCACGCTCGTCGAACAATTCGTCGGCGACCCACTCGCCCCGTCCGTCGGCCGAGCCCGCCTCGGGTTTGGACGTCGGACAGCCTCCGCACCAGGCCTTGACGCCGCTGCCCCTGACGCCGCAGACGGGACGCGATGCAGTCGCGGGGCTCACGATGGTTGATCTTGTCAATGTCTTTCGACCCTCGCCGCCACCGAGCAGTACGCCGGTGCTGTCGCCCATGTGCACGATGCACGCCAACATCGTGTGTACCGAGAGTCTGATCCGCTTCCTGGTGACCGAGTACCGCGAGTTGGTAGCCACGCGCATCCGCGATCTCAAGCTTCGTCAACCCGCCTCGTTCGGTGCACCGGCCAATGCGCCCGAGGACGTGCAGCGCGATACGTGGCAGGATGCGGCGCAAAAGATGCTGCACACCTTCAACAGCCTGCCTCTCGACGCGCTCGCCAGCAACGGTCAGAGTCTCATCAGCAAGATCATCTACGTCGTCTCGGCGTTGCTCAACCGTACGGCCATGCGCGGACCGTCGGAGGGATTCCAGTACATGTCGAGTTTGCTGGCTACGCTTACGAGGCTTAGCCAGACGCGCAACGACGATACGCTCGACGAGGGCGATGACGATGCACACGCCACGGGCGAGCCGAGGGGAGGGGGTGGGGATGGTGGTGCTGGTCCAAGCGAGGGTGGTGCAGGTGGAGCTGATGGCGCTGCGGGAGGTGGACATCGAGACGCTGGTGGTGAGCGTCGGGACGACCGTTGGCAGAAGCGTCCCAACCAACGCAGGCCAGACTCGTCCCACGAACCGCGCGATACGACGATGCAGCACACTTCGCGCAGCGCGGGCATCGAGTCGCCCGCATCTACCCCGGCCAGCCTCGTGCATACCGATAGCGCGCCCAGCTCTGCACCCAATACCGCGTCCACCACGCCGACCGCCGAACTGCCCGCGAGTTATCCGTTTGCCAACTTCAAGCACGACCACCTGAGCGCAGGCGTAGGACCGCTTGGTGCGGTCTCGACCGCTTAGCTTGCGGCGTGAACAGATCATGCCTTTTTTTTCATTGCCCCTGAATGTGCGTGTGTGTGCAGAGTGCGCGCGGGAGTGCGGGCAAGACCTGCGCGCCAAGGCAGCAAGGGCTCAAAGATGAGCTGCAGAGAGAGAGAGAGGGACACACACACACACAGAGGCACTGGCACTGCAATGTGGCATTGGTGCAAAGGGTCACACGCAGAAAGGTCCAACACTTTGCCTCGGTGCACACGCTGAGATGGGCAAGCCTGCAACCTTCATGCTTCGCTTCTCGCACACACACGCATATCGATGCACACCATCGCCAAAAACAAAGTCGATCTGGCGGTCTTCAGAGCCTCTTCTTGCCACACTGGCTCCGCCAGAACACCGCCAAACCCTCGAACCCAACCCCCCATCATCAGTGCTGAGCTCACACCCAAAGCTGTTGTGTATCACACCGGAAAACATCGACGTTCATTGTTCTCCATTCAGACGTTCTGCTTCAAAGCAAAACATGTTGCACACATGCAGAAGCTCTGACCATGTTCGGTGTGGATGCGACATGGCGCTTTTCTCGCACAGATCCTCGGAATCAACCCCTCCCTGGTCGAGACCCGCGCAAGTTTTTTTATCCGATGCGTCGGTGGAACTCTCTCTCTGCGAGAGTCATCCCCTTTCCAGTCGTCCCCATGTGATTTTGGCCCACGAACGCCTGGCATTGCTCAGTGGCGGTGCCCGAGTCACACCCATTCCAATCTAACGTAATTCCAGTGGTTCCGACGCATCGGTGGTTGCGACGCGTTTGCAATTTTTTGACACCCTACACCAGATGGCGACATTGTGAAAAAAAGTCATGGTTCACCAAACTCATAACCACTCCTCAGAAGTGTCGTCGATCCTGCCTTTGGCGTGCATGTATGGATAGCCACTTGATCATCCTACTCACTGCTGATCTTTGGTGTTACTGCGCAGCACGGACAATGAGCTAGCCAGGCTGAAAGGTGAGCTTCGTTTTTTCAGGCCAGAGCTTGTTTCACCACATTTGAAGTTCTTAACCAGTACTCCATCATACCAAGAATACATTGATGATTTGAAGCGCCGGCTTGACGTTGTATTCTCAGCACTGACACCATCTCAAAGGCAGCATGCCAAATTGCAAAATATCGCAAACGCGTCGAAACTACTTATGCGTCGGAATTACTGTAATCACGTTACCCTGATGATGGCCGACAGACGCTTGTCATTGCTCAAAGGTGCGGCGGGCGGCTAAGGCGGCGCAGGCATAGCGAGTGCCGACGAATGCCATCCTGCAAACGCCAGGTCGAACGCAAACGGCATCGCCCCGCCGCGAGGATGGATCGTAATCTGCGTTGGATCGTGCACGTCTTGGTGGCCTGCTCGCGGTGTTTGTCGTGGCACACGCGAGGGCCGCAAGACCCTCGGCAGCGGCACAAGGTTGCCTAACCAACCCCCGCCTTCCTGCTCTGCCTCCGTGCGGTCCGATGTGCTAGAGGCAAGGTGCCAGGGCGGCGGCCAGTTCCCAAGAGCACCCTTGGAGAATGCACCCCACGTAAGAATCTCGCCTTGCTGCGTGAGCGCGCCGTAGTGGTAGTCGCCCATGACCACTTTGATCACCCCACGCGCCTGCAACTCCGGCACCATCTCCGGTTGCACTGAATCCGGCGTGCCCAGCAGAACAAGCGTATCCTCCCTCTCCCCGTGGATCACGGGGATGATGACTACGAATCGGCGAAAGTGCGCGGAGATGTGCGTGATACGCCCAGCCACACCTCCCGCCAACCACGTCGGATCAAAGTCTTGGAGTGCCTCGGGCCGTTCAAAACCCGCAAGTGCCTCCCAGCGTGCAGTGGTGGCGAAAAGGCGATTGATGCGCTGACGGTGCACCACCCCGCCGAGGCCGTCGTCATCGCGCCGCAGCGCATACGCCTGGCGTATTGCCTGCCACTCGTTTCCCGTTGGAGGCGGCAGATGCAGGTCGATGCGATGCAGCGTCCCAGACGCGGTGAGCGCAACGATAAAGTCCTCACCTGCAGCAATCTGCACGATATGCTGCGCGTCACCCTCGCCCGCAATGCGCGGCAGACACACGGGCTCCACCTGCAGCGGGAAGACCTTTTGATCGCCATAGCCGGGTGGATCGGCATGCAGCATGCTCTCGCGCTCGTGTCCGTCGTAGTAGCTGCGCTGAAATTCGTCGGCATTCCAGTCCGAGTACCACAGCCAAACCTCGCTTGTGTACGTCAGCACCGCCGAAAACGACCATCCCGCCTCGAGCTGCCTGATGTTGCTCTTGGCTGTCAGTCCATCGTGCTGTGCGGCGGGGGATGGAGTGGTGATGCTCTCCGGGAGGTTTTGGAGCTTCCATATGCTGCCCCAGGCACGCCATTCTAGCAGTTCGTGGTCGGTGGAGAGTGCGACTGCATGGCATCTGCCTCCCGAAAGCGACTGGACGTCTGGCAGGCCATGCATGAGTTGAGGCGTATCCACTTTGCTTCCGGGATCGCGCAGCGAAGATCTCGGGCCCGCAAACGTCTCGCCATGCATGGTGCCCCAATGCCACACCTTGCCCGTCGAGGTGCGAGCGTGGAACGCCCATCCTCCCGCAACAATCTCCACCACCGCACCTGCATCGTCCGCCAGTGTCCGCTGCGTGCTCGCCGACCCAATCGCTGTGAGTCGGACTGGGTATGGGATGCCGCCATGGATGCTGTTTGCGTCTAGTACGATTTTGCTATCGAGCTGGTCGAGGTCGAGGCCCAGACGCCCCTGGCTCAGCTGGCCCCAGACGTAGACGTGCGGGTTGCTGAGTCCGCGGTAGAGGTTAAACCATCCGCCCATGCGTGCCGTTGCATGCTGCGGGAACGTAAAGTCGGCGAGCACCTTTCGTTTCCAGAGTACTTCATCCTCGACGAGCGCTTTGGCGTGCTTGGACACGGAGCGCAGTGCCGCCAGATCCGCATTCGACAGCAGAGGCAGCAGGTTATCCACCACCACAGGCAGCGGCAGCTCCAACGGATTCATCGCGGCGCGGAACCAGCAGGACGGATCGTGGCGCCGAGGGCGCGTTCAGGGCTAGATGTGGGGGGTCCTATGATTCTGAAAGTCGTGCCAAGGGCTGCGAGTGACAGGCTGAGCCGTGGTAGTGATCTTGCGTCTCGTAGGCGGTCTGATACTGGCTTCAGTTGAGCCGGTATGGGAAGCTGGTCGAAGCGCTTTGAGCGGGCCTCGAGCGGGCTGAGTTTCAGTGCTAGTCTTGCTTCTTGTAGAAGTCCTAGTGGTGGCGGTGGTGGTCAAGCGGACTGAGCAGCTTTTGGTGAGGGGGGCTGAGCAGGTGGTGGTGAGCGCATTACTTGGAGGTGGAGGCGAGCCAACTGTTAATGGCTGAGCTTTTGCACTGCGCTTTCGCCTGCTTCTGCTGCTGTGGGCTGCTGCGGGCTGCTGCGCACTGTGCATTTTGACGTGGCTGAGTTTGCAGGGTCCCAAACCCCACGCTCTCAGGGTCCAAATCTGTCACTCGCGCCTCCTGCGCCTGTTTGGCATGCTCACCCTCCGGGCACTTGTGGGCTACGCCAAAGCCAGGCGGTACCATCCGTCACATTATGTTCACTTTCTTGCCCTAGCCGTTGCAGATCAAGACCGTGCATACGACCGACTTGGCATGCTTCGAGGCAGCGCATGTTCTCCGCGTCATCAAGCAGAAGGCTTTGGTGTGGCCGCTTTCTTTCCCATCGCCGTGTGATCCCCTTAGCGACACTTCAAAAATGTACACGGGTTCTTGCCAATCGATGGCCTCCATCAAGTCTACCGAGCGCACGGTGAGGCATAGAGAGAGGCTTGTGGCCGTAGCAATTGAAGAGGGCAGAGAGCGCCGAGGCTGCATGTGCGTGTCATTCCCACTGCGTCTTTGAGAGAATATCCAGCTGGACAATGGCAAGGCATGGAAAGGGCCCCACCGGGTCAAACGCTGAAGAGGTGCTTCCTTCACATAGGCAGCGCACTGTGAACCACCGTATGAACGCTCGCTCGCGACGCATGGAGACGGATCAAAGAAATTGGCTCACCAGCAGCCAAAGTGGCAGACGGGGGGCCAACTCTGGCGCCGGCTTGTCGCACCATCAAACACCACATCGACGCTCGGTAGTGAGAGTATACTGTATCCACGTACGGTAGTGAGGAAATCTCGCATGCACGCACCATCGTGAGCAGCTCCCAAACCGTGCAGCTCGCACATGCACAATCTCCAAGCTCATAGTCCTTGTGCAGATCACATCAGGAGCTCTCCAAGGCTGCCCGTATCTGTGCCAACATGTTACATCACCAAGACCTCGCGCAGAACCCCCTTCCAGGTCAGTCACACACACTCGTAAGGCACGAGAATCATGCTTGCGCCCATGCATCGAGAGCGATACTTTGTCGCACCCTCAACCACCACTCCACACACGCCAGCAAAACACCGCACACACACACACACACCCTCACCAGACACGCGCAGAGATGCCTGTGAAAAAACCCACCGACAACCACAGAGACAGCTCCACCTGGCCACAGCCAAGTCTGCACGCATACACACTGCCAACCACCGCATACTCCGGCCTGAAAAGAAAAAGAGAGATGCTTGTAGAATTAAACGTAGCATGCCGTAGCAATACATGAGAGCGAGAGAGAGAGGGGGCGACTAGTACGCATTGGGCGCGCGCACAACGCGCACGTCCAGCCACATCTCGCCGATGGTCTTGTTGATCTTGGACACCGTCTTGCGGTCGCGGCCCCACTCGGACATGTAGATGCTGCTCTGCATCTGCGACGCCTCCGAGATCGAGTGGCCGCTGCCCCAGCCCGTGCGCACCGACGCCGCGCTCGACATCTGCGAGCCGTACACCGACGGCGTCGCTCGGCCCGCCGCGTGCTGCGACGCATGCGCCGGGAACGCACTCGGGTACGGCGCCGGCACAATGGGCGCACGCGCCGCCGCCGCTGCCGCCGCTGCCTCCATCTGCGGCGACAGCAGCTCCTGCGCCTCGGGCGTGTCGGCCGACACGGCGCTTTCGTCGTGCGTCGAGATGGCCATGCCCACATTCTGCATGTTGCTGCTGCTGCCGCCCGTGCCGGCACCCAGCGGCGACGCGTTGCGGCTGCCCGTCGGCCGCGTCCAGGCGCGTGCCGACGGTCCGTGACCGTCCATGCCGGGCGATCGCGACCCAAAGAGCGACGGCGACATCATGTTCGGCGGCGTCGTCGGAGGGCTGCTGCCGTCGCCCGACAGCGACGTGAACTGCGTCTGCGTGTGGATCGACGCCGTCGTGCTCGCGCCGTCCGAAAAGCCGCGGCTGCGGCCGCTGCCCAGCCCGAGGTTGCGCAGCGCCTTCTCCACGCCCTCGCCGCTGCTGTACCGGTTCGCCGGCAGCAGATCCACCTTGAGCGCATACTTGACCTCGAGGCCGTGGCAGCGGAAGTTGGGTGGCGTGGTGCCCGCCACCTTGAGCGAGCCTACCAGAACGCGCACGCCGGCCGCCTTGGCAGCCGCTGCCGCTGCATTGATCTGCGCCATCTCGTCGGGCGATCGGCTCGAGCCCGGTCGCGATCCAGGCTGGCTGCCGGACGAGTCGGAGCTGAGCAGCAGCGCATGCACGTCCACCTCCTCCAGGTCGGCCACCGAGAGCAGCTTCCTGCGCTGTTCCGGTCCGTCGTTGACATTGTCGTTGCTGCTAAACGTGGTCTGGATGAGCGAGATGCACACCAGACTCACCAGGTCCGGAATCGCACCCGCAGCCACAAACGTTCGGTCGGTCATGGCGTCGGTGAGGCCCGTATCCGAACTGCCAGAGCTGGGCGCCGTGTTGGGTCGTCGTCCGCCAAAGATGCTCGAGCCTCCCTTGCGCGACGAGGAGCCGGGCAGCCGCGACAACGTCATGGATGGCTTCATCAGCTTGGACACGAGGCTGCGCGTGGTTCGGATCGACTCGGTGTCGGCGTCGCGCATGGTCTGCTGCGACGACATGGAGGGTGCGGCGGTGGATTCGCCCGACGACAGCACGGGCGAGGCGACCATCTCGATCGGATCGTCCATCTGCGTCACGGCGGGCGAGCCGGGTGCGGTGGAGGTTTCGCTGGGCGCGCGCGTGCGGATCTGCGAGAGCAGCGTCGGCTCGGTCGGACGCAGGACGAGCATAATGGGAAGCACCGAGGGCGCCTGCAGCACGGGCGGATTGGGTATGTGCAGCTCCATATCGACGGTCTTCTTGGACGACTTGAGCAGCGAACCGGACCACTTGGCCTGCGACTTGTGGATGGACCACTGATCGCCCAGCGTCGTGTCGGGCTCCACAAACACGTCTGGGCTGATGGTCGAGGGGAGCGTGGACGGATGCGGCTGCATCGGCGTGGGCTCGCCGAGGAAGATAAAGGGCAGCGTGAGCGTGTCGCCTTCGGCGGGCTGGGCCGACTTGCTGGGCGACTTGCGCGACTTGTCGGCGTTGTTGGAGCGGATGAGCGTCCAGCTGACCTGGTAGTAGCAGCCGATGCGGTAGACCTTTTGGAAGCCCTTTTCGATGAGCTCCTTGGCCATGGGGCCCTTTGCCTTGCCCTTGGTGGCGAGGCGGATCTCGCGCTTCTCCTGGGCGGCAAACTTGGAGCTGATCTCGAAGCTGGGCGGTAGCGCGACGGGCACGGCCTGCATCTCGCCGTCGATGAAGCGGGTGGCCTTGCCGAGCGGCAGCTGGACGTCAAAGGGGATGGGCAGCACCAGGTCGTCCTTGGAGATCTGTGGCGGCTCCATCAAGTCTTCGTTTTTGGGCGCGTAGGCGGCACGCGGCCGGACGAGGTCGAAGTTGGCCACGAGGCGGTCCTTGATCTCAAAGACCTTTTTCTCGCCGCCGGTGGACCAGGGGGCGAGTGCGGTGCCCTGCCAGACGGCGGCTGGCGAGCCCGAGGTGGTGTGCGCCGAGATGGTCATCATGACGTCGCAGCCTTCGGTGGCGGGCATGCGCACCACGCCGCGGACCGAGGTGCCGCGGCCCGAGTAGACGGGGTATCCGCGATGGTCGAACGAGGTGGAAAAGACCTCTACGCTAAAGTTGGGGCGATGGACGCCGAGCATGCGTGCCATGCGGTTGGTATCGTCGAGGGCCGGACCGGATGTGGTGGGCGAGCTTGGTTCGCGCAGGTCGGCGGTCAAGCCAAAGACGCGGCTTTGGAGGAGGTCTGCGGGGCGTGCTGGCATGGGCGCCGGATGGGAGGGCATGCGTTGGCGAAGGGAGCGTGCTGCATGTGCTTGGTGTTGGGCGTCGGAAGCGGAGGGGCCCAAGGCGGTGCGAGAGGTGCCGACGGTGGAAGCGGTGCCGAGGCGTTTGCTGTAGGCCGAGGCGAACCTGTTGTACTCCTTGGGATTGTCGGCGATGGAGTGCGAGGACGACATTGTGGATTCGGGCGGCTTGTACCGAGGTGGGAGTGGCGCGTAGGCGGATGGAGATGGAGAGGGTGAGGAGAGGGCGGAGAAGGATCTGGGATCGAGAGCGGCTCCAATCTTGGCTCTTGCGCGGTGCGAGAGCAAGGATTCGGTGGGGTAGGGAGCCGGTGTAGGCGCCGAGGCCATCTTCTATGCGCGATGGGGAAAGTGTGAATGGGTTGAGCGCCCGACGCCACTATTGCAGCGAGTCTGAGGAGCAGCAGCAGCAGCAGCAGCAGCAGCAGCAGCAGGCGAAGTCCGAGGAAGGAGGAAGGGCAGGGAGTGCGGTCCGAGCTCTTGTATTGTGTAAGGGAAAAGGGCGAGGGACGGGAGGCTCGGCTGGTGGTATCAAGGGCAGGCTGAGCGTGAGAGGTTGGCAGTGAAACGGGGGCTAAGTCCGGAATCCAGGTCGAGAAGCCAGAAGCCAGTCGCGAGTGGCGAGAGAGTTGTGCGCGAGGAGAGGACGTGTGGCAGGCAGGGGTGCAAACCTAGATTGGGAATCCAAAAAGGGTTGCTCGCAAGTGGTGGCTGATGCGGAGAGGATTCGGATTGGGTGGGCCGAAGAAAGCTTGAGCTTGTGGTGGTGAGAAGCGGGATGATGTGGCCGCTGAGGATCGGACGGGGGTGGATCGACGGCGGTGGGCAGAGCAATCGAGCGAGCGCGCGCGCGCAGCGAGTGTATGCGGGTGCACTGCGAGCGGGCGGGCGAGCGAGGAGATGAAGCCGAACGAGATGAACTGGGCGTGGCGCGATGGGACACGGGCGTCGTCTCTGGATGCGGCGGCACACGTTGGTGGGACGGTGGCCGAGTTAAACTCTGAGCGCGCAGAGAGCAGCTGCACGGCGAGTGGGACCGCACGAACTTGGCGCCGCCGAATGAGAGAAGCCGAGCGTGTGCGAGCCAAGCTTTTGAGCGACGTCGATAGCCAAATCGAAAGGATGGGAAAAACCGCTGATTCTAGGAGGATGCGAGGCGAGCAAAGGGATCCGGGTGTGTCCTTTTTGGGTTTATCCAGTCTGCGTGCTGGCGATGACAGGAACGGATGGTTAAGCTATGTGCGAAGGCGGATCGACGAGGGCGGGAGGTGTGGTGCTGCGCGGATGAGGATGGCGAGGCGGCGGTAGGGACTGAGATGATGGAGGCGCTCGGGCAGCTACCGACCCTGCGACGGAGCCGGTCAGTGAAGAGAGCGCGACTGCCACGGCACAGCGACAAGGAGCGACGAGGAGCAACAAGGAGGAGGAGGAGGAGGAGGAGGAGGAGGGGGAGGGGGAGAGGGAGAGGGAGATAGCGGGCAGGAAGGGGAAGGCGAGCGCGACCTTTCTCCGATGGCTCTCTGCCAAATGGCTTTGGACTTCGCACTTTGGGCTTTGGGCTTGGCTTTGGCTCAGCTGTCTTGGCTCAGAATCCGAAGGGAAGGGGCGGCCAAGGCGACAAGGGAAGGGGGCGCATGAACGCGGCCTTTCCGAGCGGCCGGACAGCAGCAGCACCACAGAAAAAAAAAGGCAGGGCGGACGCACGCGTGGCTCAGCCGCCAAAGCATCCGACAGCGGCAGAGGCAGAGGCGGGAGCGGAGGCGGAGGCGGAGGCAAAGACAGAGAGGCACGGGAGACGCCCACGGGCCAAGGCGAGGCGAGCAGAGGCGAGCAGAGCAGAGCAGAGCCGAGCAGAGTCAGGCAGAGTCAAGCCGCCCGCCCGCGTGTGCATATCTGGCTGCACACATGCATCTCACTCGAGCTGCAATCACGAGGCAAACGTCCAAAAGTAGCGGCCGGAAAACACGCCAGATTTGTGCGGGCAGCAGCCGAGGCCAGAGAGGAAAAGGGAAAAGGGGGGGCGCGAGGAAGAGCAGGAAAAGGGGCGGCATAAACGGTGCAGGAACCGGGCAGGGTCGAAGCTGAGACCACCGCAGCAGCCCACACCTACACACACCGACAGGCACGGGAGCGGAGCAGCGGAGCAGCGGAGGACGACCCGAGCGATTGGTTTGAACCCTGCCCGGCACGTCGCCCCTCCGCCTCTCCGACTCTCCGCGTAGGGGCTGCCCTCGGCACGCGCTTGAGGGTGAATCAGCAGTGTCCTTTCACCCCTTCCCTTCTTCCCTTCCCTTCCCTTCCCTTTCCCTCGCCAGCCAGCTTTTTTCTTGAGAAAGATTCGGCACAGCGCAAAGATGTCGGTGCAGCCGACCCGTTGAAATGCACACGTTCTGTAAGAGCTTCGCTTCGCACGCACGGCTGGGCGCGGCCGACGAGCCGAAGCAGCCGACTGGCCATGCCGCCAGTGCCAGCTTTGCCTGGGCCCAGCGCGCGTTGATCTCCCAAAGTGCGAGCGAAAACCATCTTCGAAGCTCAACGGCATCTGCAACTCGCAACATCTCCAACTGCAAATGTGATCTCGGATTGATTCGAGGTGGCGTTGGAGAATGAAGGTGGGGGTTCGTATCCGAACGTGCCAGCTGGGCATGAAAAAAAACTCGAGTGAGTTGGGAGGGTTGGCCTCCTTACCCTGGCGCATGTCGGTTTGGGATCCGAATTTGCTTTTTTGCGTCGCAGCGAATCGTTATGCGCGAACTGCACTTGCGGAATTTTCAGGAACACGCCCGACACGCAACTGCTCTCGAGCTCCGACTCGACCCACGCGAACCTCATCTGCAACCTCTTCGGGCCCCAGAGAATTTCGAGCAACACGCGGCACGCGCTCGGTTGACCGTACGCACCACTCCGACCCTGCAACACCGGCCATCCCCGTCGCAATGCAACGCTCTCCAGCACTGCCCTCGTCGTTGTCGTTGAGGCGGCACGTTGATCGACACTAGCTGTCACATGTGCCCATGCCGATCCGTCCCGTTGCATCGTCGTGTCAGTCGCCCGATGGCTACTGAAGGAAGGTCGGTGTTTGCGCCGCGCTCGGTTTTGGTCGGCCCGAAAGCTGCATTGCCCCGTCCGTGCACCACAATTTCCGCCTGTGCACAGGCGAGCTCAGAAAGCGCAGCAGCACGCGACTCGAATCGGCAACGCCTCTTCCAGCAAAGGCGGCGCGGAGGCTTGGCATCTTCGCTAGTGCACCTCACGATGCATCTGACAATTCCACTCCGCCTGTCCGCGTGGGCGCCAAGACCGTGCGCACACCCAGCCATGCCAAGCCCAGTCTACTCTCCCTCGTGCAGCCCCTCTCTCGCTTGCCAAGTCTGGGGTGCGTGACGTCTTGGCATTCCCAATCCGTATCAGGCCCCATTGAGCGGGGACGGTGAGAATGTTAGTTTGCGACAAGAGGGGTGGAAAGCGCGGCTCTGGAGGGTGGCGTCTTTTTATGCGCTGCACGCGTGCAGACAAGGCCAACACCAAACGGTACACCCGTGTCGGATCTCGAACAGCAATCCCTGGTGCGTGTGGGATGTTGACGATCGCACATCATCCTTCCGGTCGGCTGGTGTGTCGTTCCGTCTCAACGAGGCAGACGGTGCAAGGGCAAAGCAAGAGACGCACGGACCGAGATTCTCGGTTGGGTATAGACCGTGTTAGCGCTGTCGTCTTGGCTTCGCTGCACAGCGAGAGGCGAGAAGATCAAGTCGACGACCAAGCGTGTGCATCGGCCCAACTCACAACATCGAATGATGCTACCTCATTTGCGTGTTCCCGTGCGTGCATGCATGAGTCGCCAGGCGTTGCCAAAATAACCTCACCGACTCTGCCCTCCTCATCCTGTCGTGCTCTCCCTGCTAGCCCTGGTCTCTTGTCATCGTCGCACATCGTCCACAAGCAGCTACAGCAATCGCAACCATCTCGGAGCAGCTGCATTGCATAATGGGTGTATTGTAACTTTGTTGCGGTGTGCGGGGTGGCTACGACAGCTCGACGATCAATACACGCGCATGCCCCTCGTATCGTAGGGCAGGAACGCGAGCGCAATGGGGCAGAGCAACGTGATGCTCCCCGCGAGATACAGCACGTGTCGCGCCTGCTCCTCGGTCTTATCCCTGTACAGCGGATCGGCCGCCAGCGGCGCCACGATACTTGCGATCCTACCGAGCGTGCTTGCCAACCCGCTGGCAGTGCCCCGCACCTGAGACGGGTAGATCTCGGGTACAAACGCATACAGGATGGAGTTGAAAAAGCTCTGGAAGAAGTACTCCATGGCGTTAAGTCCTATACTACCCGCCGTGCCGCTTACCCGACTAAAGAGGAAGAACGATACCGCCATGAGGGCGGACGATACGACCATGGCCCATTGACGACCGAAGCGGGGCACCTCGATCATGGCCGCGCCGAACGCGACGGCGAAAATGCCCGGAAAGTAAATCAGAATGTAATTCCGATAGATCGTTTCGATCGACGTATCCTCCTGGACGCCCTTTGCCCTGAGGATCTGGGGCAGATAAAAGCCGGCCAAGGTGAAGCCCCAAAAGTCGGCGATAAAGGTGATCCAAATGATCGTTGTCACCCTAGCCATGGTCCTGTTCCTAAACAGCGTCTTTGCATTCAAAAACAGCGCGAGCATTTCCCTCGCCGACTTCTTGGCCGCTGCCATCCTTGACCTCTTGACCCCACCGGCATGCAATCCCTCGTCCTCCTCCTCGTAGTCGCGTCCCTCGTGGGCAGCAATCCGCCTCGCGGCCTCGCGAAAGTCGTCCTGGCTAAAGAGCGGCTCGAGCTTGCTCTTGTTGGTCTCGAGGATCTGTCGAATCACCTTGAGAGCCTTGGCGTCCTTGCCGCGCGCAAGCAGGTACTGCGGCGACTCGCGGAACTTGAACACAAAGAAGCGCGCCACAAAGATGAGCCACGTAATGCATCCGAGTGTGTAGAGCGTATAGCGCCAGCCCATATTGTTGCTCCTCGTGCACGTGGCTGCCGAATCGCACGCGTACTTGGGGATCAAGCCGTACGAGATGCCCGAACACACCAGCACACCCAGCGGCTGAAAGATCGACAGCGCCGCCACAAGGAATCGCCTATTGGTCGGCAGGAACTCGAGCGTGATCGTGGCGTCAATGGGGATATTACCCCCAATGCCAAACCCGATAAACGCCGCCAACACACACAGCGTATCAAAGCTGCGTGCGCCACCACTGGCAATCCCAAACACCGACGCGATAAAGGTGGTGAGGTAGAAGCTCCATCGTCGTCCCACGACGTCGACTGCAAACCCAAAGAAAAACGCACCCACTGTGAGGCCGGTTGAAAAGGCAGTCTGCAGCGGACCGGTGGCACCGTGGATTTGGTCGTCGAATTCGTACGCCACCTGGGTGACGATGAGGCCAAGCGCTTGCGCCCACAGAAGGTCGATAAAGTAGCCGCAGCCACACAGGAACCAGATGCAGATCTGGTATCGACCCATGCCCATGCGATCCAGCTCGGCCGAGATCATCATCGACTTGTTCTCCTGCAGCGTCTTGGTGGGATCAAACAGATCGTCGAGCGTCACATTGCCCGGTCCACGTGCGCCCTCTCCCGCGTTGCTCGAATCGCCGCGCGGTGAAGAGCCCGCCGCTGAATCGTTGGACGCTTCGAGCGCGCCTGCCGACTTGGCGGCAGTTTCGTCATCCCGGTACTGGTCGTTGAGCTTTTGTGGATGCGAGCGCTTCATCTTGATCGAGTCGGACCGACGGTTTCCCGGACGTGCGCTGGTTCGATTCCGACGAGAAGAAGACGTCGAAGAAGGCCGATGCTGCAAAAACGGTCTTCGAGCTGCGTCCTCGGCGTCGTCGTCTTCGTCGTCGTCGTCGTGGAAAAAGTCGTCGGTGGACGTGCTGTCGTGCTCCGAGTCTCGATTCGATGGCGAGCGGGAGGGCTGTGCGCGTGCCTTGCCGTTGGTACGCGCGCGCGATACAGAGGTGCGTGGCGTCGAGCTGTGTGACTGGTACGAGGTGGGTCCGGGCAAGGTGCGCAGCGGCGCTGATTGCGAAGCGGATGCAGTCGAGCTTGACGGGATCGCTGACGGAGGCGATGGTGGAGAGGAAGGCATCGCTGTCTCCTCACTCACGCCGTAGATATGGTGGGCGCGAGAAGGGGAGCCCGACGAGGAACCTAGCCTAGGCACGGCAGCGAGCGCATACACTGGGCAGTGCGGTGTTCGGAGAGACGTGGTGCGAGCGAGCCGAGCAAAAACACCCACGAGCCAACGAGCAGCAGGGACAGGAGGACGTTTCGAAGTCTCGGCTAAGGGAGCAAGGGAGGTGGCATCAGGCACTGAAGGGAGGGGAGAAGGGGAGAGAGAGGGAAAGCAGAAGTGAAACAGCATTCGACGATGCGAGAAGCGAGCACCGGCGTTCGGATGGGCTGGCGGCGAAGCGCGCGCGCGTCCAACGGGCAACGGAGGCGGAGACGGAAGCCACCTCCTGACGTCGGTCCTGTCATGCGATGGCGCGCGGAATCTGGCTACGGTACCACTTCATACACACGCGCACTTCAAGCGCCGCCCGATGGTGGAATGCATCGCTAAGCGAGGCAGCCAACCGCCCTCCAACAAAGGTGCTCGGTCAGCAACGCATCCACTGCTACGAAGTCGAGCATCCAGCCCCACCAAGCAAGGCGCAGCACCCGGCCGAACTTGATTCACAGGCACACATCCGTGCGCTCGAACCATTTGTCTTTGGCAGATCAACACAGCGCAGAGCTGCGCAGAGGAGGCAGAAGCAGCTCGATGCACATCGACGCCAACGACAGCTGCAGGGTCTGTTGGCTCTCCACGCGCGGCTGTCCATCGGCACGGCGGATGCTTGGCTAAAGGTGCAGCATCGGATTTTTACATAATCATGACTTTTCCGCCGCACCTTTCTTCTTCGCTTTCACTCCACATTTTGTCAATTCCGACCGGCGCTGGACCCTCTTCACTTCAGCATTCCATCCTCTCTGATCGTCTAGCCAGGCATCAACTGGCCGCTGCTGCTTCGCCATGCAGCATACCCTGCTCGTCGTCGGAGGCGCAGGCTTCCTGGGCAGCGCCATCTCCAAGGCGGCGCTCGCAAAGGGCTGGCGGGTGCTCTCCATCTCGCCTTCGGGTACGCCCTACCATACTCCGGCTGGCCATCGCCCGGCGTGGTCGTCGAGCCCCAACATCGAATGGCATGCAGCCGATGCTCTCGATCCGTCGTCGTATGCGCATCTCGCTGACAGGGCCACGGCGGCCGTGCACACCGTCGGCATCCTGCTCGAGTCCGACTACAAGTCCAAGGCGTCGAGCGCGTCGCCGGTGCGCAATGCCATCGCTGGCGTCGTCAAGGGCTGGGGGATTCGTCTGCCCAATCTGGGCGCAGATTCGAATCCGCTCGATGACTCGAGGACGCGTGCAGGCCCGTCGGCGAGACAGGGCAGGTTTAGCTACGAGCACATGAACCGTGATAGCGCCATTGCGGTCGCACATACCTTTCTCTCGTCGCTCAGGAGCCGTGCGCTAGCGCCCAGGCAGGGAGGAGCAGCGTCAACGCCAGCTCCGTTCGTCTACATTTCGGCCGAAGACCTGTTCAGGCCGGTCGTGGATGCGAGGTACATCCGCACCAAACGTCAGGCGGAGGCGGCCATCGCACGGCTGGCGTCGCATCTCCAAGCACCCCAGCGCGAGCACACTCGCGACCAGTCGGAAGCCATCCTGGACGCAGACGGCGCAGGACTCGAACAGGAGCTCCGAGACGACCCCGTCAACGATTCCGCTTCGCCATCCCATGGACAGGCACGCTCCGACGCCGCGCAGGGTCTGGTGCGACCGGTGTTTTTGAGGCCGGGACTTTTGTACCACCCTCACACGCGGCCGGGCTCTACGCTCCCGGCAGCGATCCTCGAGGCGTCGGCCGCACTGCATCGCAAGCCGCCGCTCCCTCTACCGCTGCCGACGCCTGCGCAGCTTATCGCGCGTCTAGGTGGTGGTGGTGGTGGTGGTGCGTCCGAGTCCGTGGCGCGTCTGCTCACCACGCCTCCACTGCACATCGACACCGTGGCCAAGGCGGTGTGTGCGGCGATTGAGGATCCCGAGGCGTTTGGCGTGGTGGATGTGTACGGCATCAGGAAGCTCGCAGGCTGGAGGGACGAGGCGTCGCTCAACGCCAGCGTGTATGCGCAAACGGTTGCGGGCGGTTCGGCGCAAGCGCCTGGTGCAGGCATGTCGAGACCGTGGCCTTCGGCTGGTCAGCATGCGCCTTTGCAGCCGGCTTCACGACCCGCCTCGCCTCACACGCACCACACGCCAGCCGTATCGTCGAGCGGCCAACAGAGGAGTCTCTGGACCCCAAGCCGTGCTCCCACCCCTCGGTCTCTTTCCGGTGGTGCAATCCAGAGGCGAACGTTCTTCGGGCTGCCTGATCTGGGCAAGCTTGCATCGAGCGCCATCTCGTCCGCCACCGGTTCGAGCGATGGTGAGAGTCGGTCGTATCGGGACGCGCACGGACGCACGGTGTACGAAACGTCGAAGGTGCTCTCGCACCCAGCAGACACGCTGTTCTCGGTCGTCGCCGACGTGGATGCGTACAAGCAGTTCGTACCCTACTGCCAAGATTCTCGCGTCCTCGGTTCCGCCGACCCCCAGCAACCAACTGCACCGGCTGTACTCGCCGATCTGACGGTCGGGTTCGGCAGGTTCTCCGAGACGTACACGTCGAAAGTCACCATGACCAGCGGCGCTAACGACAAGCGCAGTGTGGTTGCAGAGGCGGTCCAGCCCAATCCGGTGTTTTCGTTTCTCGAGACAAGGTGGACCTTCCACCCCCTGCCCAGTGCAGAGGGACGCGCGCAGACCATGGTCGAGTTCAGCCTGGTCTATGCCTTTCGCAACCCAGTGTACGGCGCTGTGGCCGGCAACGTGTTTGAGCAGATGAGCGCACAGATGATCGACGCCTTCGAACGCAGGGCTGACCAGCTGCATCCCCAACACCGCCGTTGACAATGTTATTGCTATCAGTCACCGCAGAACAGATTCGTCTAATTCGATCATGATCAACCAGAGTCTGGCAGCGATGTGAAGCGTCTCGTGAGATTGACCAGACGAAGGATGATGGGCCAAAAAAAAAAGCCTCGATGAATGCCAAAAATAAAGGAGAGTGGAGACTGCATGAGTCGAACACGCGACCTTTCGCAATTTAGACAAGTGCTAAGCGAACGCTCTACCAACTGAGCTAAACCCCCGTCGATACAAATGGCGTTAGCATTGTAAATATATAGCCTCAATCATCACCCAGGAACGTCCTCCCACTTGACAGATTGGCCCGTCCGGACTTGGCGAGTTGCCGTGAAGCCGGTGGGAGCACAGATACGCAGTCGCGGCATTTGGTTGGCGAAGCCTCGCCGCCGCGGCTATCTTTCACGCCGTTGGCTGCGGCGTTGTACGGAGAGGAGTCGAACGGAGCTTCGAATGCTGGTTGCTGCGCATCAACAACAAGTTTTACCGGATAGTATCGTTGCATGGAGAAGAGGAGGTGTGATTGGACATCGATAAAAGTTGACAAGGGTGCCTGCAGCAAACAGGGTCGGATGCGAGTCAGATGCCGGGCTTGTCAGAGTCACTTTTTTTTTTGTGTCCGCGGTATCCGCCGTGATGGACATGCGTCGGACAGGGCGCAAATACGCAGGTGTAGCCGCCATGGCGTGCGTTTGCGGTTGCCGTTGCCGAAGCGCCGGTCCAACCCAACGCTCAACGCCAATTCAGCCGACTTTTTCACCGCGCTCCGTCGTGCATGTCCGGGCTACAGTATCCTCCGTCGGGTGCTACGCCGGTTTGCTTTACGAACACCATCGCCAGCCGTCGTTTGCAGCGCGGCCTTTTCCCTCCGATATATAAACCCTCTGTACGGCATCTAGACGCTGGGATCGACGCATGGATACAAGTCGCACCCAAGGACCATGTCAACACAAGCCGGCTCGTCGACGGATCAATACGCACATGCACCACGGTCATCGCAGCCGCTTTCGCTAGACCACGCAGACCACGCATCCGAGGGTGCGAGTACTCCGTTCACAATGACCGCCGAAGCATCCTCGTCCCGGTCGCGCACGGATTCGGCTTCGTCCCACCACGACTCACCCATTTCGCTCTCCACATACGTCGACCACACCGCGCAACCACGCAGGCCCGACCCCAACACCGACGCTTCACTCCACCCTGCTACCGCACCGGCGGATGGCGTCGAGCCGGAAAAGGATCTTGAAAAGGTTCCACAGGCGGATCCGGCTGCACTTCGTGCCGAGGCAGACGCGGATGTGATCTGGGTCGACTTTCCACCGGACGATCCGGAGAATCCGTTCAACTTTTCGACGACGCGCAAGTGGTGCATCACCATCCTCGGCGTGCTGTTTACCGCCGAAGTTGCCGCCACCGCTTCGGCGTACGTGCCGGGTATCCCGTCGATGGAACGCGATCTGGGCATCACCAACCACGAGCTGAGCTTGCTCGGTATCGCCGTGTACCCGCTCGGCTTTGCGCTGCCGCCGCTCGTGCTCGCGCCGCTGTCCGAGGTGATTGGCCGAAACCCAATGTACATCGTGTGCCATCTGTGCTACACTGTCCTGTTCGTAGGACTTGGATTCGCCAAGAATCTGCCCACCGTCATCATCCTGCGCTTTCTGCAGGGCGGATTCGGCAGCACGGGCAGCACCATGGTCGGTGGCAGTATTGCGGATATCTGGAACAGCAAGCAGCGCGGACAGCCCATGGCACTGTTCGCCACGGGCGCCATCTTTGGTACGGGCATAGGGCCGGTTTGGGCAGGATGGGTGGAGCAAAACACACGCCTGCGGTGGCGATGGATCCAGTACATCCAGGCGATCTACACTGGCTTCATCCTCATCCTACTGCTGCTCTTCCTGCGCGAAACAAGAGGCAGCATTATCTTGACTCGACGAGCCGCCAAGCTGCGCAAGACTACGGGCGATGGACGATACAAAGCCCGTGCCGAGTTGGAGAGGGCATCGTTGAGCGTGCTCATCAAGAACTCGCTGACTCGACCGCTGATCTTTCTGGTCAAGGAGCCGATCGTGACGTTTTTCTCGCTCTGGATCGCGTTTACTTGGGGATTCATGTACATGCTCCTCAGCTCCATCGGCCTCGTCACTGCACAGCACGGCTTTACCCCCGGAGAGACCGGACTGGTTTTCATCTCGATCGCAGGCGCCGGCGTGGTGGGAAACCTCATGAACCCCATTCAGGAGTATCTGTACCGCAAGAACTTTGCCACTCGAGGTCCAGAGGCACGGTTGTACCTCGCCTGCGCTGGCGCAGTGTTCTTTCCCCTCGGCTGCTTCATCTATGCCTGGACGAGCTTCCCGCACACTTCGATCGCCGGGCCAGTTGTTGGAGTCGCAACACTCATGGTGGCGATTTACCACATCTACCTGGCTGTGTTCAACTACCTCGCCGATGCCTACCTCACCTACGCCAGCTCGGCACTCGCAGCCCAGAGCTTCGCACGCAACCTCTTCGGATTCATTTTTCCATTATTTGTAGAACGGCTCTACCGCGGCCTCGGCTATCAGTGGGCCAGCACGCTCTCGGCCTTCCTGGGCGCCATTCTGGGCGTGGTACCGTTCGTGCTCTTCTTCCATGGCAAAAAGATCCGCGCCAAAAGCAAGATCAGCCAAGCGCTCCAGAGGCAATTTGAAGAACAGGATCGTCAAGCCAAGGCATAGCACCATCCACCCTCAAGACATGCTCGCTCCATCTTTTGTACCTCTTAACCAGTCGTCATGCTTCCCTACGATCGTGTGTGGAAGTGTGAAAGTGTGGAATTGCAATGACTGTCAAACAGAGCCGCGGGGAGGCAAATGAAACAATGTAGGCTCAAGTGGGCGGAAATCAACTCGACTTGGCAGGGCCACGTTTGGGACCGGAGCCTGAGGCTTTGGGTCCCGAGGGTTTGAAGCGCTTTGCATCGCGACCGCCGGCCTTGTTGGCGGGGCGGGAGGCAGCGGTGGGCTGGCGCAGCTTGACCTTGTCCTTGGTCTTGGCCTTTTCGCCCTCTGCAACAAGCGACCTGTCTCGGCGTGCGGGGTGTGCGCCGTCTGCGAGCTTCTTGTTCTTCTTGGCCATGCGGCGATTGACACGGTCGGCATCGTCCTTCTTCATCTGCTTGCGCTGGTCCTTGGAGAGCGTGGCGTACAGCTCGGCCTTCTTGGCGATGTCGGCCTTGTCGGCCGTGCGCGCTGCACTCGGGCTGCCGGGTACGATCTTGGTCGCACCGGGACGCTGACGCTTTGCCGCGAGCGCGTGGGGCGAAGTGCCGTTGGGCGTAGGTGCGCCACTCGAACGCTCGTAGCGCGGCGACTTGCGCTGCGGCGTCGTGGGCTCCGCATCCCCGCCCGCGTTCGCATTGCGCCGAGCTGGAGTGGTGGATTTCGTCTGCGACTTGCACAGAGCGACGCGGATGGGTCGACCGTGCAGCTTGAAGCGACGCTTGAACTCTTTGCCGCCCTGTGCGATGGCAGCCGAGGCGCCAAGACTGCCCTTGGGCCCCTTGACCGACTCGAGGAAGGCCTGCTCGGCATTGAATGCGGCCATCACTTCGTCGACGCACTGCTGCGAGGTGAAGCGCACATAGCCAAAGCCCTTGCCCATCTGCGTGGCCGCGTCGCGGATGAGACGCACGGAGCGCACCCATTCGGCACTGCGCACCACCGAGTCGGTCACCTTGCGCTTCTCGGGCGGCACGATCGGGAACTCGCGCGACAGAGCATCGAGCAGCTCCTTGGGCGCCGGTTCGCCATCCAGGCCCGCCACGGGCAGCGTGACGGCCTCGCCCGCCTCGCCGAGCTCGTCGACGAGCATGGCCTCGAAGAAGGCACGCACCTCCTCCTCGTCGACCTCAAAGTCGAGGCCGCCGACAAAGAGGGTGCTCTTGGGGTCGGTGGTGGAGCTGCTCGAGCCGACGAGCTGGCCATCGAACGTCTTGACCTTTTCGAGACCCGAGGTAAGCACCTCGCTGGGCGATATGGACTTGACGAGGTCGACGCGCAAATGGCGACCCTCGAACGACTGACCGTCGGCGAACGAGGCGATGAGCGCGGCAAGCACGGTGCCGGTGAGCCTGTCGTCGAGCTGAATCGGCTCGCTCTGTGCATCCTTTGCCTTGGCCTTGGCCGGGGTGATGTCGTGCAGGTGCTGGAGCACCGCCTTGGGATGTGCGATCGTGACGTACGCCGAGACGGTCTTTGCCTTTTCGTGGAAATCCTTGTTGATGAAGGCAATCTTGCGCTTCTGCTGTGCGGTGAGGGGAGCCTGTGCCTTGTCGCCGCCCTCGACGGCAGCGAGAGCCTCGCGGTAGTTCTGGCTGCGCTCCTTTGCCTTGCCGGCCTTCTTCTTCTTGGCGGCATCGTCGTCTTCGTCGTCATCGGCGTCGAGGTGGACGGTGGGTGTGGCGAAGGCGACGGAGCGGAAACGCAGGCCGACAGCCTTGGTGAGGATGGGGTAGGGAGAGAGGGACTCGATGAAAGAGACGAGCTTGCGCTGCAAGGGGCGCGACTGTGCGGTCTCGATGGGGAGGTTGCCGATGAAGAGCGTGCGCTGATCGCGGAGCTCGGACGGCTCGGATTCCTCCTTGAACGTGGTCTTCTTGCGTGGTTTGGCGTCTTGGGTGGTCTGCGACTTGGACACGGATTCGTGCTGGGGTGGCACGTAGGGTTCTTGGTCCTCTGCGTCGACGTCGTCGTCGCCGTCCTTGTCAGAGGCGTCGTCTTCGCTGTTGCTGAAAAGGAGCGAGCCTTCGTCGTCGAGAGACTCGTCGATGCTCGAAAGGTCGCCATCGCCCTCTTCCATCTCTACGTCGTCGTCATCCTCTGCCTCCTCCTCGTGGTCTTCCTGCTCGCTGTCCTCGTCATCGTCGTCTTGCTCGAGCACCTCCTGTGGTTCTGGCTGGGCGGCCTTTCGCTTCTTGGAGTTGGACGGACCTGGTGCCGAGCGGCTTGCCGAAGGAGAGGAAGCTGCAGGCTTGGGCGTTGTCGCAGCAGCCGGGATGATGGCAGGTGCCGCGGGAGGGGCAGCTTTGAAGAAGGCGTCGAGCTCCGAGTCAAAGCCGGCGGCGGGAGTTGGAGCGGCAGCAGGCGCGGCGGCCTCTGCGGCTGTTTGTGACGCAGCCGCCGAATCGGACTTCTTTCCTTTCTTTGCCATCTTGAGTCTGGGTGCCGCGTAAGATGGTGGCGGTGGTGGTGTCGGTCGGTGAGGATGGCGTGTGGGGCTGCCAACTTGATCCAGGCGCTCTGCTGCGCTTTCCTGCGCAGGACCGAGAAAAAAAGCCTTTCTCGCCATCCCCGCCGAGAATTTTTCGAGCGCTTCTTCAGGGTCGTTGGCCGAAGCTACAACCGCCGATTCCCGAAAACTTGGCTTGTAATTTCTCACAGTGTGTGCTTGTAGGGTCTGACATTACTCAACGAATTTGTGAACCATGCCACCGGCCGACAGCCGACGCGCAGCTCGCAATGCAGCCGGTGCATGCTGCAGACAACATGGAAGGAGCGATGCAGCTGATTGACACTCTAAGTTCAGTTGGCTGGTGCCCTTTGTGTGCATTGTTCCTGGCAACATGTGAACGCAGCAACCGAAGCCGCGTTGCAGTAGAGTGGTGCGGTTCAGTAATGTCGAGTCGTGATGGACTGGGCATGGCCCAAACTTGATACGGCGCATTGGACGCTCTGACGAGCTAGACGGAGCAGCAGCGAGGCTCTCCTTGAGGCGGCCGAGAGAGGAAGGTCGAGGAAGCCGAAGCCGAGTCGTAGCTCTTTGCCCTTTGAATCGCTTGCCGACGTCGCAGGCACCGAACGGAAGCTCTTCTTTTTGGTCGAGCTTGGTCGAGCTGGCTGGGAAAGCCTTGGCGGTGGCATGCCTCGACCGACGCATGCACGGCTCGAAACACACGGAATTCCGCGCAGCTGCACGAGTCTGCAGCCCTTTTGTTCGCAAGTTTCGAGCTACGGTACGGCAGCCGAGCCCTTTGATTTGGCGGCAGATGAGCAGCAGCGGGTAATTGTTGCCAGCAGGTATTTTGGCTGGCGTGGCTGGCGCGGGACACGCGTCGAGCGAGGTCGACGAAGAATTCGAGTCAAATGTGGGTCGTCGATCCCTTTCTGACAGATGGAATGGACACTGCCAAAGAGCTCGAGGAACGCGAGAACTCGAACCAATTCTGCCTCGGCCCAGTCGCCCGAGCGGACTCAGCAAGGCGCAGTGGGGCCGACACTGGTGTGGAGCCTCGAGACCCAGCTTCCCATCGCGTCGCCCTCGGCACCTCCGCGCTCTCGGCTCGCTCTGGCTGACTGGGCTCTGTCTCTGTGTGTGTTTCGGACGAGCCGCTTGATGAAGGGGGATGAAGGGGGGGGATCCACCCGTTGGCATGGCGTGAGAGTGCGGCTCCCCCGCCAGCCCCTGTTTGGCTGCCTCCGCTCATCTGCTCGAGGCAGATCGTCGTCGAACGCTTGGCTCGGCTGCAAACACGAGCCGACGAAGCAGGGAGGGAGCGAATGATTTCAGACTGAGCCCTGTCGATCCTGTTTTTCGTCCGCTGCTCTTTCGCTGTTGCTGCCTTTGCTCGAGCCCCCCCCCCCCCTTTGTGCTTTTGGCTGAGGATCCCCCGCCCGCCGCCCGCCGCCCGCCGCCCCCCTTCGTATCGTCGTCGCTGCGACTGCACGCCATCGTCGCTCGCCAGCCTGCCTGATTCCCACCACCATCGCGTTTCTCTCTCCCGACCTTCTCATCACCACGTCCCTCCCCTCCCCTCTGTCCGGCTCTTACACTCTCTTTCCGGCTCGTTTCGTCGCACAGCCCAGGTCGGCACCTTCGCATCAGCTTCATCGACACCGCGCCCAGCCCACGCTCTTTTACTGTATCCTCTTTAGCCGCATACTCGACTCGACACCCGCCTACACTCACCTCTGTGAGATAGAGTTGCTTTGCCCACCATGACGCTCGACACCCGCAGCCACATGCACCACCACCAACACCAGCTCAAGCAGCGAAAGGTGCAGCCCAACAACACCAAGCGCATCGTCAAGCGCCAGTCCTCCTCCACCATCGACAACTCGGCCAACTGCCTCTCCGGTGGCCTCTATGTCGCCCCCGCCAGCGGCGCTCAGGTCCAGGTGACCAACGTCACCGAGATCAAGTGGGACCAGTCGTGCCTCGACGCCTCCGTCTCCAAGATCGACATCTACGTCTACTCGCCCTCCATGCCCGACCAGTTCCTCCCCATCCACGTCATGACCGGCATCCCCAAGTCCGCACAGCTCTACAACACAAAGCTCGACCCGCGCTGGTGGGGTCGCGACCTCGCACACAACTCGTCCGTACCCGTCTCGTTCAACATCGTCCCCGCAGGCAACGAGCCTTGGGACTCGTCCAACCCCATGGGCCCCACCTTTGTCGCCAACTACAACGTCCCCGACCAGGGCGGCGAGTCCAAGGCAGCCACCTACTTTGGCAAGCTCACCAACTCGGTCAAGACCGCCTTCCTCGAAAACGGCCACCTCACCCCCGCCGGTAAGACCGCCGCCATCGTCTGTCCGCTCGTCGTGCTCGGCGTCGTGCTCGGCCTGCTCGTCCGTCGCCTCCACATCAAGCGCCACAACAAGACCGTCGACTGGGCCGAACACATGGACAAGCGCATGAGCAGGATCTCGGTCGACTGGACCACCGGCGGCGACGGCTCGGCAGGCCCCGTCGCCGGCACCCGCCCCGCCTCCTACCTCTCGCGCCCCTCGCGCGACATGGAAGCTGCCGGCAACTTTGCCGGTCGGGGCGCCGGCGCGCGCATCCCGCGCCAGATGGACGACATCACACCCGCCTTTGCCACCGACGACGAGATGCGCGAGGCGAGGCCGCGCGGCATGTCGATCTACGACGAGGGCAACCGCACCTCGCGCATCTCTTTCGCCGACAACACGCGCGGCGACCGCATCTCGCGCATCAGCTACGCCAACTCGAGCGATGCGCACGGCCGCTCCTCGTCGCACCTGCCGCGCGTCGGCCAGCAGGGCAACATGCGCCGCTCCCAGCTCGTCGACTCGTACTACGACCCCGACGCGCCCGCCGTGCCGCAGCTCGACGCGCGCTACCGCGCCAGCGAGGACGTGCGCCGCTCGCGCTTCTCGGACGGCCTCATCTACGCCGAGGCCGACGAGCTGCGCAACCCGCAGCAGCACGACGACGACGACGAGGTGCTCATGAGCCCCACGCAGAACGACGGCCCGCGTCCGCTCGGCGCCAACGATGTGGACCGCATGCGCCAGAGCCTCGACGCCAACGCGCGCAACTCGATGCTCTCCTACCCGGCGCTCAGCATGATGCAGTCTGGCCGCGAGGGCAGCGACGGCCACGACATGTTTGATGGCCCCAACGCCACGCGCCGCGTCTCGGGCGGCAGCGCCGACTCGTACATCGACCACATGCACTACCAGCACTCGGGCAACAACGGCGCTGCTGTCGCGCATCTCGAGCGTGCTGGTGCTGGTGTGTCGGCGCAGACGGGCATGGCACCGCCGTCCAACTTTGCGTCGCCGGACGAGGCGATGAAGCACTACGCGTCGCTGCGCGCCGGCAGCAGCGCGGTCGAGACGTCGGCGCAAAGCTCGAGGTCGCTCTACACTCCGGATGCCGCCAACCACCGCGGCCACTCGAGCGTCGCTGGCTCGTCGCTCAACGAGGAAGAGGTGGTGGGCTACAACGAGATGATCGACCACGGCAACCAGTCGCGCTAAGCTTCGCCGTCGCTCCCTCCTTTTCTTGTGCTGTAATGGTTTCTTTGGCTCCCCTTTTCCTTGCGCGTTCTGCGCCCACGCTCCCTCGCGCCGCTCTCCCTCTCTCTCTTTCTTTCGCTCTTGCTGCTTCTCCTTTTTTTTGTTTCGGCTCGGACCGCCTTTGCTTTGTTGTGTTGATCTCTAGTTTGCTTCTCTCGTGGCTCGCGATGGGCGGTGCCACCACGAGCTTCGACGACGCGCGCTCCCATTGTGGGGTGCGTGGATGTCTGGATGCCGGGTTGCGCTGCCCTCTTTCTTCTTGTCTCGCTTCACTCGCTTCTCTGACGCTTGCATGGCTCGCGTGGCCAGCAGATGGCAGGAGGGTTCAGGTCGGCGGCGGCTGTGCTTCCGTCGACTCTACTGCCCTGCTGCGTCACGCCGCTCTCGCGCATACTTTGTTGTAGGCTGGCTTCTTGCTGGCTCGAAGTCGGCTCTGCCTAGCGCATTTTGTCTCTTGCTCACTTGTCTGCTAAAATGCGAAACGGTTTTCTGTAGTCTGGTCTGCCGTGCGTTTTGCTCCTAGGAAGAGGAGGAGAAGGAGGAGGGTTGGCGGTGGAGTGGACTTTTCGTGCGGGAGAAATGCGGGGAGAGAGGGAGGGTTTCACGCTGATTTTGGTTTGGCTGGATGCATCGGCGCGCGTGGGCCAGGAGATGCGGGGCAGGTTTTGCAGAGGGAGAGAGAGGTGGAGGCAAAGACGGCGCATCCGGCTGAATTTGTGGACCGGACGGAAGGGATGCAGGTGCGGTTGGGCCGAGCAGCCACGCCGAGCTGTCAGACGCTCTTCCCTGCACTGCGTCCATCTTTGAGCTTGGTCTCTGTTCTTGTCATCACCGTCACCGTCACCGTCTTCGGCACAGAGGCATCCCACTCATTCGATCGGATTGTATCAGGCTACGTCAGGTTTTGAACAACGTATAGATCTGCAGCATAGACCCGCCACGCATCGAAGCTCGAAACACAACCCGGCCTCAATCCTCGCACGCCTCGAACACTACGCAGACGAATCGCCATGTCATTGGAAAAGAAGCTTACGCAGGTGGCGCTGAATCCGGCCTATCATGACTTCTTCACGGTGGTCAAGGGCTTTCGCAATGGTATTGTGTACGGAGCCAAGATTCGGTTCCCACACGCGCTGGTGATGACGTTCCTCTTTGGCCGAGGCACCCCGCGCGAGAAGCTCGCCTTCATCCTGCGCGCTACCAAACAGCATGCGCTCAACCTGGGCACATTTACGCCGCTGTACAAGTTCCTCACCATCGCACTGCGACGCATCTACGAAGCTACCGGCGGCAAAGGAGCCGTTCCCCAATGGCACAGTCTCGTTGCAGGTCTTATCGGAGGCTACTATGTTTTTGGTGAACGAACACCCGTCAACGAACAGGTAAGTCCCCAACCCATCATCGAGAGGAGAGCAAATGACTGACGGGTTGACTTTTGTTGGGAGTAGATTGTGCTGTATACGTCGTCTCGAATCATTGCATCGTTCCTGCCACGTGCGCAGACGCCAGCGGACTGGCCGGCAGGAAAGCCCAAACCGACGGACAAGTCGTGGTTCGCCGCATACGCCACCATCACCTGGGGTGTCGTCATGTGGCTCCACGAATACCGACGCCAAACCATCCAAACCGGCATGGTCAACAGCATGGACTGTACGTTTCTCCTCCATATCCCTGACGGCGTGGCGTAGTTGGACGCTGACTCTTTGACGCGACTTTGTCCTCCTTGGCGAAGATAGATCTCTACCACAACGCAGGCAAGTGGGACAGGTACGTAGTTTCCGGTGCATCATCATGCTCGCACGCAATTCGTACTGACATGCGCTTGCTTTCGGTGCAGCTTGCGGAACCTGTTCTGGCACAACAAGTAGGCTCCTGCCGTGTAGTCTCTGTGTGCTATCTATGCTTTCTCGCCATTCGCATCTGTTGTCACTCGATCTGTGTCTTGACTGTCGTACTGTTGGTGTTGCGTCGCTTGCAGTTGCGAAGGGATGCCATATGGCGATCTGCTCGCGGATGCGCTTTGTTACGGTGAGAACACCTAACACGGGCTATGCAAAATGAGCATTTATTGGGCCCTTTTTTTCCTCCCTCTTTTTTTCAACATGGATTGTTGGACGCGCGCTAAATGTCGGCGCTTAAAGACAAAGAGCGCAGGACGTTCTGCAGAGAACATTTTCGCATATGCGTTCGTGCCTCGGCTGCCACGACACGGCATCTGAAGCATTGTCGATCCTGCAGGCGCTCATCAAGTCTGTCGCTACTCTCTCGGCCGATGAGGTCGCGCGGGATCGACGCAACATTTAAGGCTTCGCTAGGCGAGACTGCAACCACAGTACGCGATGATGTGCTGGCAACCACACAGAATTCGCCGCAAGCATGGACACCGACACGCCCACCTCGCGTCCGTAGTCCGCCTGTTCGGGTCATGTCGAAAAGGCGGTCGTGTCGGAATGAAATGTGGTCGGGGCCCCAATCGCGCGGCGTCGGTATGAAGGTCGAAATGAGACGCCACTGGCAGCATACGCCGTGGAATGAAGGGCTGATTCCCGCTCAAGGCCGAGTGTCGATCTGGAGCGGGCCAAGTTGTTGCAACCAAGCCGTGTGATCGACACGGTGCAGAACTTGTCACCGCCGCCAAGTGAAAGAGAAAGGGCTCGGTCGAGCAAGGGGAGCAAAAAAACGCCGGCAGCTGAGTGCGAGGAGCGAGGAGGGAGCAAGGAAGCGAGCCAGAGTGCAGGGGTGGATGAGCAGCACCCCGAAAATAACACGCCGCATGGCCCACCTCCCACTCTGCAGCAATGTGCAGCGCGGTGCCCAAAAGCAAAGGGAGGATCCGCCGAGCCTCTGTCTCGGACTGCAGAGAGAGCAACAACAAAGGGCCCTAAAGGGTGCAGAACAAGAGAAGGCTTCTTTTGGCTGCCTCGACTGGGTTCAAGCTCCGAGTCGGGTTGGCCGGCTTTGAAGAGAGCCAAAGCGCAGCGACGCGCAGACGCGTCCGAGCCATCGCAAAAAGGGTGAGGCAAGAGGCACTGGAACAGCAAGTCGCGCAAATCCGCCAGCTGTCAATTCCCAAACCCAACACTGCTGGATTTTCGCACTGAGACAGCGCTCGGCGGGCGCGCAGCGCAGGTGCAGCTGGCATTCCACGAGCCGCTGGCCAAGGACGAGGCTCGGCTGACCCGGCCCCGTGCTTTGGCCCCTCGCTGCCCCTCGCTTTGCCTTGCTTTGACCTCGCGTTGCGTTGCTCTGCTCGCGCTCTGCTGGCGTCGGCATTCAGGAGGTGGCGAGCGAACAGAGCGAGGCGGCCCAGCCGAAGGGCAGAGGTGCGCTTTGGAATGCAATGCAGTTCAGCATGGTCCTCTCCTCCTGCTCCCCCCTGCTCCCACCCTCTGTCGCGAGAGACCATCGAGACGAGAGGCGCTTTGAAGCCGACCCTTTTTTGTCGCTGCCAAGCGTGCCCGTCCGCCCGCCATTCATGCCAGCTCCAGACTGCCTCCCTCCTTGCCCTGCCTCCTCACCTCCATCCTCACGTTCGCAACTCCCACCATCCCTCCTCCCCAAACGATCCCGCACTTCCTTCGACGTTCACGGCAGGCACGTGAACATCGTCCACCACACCCCACGCTCACGACGCACCTCCACCATCCCTCCAGCTTCAGCGTCCCCAGCCTCTCTCTTGACGACCCAACCCCACATTCTTTTGTAACAACCATCGACTCTACACTGACCAGGCTCGACTCTTGATCTGCTTCGTCGACACCACTGCGATAACCATGTCAGCCATCAACCAGAATGCACCGCGCATGCGTCGTCACAAGCGACGCATCCTCGACGACGGCTCCGAGCTCGCTCACGCCGTCCGGGCCTTTGTCGACGACCAAATCCATGACAACGCCCTCTTTGCCCGTCAGGCTGACGGCGCCAACGGCATCGGCCCTGGCAGAGGCTCCAATGCTCCTCCCTTGGGCGTCGGCGGCCTCGGCGACGACGGCACTTCGTCCACCGACAGCAGCAATGCCACCCCCACCACCACGCGTGGTTCCAACGGCAACGGCAACGGAAACAGCCGTCCCACTCCTACCGCCACCTCCACCTCGCTCAGCCGAAACCTCTTTCCCACCACCACTTCGTCTTCCTCGTCGTCCCCTTTCCTAGGCGGCATCCTCGGCGGCTTGCCCGACTCGTCGTCTTCCACCTCTTCCACCACCTCCTCGTCCTCCACTTCGACCTCCTCCAGCACAAGATCCACATCCACTTCCTCCTCCACCAGGTCCACATCCTCCTCCAGCTCCACTTCTTCGGTTAGTGTCCATTCTGACAGCGAGACAGCCACACAGCAGCAGCAGCAGCCACAGACCACCTCGGAAAGGAACGACGACGACACATCGACGCGCAACGACTCTTCTTCGGTTGGTTTTCCTACATTTGTTGTCCCAGATCATATGTCCTCTAGCTTGCTTGTTGCCTCCTACCACTTGTTTCCTCCCCGCGCTCGTTCCCTCTCCACATGCGCTTCGCCGCAAAGATCATACACACGCATCATACCTCTGACCGAATATGCCACTCGCAAACACAAAACCCCGCGCATCTCTTCAAGACCCTTGCATTCTCGGACGACCCCCAATCGCACTCACCTCTCTTGCTTCCTCTTGCCTCTGTCCGGTCGAACATGACTTTACTGACGCCTTTCTCCCTTTTTCTTGAAACAACAGTCCTCGACTTCGCTCGTGCCCATCACCGCCACCGCGGTGGTCACCTCGACGCCGACGGCGAGCATCGCTTCGGCCACCGCATCCGCATCGCCCAAGTCGTCGTCGTCGTCCGCTGGCCCCATCATCGGCATCGTCGCCGGTGCGCTCGTGGGCGTCGTCGTGCTCTCGGGTCTGGTCGGCTTCCTCTTCAAGAAGTACAAGTCCAAGGAGGACCCGTACGAGGCCAACCCCTTTGACCGCGACGCCTTCCAGCGCCACTCGGCCATGATCCCGGACCACTTTGACTCGGACGACGGCCACGCCGGCGCCGGCGGCATGTCGCCCGAGATGTCCGAGCACTACCAGTACAACAACTACGCGCCCCAGTACGAGTCGGGCATCAGCGCCGGCGCCGCGGGCGCCATGGGTGCCATGGCGGTGCATAACGAGGGCGGCCCGCGCCCACCCACCATGTTCGCCAAGCACGCCGCGGGCGTGCAGCAGAACGCCCCGCAGGTGGGCGGCTACTACAAGGACGGCGACTATGCCAACCAGATGCCCGCCATGCCGCCGCACTCGGACTACCATGCACCGCCCACTGCGGCGTTTGCCAACCACCACGCCGCTGAGCACTACCTCGAGGAGCCTGGATTCGGACAGCAGCGCAGCGTGTCGCCTGCGCCGCAGCTGCCGCCGCTGGCGGCGTTTGGCGGCGACCCGTACTCGATCGCCGGTGTGGGACGCGGTCAGCAGCAGAACGTGGCGAACCCGTATGCGCACCTCGACCGCTCGCACGCCGGCATGGGCGGCTTTGTGCCCGGCGCCGTCGTCCCCGGCCACGCTGGCTCGGCCTCCGTGTCGTCCGGTGGCGACTCGGCGGACCGCCACGCATCGATCAGCGCCGCCGAGGCGCTCGCTGCGGGTCTGGCGCACCAGTCGTCGCTCAACCGCGCGGCGAGCCCGCACCACGCCGCCACCCACGACACGGCCGGTCGACCTAGCACGTCCGAGGGCCGCTCGGGCACTCCGGACATCCCCAACGTGCAGCAGACGTATGCTCTGCCCGGCGACGTGGCTGGTGCCGCTGGATCGCACCGCATCAGCGCAGGCTCGCAGGACATGCTCTCGAACGCCGCCACCTCGCCCGTGGGCGCCATGAGGAATCCCTTTGACAACCCGGCCCCGCACCATGCGCCCCAGCACCACTACGCCGATGCGAGCCAGCAGCTCCAGGTGCGCAACCTCGTCCCCGCCAACGCCGGCCTCTCTGCTGGCCAGAGACCCGTCTCGACCGCAAGCTCGTTTGCCGACCCCGAAGACGCCTACGGCGGCGTCTACTAAGTCGGCACCCCACACTCTCTTTTTCGCCTTCGTTTTGTGTATTTTGTGCGTTCTCACTCCACCACCGGACGCCTTGGGCTGAAGGGTGGGGGTTAACTCTCGCTCTTTTGTTGCTTTCGTTTGTTTCGCTTTAGTCCCGCGCCTGGCGACACCACTGCTTTTGCTGGTTCGTCGCACTCTGTTCATTTGCTTCTTTGCGTGGAAAAAAATCCCAACGGTTTCGCTCTCACCAAGGCTCGGTTTGTGTTCGAGGTGCAAGACGCGCATGTTGAGACTGGAGTTGAAGTCGCCAAAGATGCTTGAAAACGAATGTGGGGGTGAGCGGGGCTAAAGTACAGAGCGGATGCAGAAGTCGAGTGACAGGGCGATGCGAAAGTGAGGGCGAGGTGGTTACCAGTTGGCGAGGGCTTCTTTGGTGAGGGGTTCGGTTTCGTGTTCGTACTCGATTTCGATCTGGGGGCCCTTCTTTCCTGCGCGCGGGGGCTTTTTGCCCTTCTTGGTGGGGGCTGTGCTGGGGCCCTTGGGCTTCTTGCCAGAGCTGGGTTGGTCATCGTCGCTGTCGTCATCGTCATCGGCATCCGAGTCGGAAGCAATGGTGTTGCCGTCCGTATCGTACAGGTCCTCGAGGTCATCTTCGTCGTCATCCTCATCGTCGTCGGACACGAACTCGCGGTCACCCACACCCTCCTCGTCCTCGAACTCCTCCTCCATCATACGGTCCATCTCTTCGAGGTCCTCTTCGAGTTCCTCGTCGGACTCTTCGTCTTCGAGGTCGAGATCCTTGTTTTCCTTGTTTCGGTTCTCGAGCACCTGCATCCAAACGTCCTCGTTGACGTTGAGTGGTGCATCACCATACGCACCGGACTTGAGACGCTCCAGCAGCTCCTTTTCGATCGACTTTTCCAGCCTTGCAGCCTTCAGCGCCTTGAACTCTCTCCTGTCCTCCCTACGCTCTGTCTTCTTCTTGATCGATACGAGCTGTGGTTGTTCCTCCTCCTTGAGCTTGATGCGGCGAAGCTTGATGAGGTACTGCGTGATCTTGGTCAGACGTTGCTTGGCCTTGTGCGTGATGAACTTGGGCCAGTAGATGAGTTCCTTGTCGATCTGCTCCAGAGCGCGCGAGTAGTTGTTGGACAGCTTGATGCGTTCCCACTGACGCTTGGGAGAGTGTGCACGTTCGGCCGTCTTGACGTACAGATAGACGATGCCCTCGCGCTCGCGCACTGTCGCATAGCGCGAGTTGGCCAACGGACACGACTGTCGATTGCACAGCCCGGTCAGATTGTACTCGTTGCGACAGAATGTAGAGTGCGTCTTGGACTTGATCTTGTACGAGCAGAACTCGTGCCCGATGATCGTCCAGATCACATCGTCCGACTGCATCGTGGCGAGCTGAAGCGCGACACGCCGCTGGGTATAGGTCGATAGAAGTTCGGAATAAAAGCCTTGCGCCTGTCAAGCGATGCTGTGGGAAAGCCCTGTCGAGAGGTTGTGTGTGTGCTGGTAATGTCGGCGCAGATGGTGCAGTGATGGCGAGAAGCTAGGTGGGATGGTGAAAGGGTCCTGCGCCGCTAGCAAGGCCGTGGTGGAGCTGGAGCCAAAATTTCCCACTCGAACACAAAAATTGCGCGTCACGTGAGGCGCCCACCAATTCGCACGCTCGAATTGGTGGAGAAGTTCCAAATTTCAAAATGTTAGACCTCAGCTCAAGTTCAGCAGGCTTGTTAGATCGATCACGGTGAGATTGGTTGGAAGCCGTCTTGGCTGGTCCGTGTTTGGGTCGGAGACCAAGCTACACAGGTTTGCTTGTGTGGAAGCTCTACCGCTTCCCGTCCGAGACGGCTCCCGTCGGACAGATCACAAGCATATACCGGGCAAACAGCGGAAGCAAGTCGTCCGGACAGGACCGATGTAGATGACGGGGTGAGCCAGGCACGCAGGCGTCTGGAAGGCTCGGACGAGCTTGATCGCCGCCGACTTATCTAAGCGAGGGCGGGGGAAGGCAGCATGTGGGTGAAGCGATGGGCGGGCCGACGATCTCGGCGACCCACTTGCATTTGGATTGAGCTCCGCGCCAGCCCCGCGCGCGCGCGCGATGTGAAGAATTGCATACTGTACAGCGGATGAGTTGGGTGCGGCAACGGGGTGTTGGTCTCGCCTAAGTCGCATTGCGGGCCGCATTGCGGGAGTGGAACGATCGAATCGGCCAACAGCGTGAGCCAGCATTCGTGGGAACCGAAACGACGCAAGCCAGAACTCCGACGAGCGATAGCGTCATTGTGAGCGAGAGCGTTGCATCGAACGGCAACGCAGCATGAATTTTCAGCTTTAATTTGACAGTGTCGCCCCAGGCTCGAGCGGTAAGGCGTCGCCATGTCATCGAGCCCGCCGAGTCGCAGCACCGAATCCAGAGGTGCGGTCATGTCGGACGCACCACAAAGCCTGGTGCGGATGGAGCGAAAGTGGCTCAACAAAGCGCCACCTCGGGATCCAAGCCACCCTCAGACTTTTTTTTGCAACCCACGAGATCGTTTGTGTCTCCGCGCTACGAGGCCGCAGACGGTCTCGCAAACGCCGCAAGAATTCGATCGATCGCAGCAGGCCAAAGTGTGGCAGACTGGCCACATTGTGCAAGAGCAACTCTTGTTGTAGCGCCACCGCAGAGGGGCCAGGCTGTACCATCGCTGCGACGACAAGCACCATTTGCGGTACAAGGGTGGGCAGGGAGAAAGTCGAAAAAAAGAAAGCGTTTCGGCAGGCGGGGGTTGGAAGCATGACAGCTCGCTTACGGTGAAGCACGGCGCTCACCAATGCAGTCGGGGTTGGGGTTTTCCTTTACCGAAAACGGGATGGGATTTTGATTTTTTTTTCGGTTTTCCTTTTGGGCCTCCCGACGAGGCGATCCCACTGTATTCCGCGGCGTTGGGCGAGTGCCTGCTCCATGTTCCTGGTTGGGTGGGCTGGATGTGGTGGCGTAGAGTTTTGGTCCTCCGCACAAAGTTTTGAGCGGTGTCGAGTGGTGAACTCCGTCGCTGCGTGGCTATACAGTAGCTGCGCTTGGACCGAGACCCGCAAGCGGGTGTACCAGTTGCCATGCGGTGGGTGCATTCAGGCTCAACCTCGGTTCCACTGGAAACGGTGCGTGCGATCTGCAACGCGTTGCACCGAAGACGCAGGACAAGGCTGTTTTGCAAGTTGGGATGTCCCGTGGCTGCATCGCATTCATGCCGCCATGCAACCACGGCTCCTCAGACGCGAGTGGGTGGGCAGCTGAGCGCAACGCAAGTTTTTCACACTGCAGAACGCGTTGCACAAGCCGCAACAACCCGTTCGGAAGCCACTTTTCCGATGGTTCAGAAATTGGCTCTCTGCTGCTGCTGCTGCTGCTGCTGCTGCTGCAGTGGTCCGAATCGAGTTGTGGTGAGCGCTTGATGGATCGCGCGGTGTGTTCCCGATCCAGATGTGCCTACGAGCCACAAATAGTGCGCAAGAGGGCCAAAGCCAAGACCGACGGCTTGGGAATGGATCTCACCCGACGGAAGGCCCATCCGAACGCCATTTGCTTAGTTGTTTGCGGGCTCAGGAGCAGAGCCACAGGAACCAAAAAGAGAAAGAAGCAAAAAGCGGGTCTAGATTTCAGGTCCATGCATCCACGCGCCGATTGGCTGGGACAACAATGCGATTCCAATGCGAATCGAACCCTATTTTCCCTCGCTCTCCGTCTGCTGCAGGCACTGGTTAGGCTCGATTGTCTGCTCCATTTTCGCGCGCGGATTTCAAACCGCGACGTCGAATCCAAGCAACCGACGCGCATCCTCTCAGCCTCTCCCTCGCCAGCCAGCCACGCACGGCCCACGATCACGCCTTTCGTCGGGGGCGCACCTCCGATGCTCGCGGTCACCACAGGCCCCACCGAGCGAGTGGCTCGGCGCTCAGTCCGATTTGGCCGAATTCTGCTTCGAAGCGAGAAGCCAATTAAGAAAAGGAAAGGCGGAGTCCGGCTTAGTGGGTCTCATTGAATGCGCAGTGTGCGCTGTGCAGCGGAGAGTCGCAGCCATCAGTCTGACTCCGCATCTCTTGGGCGTGCATGGCTGGCTCGGCAAGATGCAGATGCAGATTCAGAGCCAGAGCCAGAATCAGAATTTTCGGTGTTTTTTTTTTTTTGCAGGGAAGGCGCCTGGCGAGAGTCTGCGGGTGGCCGCGAGTGTCCAATTTTGGTGCAATTTTAGCACCCAATCTGGGTGACGCTCTCTCTCTCTTTCTCTGCTCGGCGGGGCGTTGCTCTGCCTCTCTGCCTCTGCCTGCTGGGCTCACTCGGCGCTGTTCCCCACCGCGCGCTCACTCACTCGCCAAAGCTCTGAAGCTCTGCCGGTGCGCCGCGCCGACGCTTTGGCAGCCGCTCGGAGTGTAGCCGAGATGCAATCTCGCTCCACTCCTCGCCACGCTCCCTCCATTTCGCTCCACCATCCGCGACCCCCTTCATACGCCCCTCCCACACTCCATCCGACACCATCGCATCGCCTCTGTCTGCACACGCGCATACACCACCACATCCTCGCACAGTCGCCTTGGTCGACCTCAATCGCCTCACATGACGCACCCAGCTCGATGAGACCCACCCAAGCGTCGGCAATCCCACCCACGCTCTCCGCTGCCTAGACTCCAGCTTCCTGGCATCCACGTCTTGCATCCTTGCGGCAGCCTTGGACCAGTCGCGATCGTGCCGACATCAACAATGACATCCACGCGTCCACCACTCGACGTCAACCACCGCTCCGAGCCAGCCCCCTCGCGCCGTTCCATATCCAGCCAGGCCGCCTCCGCCTCCCGCGCCCTCACCTCCGTCGCTTCCTCTTCCGTATCCACCCCTTACGGCGGCCTTCCCTCTTCGGCATCTTCCTCCTCTTCGGCATCTTCCTCCTCATCCTTGGTCTCCTCAGCGCGACGCTCCATATCCTCGACCGGAAGAAACTCCTTCTCGCGCGCAAGTCCTTCCACAACTTCGCTCGTCAAGGATCAATCTCCCCGCTCTCGCAGCCGACGTAATGGCAGCGCCAGCTCCAGCAGTCTGGTGCTCACCAGACCCGACAATGCGACAGGCATCCACCAGTCAAGCAACGCCGAGTCCTCCGCATCTGGCTCCGGCAGCAAACGCGAAGCCGTGAGCGCTTCCGCCGCCTCCCAGAGCACCCGCCACCAGCGCCACCACTCGGCAGAGACGCTCCGCTTGGATCTCGACGGCCTCGACCTCGGCGGAAACCAGTCTCTCGCCAACCCTTTCGGCGCTGCTGCTGCCGCCACCGCACCCGATCATCGCCATGTCCGCTCCACTTCCAACAACGCCGCCATCCCCAACTCTTCTTCGTCTTCCCGACTCGGCGGCTTCATCGACCCCTTCAGCTCCAACAAACCCGTCGATCTCAACCTCCACCAGCTCTGCGCATCCTGCCCAACCGATCCCCACACCTACCCCGCCCTCCACGCCCTCGAAGACAGCTTCTCCCTCCATCTGCGTGCAGAGTGCTCCGACTATCGTCAGATCATGCCCGCTCAGATCGTTCTCAACGCTGCCGCCGACAGGGAGCTCCGCATGCGCAACGCTGGCCCCGAAGCAACCGACCAATACCGTCCGCGAGGCTATTCCATCAGTCACGGCCAGGTCCTCGGCGGATTCGCGAGTCTCGGTCTCCAGACCGAGCCAGATGCCGCGCCCACAGCGCCACCAACGCGCCAGTCGCCCGTCCGCGCCGACACCAAGCACTCCACTGACTCGTCCGAGCCGCCCATCACGCCGATCGAGTGGAGGGACAGCTTTGCATCGCCCACCTCCGCCAGCTACGACGCCACGCCCAAGTGGGCGCATCTCACCAGCAGGCCTTGCAATCCGCTCGAGCCGCTCGACGTGCTCTCCATCCAAGAGATGGGCTTCCACAGCCTCGACGTCGGCAGCCTCAACGACTGGGAGGGCTGCAAACTCTCCGCAGAGATCCTCTGCCCCATCAACGGCCATCAGCGCATCCAGTGGTCCGTCGCTCAGACCACGCGCAGGACCAAAAAGTGGGTCGTCGTGCCCAACGCCACCATCACCTGCGGCAAGCCAGACACTCTCGCCAATGCCGAACAGGCAGAGAGGACCGTCGTCGTCAGCGCACGTTCCATCTGGCTCGACGAAGCCGCGCAGACCGCAGCGCAAGCAAGCACCTCACACAATCCTCCCAACCACTCGGCCAAACTTGCAACGTCGAACCGCAGCTCTCGCCCCTTCTCGGGCAAGTCGGGCTTTGAGCTTCGGCTGCTGCGCCCCACCTCGGGCCGCATTTGCCCGCCCATCTATCTGGCCAACGCATCGACGCATCGATCGCTTCATCAGTATCGCACCGACATCTGCTTGCGATCCAAGCCGAGCCAGGCTAGTTTGGTTGCAGACCGTCTCAGCCCGAGGCCGCCCCAGCCCGTGTATCCGGTGCTTCGACGATCGCGATCGCGACCCTACCTGCGCCACCAGCACGTACCCTTGCGTCGCTCGCGCTCCAAACCCTACTTGAAGCCCGAACAGCACGCGGCCAACCAGGCGGTGGCTTCCAGTGTCGTCGCCGACGATTTCGCGCCTTCGCTTCCAGGCGATCCGCACCTGCGCATGCATCCGGGCGAGTCGTGGCCTTCGGCACGCTCGCGCTCGCCTCGACCGCGATCGTCGTTCGACGCGACGTCGAGCAGCGATGACGAAAGCGACGCCTCGTCGGATGCAGAGATCTTCTCGGCGCCCAAGACGCACGAGTCGGCGAGCGGCAGTGCCTCGTCTGCCTCCTACGACCACTCTCACAAGCCAGACATGCCTCCAAGGTCGGCACCGGTCGCCATGGTTTCCTCTGGCAACAGGCACGGCACAGGCCAGCGTTCTCCCTCGGAGAAATCCGCCGCGACATCGTGGCAGCACAGCAGCCTGGGCGAGTCTCATACCGATTCGTGGCAGGGCACCTCGCAGACCACCGCCGCGTCGGCCTCGTCTGCGAGCGCCAGCAGCAAGCAGAGCCGCAGCCGCAAGGGCCTGCAGCGCGCTCTGCAGAAGAAGGACAAGGTGCTCAACTCGTGGTTCAAGCGCAGACCGGACGCGTCGTCGGCAGCTTCGGCCGATGGCCAAGCCCCGCAAGCCGAGGTGGCCAATGGCGTGTCGCCTTCGGCATCGGCGCTGCCGTCTCCGACCAGCGCGCACAGGAGTCTCAACGGCAGCCAGCCCGCTCGCATGCCGCGGGAGAGCTCGGAGGCAAGTGCGGGTGTGGCGAGCAAGGGGCCGACGCCTCTGACCGAGACGGCGCTGGAAAGCTTCCAGAGGGCCATGTTCCGACCGGCTTCGCCCGAGTCGACCATCATGGGATCCAGAAGGGGCTCCGAGGCACTCACGCAAAAGGCAGTCGAGCCCAGCAACGCGGTGGGCGATCGCTCGATCCCCGACAAGGTGGCTACGAATGGCGGCGCTCCTGGCACGGATGCAGCTTCGGACAACCGCACGGGCGTGCACACGACGCTGTCGGCGCTGTACGGATGGGACCGGGAACAGGCGGCGAGCAAGCTGCTGCCGTCGAGGGCTGTTGGCTCAGGCCCGGGCAGTGTAGCCTCGACACAGGGATCTTCGTATCTGGATTTGGACGAGCAGGTGGCATTGCTGGGCATTGATGCGGTGCCAGCTGAGGCGCTGACGATGCTCATTCCGCTGCCGCTGATCGGGCGATCGCGAGCGCAGGATGCAGTGCGGTATATGCGCGTCAACTTTGTTCCGTTTGGCAGCTTGTCCGACTCTGTGGACACGCAGAGAAGTACGGCATGGAGCGGGCTCAGTGGTGTGGGCTCGCCGGGCTCCGAGAGCGAAGCAGGGCTGTCGCACAGCACGAGCAACGGCAGCGGCAGTCTGGCATCGGCTCGCGAGGCAGGCTCGGGCACGACCAAGACGTCGGAGCAGTCGAATTGGAAGCGAAAGCTGGGACTGTCGGGTCGAAGCGGCGCGGGTGCCAACGGGCAGAACAGCGCCGCGATTGGGGCTAGCCAGCTGGCTTCAACGACCGAGTCGCCCCCGCCAACGAGTGGCCCACAGGCGTTCCGCATTACGGCGATTGTACACGATGCGCCGTGGACTGCGCCGGCGGCATGTTCACCGCTGGATGCACGCTTGCCCGAGCCAGGCACGTTTCCGGTGGTGTTGGGCTACTGCAACGGCTCCAAGACGCTCGAGATGGTGCCCGAGGGATGGGGCGCGCTCTCGCTCGCCGGCGTGCCCGTGCCCACCAAGCCGGACGGCTCGCCGTTGGAGGGTGTGCATCCATTGCATGGCGTGACGGATCTGATCATCTCGGCGTGTACCGCTGTGATGGATGTGTAATTTCTCTTGCTAGCATTCCTCCCCTCATCACAGTGGTTTGTAATTGTATCCTCGACATGCGTTGGCATTCAAGGGTCTCACGGGCCGAATCGAGAGCATACAGGAGGGAGAGAGAAGGTGGATTGGGGGCGAATCAGTGTGCTGGTCGAGAATAAGCTTTTTTTCGGCTGGGGATTAAGCGAGAGGGTGCATGCGTGGGTGCGTGGGTGCATTGTTCACGGGCCAAGCGTGCGATCCGTTGCAGCGCGCATGCAGCTTTGCACACCCATCCCCGATGTCGCGAAGGCGTCTTGGCGGATTGTAATGGGCGACAAGGGGAAATCAATGCTGCCACTTTGAAGATCGCCCGTGGAGATGTCGGTTGGGTGGACCCTGTGGAGCCCAGAGGAGCCCAGAGGAGCGGCTAGCTTAGCGTGGGATTCCGGCGCTTCCGCCGAGATGAAGGGGCGCTTGACTTAGCCGCCCACCAAAAAAAGGCGCTGTCATCCCCTTGCCGCTCCAAAGCGCAGCCGAGACACCGGCGTGCTTCCGACATCTTTTTTCAGCTGTCCCGAAACCATGCACATCGTTTGGCTAGATTCGGGATCAGCATAGACTCGCAACACGCCGACGAGTGCATCGCTGCTGTGGCTGAGCCCAAGTTGGGCCTGCAACAGCCAGTTCGCATCGCGCATTCAACGTCGCTCCAACAAGCTCTGACTCGGTTGACCGAGATTCGGCCTCCCCACGCGGAGTCGACGACCGCAAAGCCAGCACTTCATAACCTGAAACCCCCCCCCCC